AATTCCCCACTGTCTGTGTAAATATTTTCCAATATTTTCTTATTTATGGGCTGCTTCATGACCTGCAGCAATAAACTTTTTATGGATTGTCTGGCTAATATCAGCAACATGTTGGATGCTGCTGGACGCTGTTATGCAACATGTTGCCGGCAACATTTATTCACCGAGTGCCTCTGACAGTCGGGCCTTATTGTTGTTGCTTTTATTGTGATTACAACTGGCCTAATCTCGACAAGATGAAGCGTCGGCAGCCATATGGAAAAATATTTCAAAGAAAGATTGCCAACTGCTGATAAGCGGCGAGTGAATGCGAACGGCACGAACTCCCCGAAAACCATTTGAAATTGATTAGAGCGGGAGAAAACGCCGGAGAAATAGTAGAGAAACGGAGAAAAGTCATGCAGCCAACGGAGCATCGTCTGAGATAAACATTTGAGATAAAATCGGGCCCATTAGAGACACAGAGATTGCTGAAGTGATCGCAGGAGGTCATCACTTTTCAAAAACGGGAACGTTTTCCATTCGTTTTTGAATGGGATTTTAAATAAAAAGAATTTAAAGTTTACTTAACAAAAAATGAAAATGAGTTTACTTAACAATAGCATGAAAAAATGGCATGGTTATATTCGAAATATTTGAAGCTGAAATAGCCTTTAGAATTGGGCTTAACAAATTAAACCTAATATTCCTCAAGCTATAAAATAAATTTAAACACTATCTATATATTTATTAAAATACTCTATATATTTAGCAAAGTCCCTCAATAATTTCTCCAAGTGCTAGCCTGCAAGGCCTATGCTTTATAATACTTTACCATGATTTGTGGCAGGTCTTGGCACTTCCCGCTCCCATAGACAATAAAAAGAGCTTCGAATACCTAAGGAAATTGGAGCTGCCACCTGAAGTGGAGCACTCTACCGTAATTCAGTTGCCTTCCAGGAAGGAACCGGAGCTGGGAAAAAGCTGCGCCTGCGCTGCCTGCCCTTGCAACATGGCCAGCATGGCCCATTCAGGGCCAATGGTGCATTGTGGTCGTGTTATTGTTAGCCAACTTCGACATTGTTCCAGACAGCTTGCCGCGAGCTTTTCCCCAGTCACCCCTCGACATTGTTGTGATTATGAAATGGAAACCCCCGTAAATGAGCTGACTCTCCGGTATCCGATGATGACGAAGCTGATGACGACGGCAGCTGGGAGTGTGTTTGCTTGGGCCCAAGCCCAATCCCGAACCAAACTGCTTAGAATGCACAAATTGGCAAGGCAAGCTAATGAGACAGGCTCCTGACGGAAGCTATGCGAGCATGTGGGTACACAACTCACATCTCGATGCACTCGCCGAAGTGGCTTTGACATGCTAAAATATCTTCATGCCGGCACGTTTCTGGCATTATAAACACATTAATTATTCAAAAAACATTTTCATTTGCTGCCACGGCGATGAGGCGAAGAACTTGGCAATCTCTTTGCTTTCGCAGCAGCTCTTTCGGCGGACTTATTAATTCAATTCGAAATGCATTTTCGCCGAAATTGCTGCCTTTTGCCAGCAGTTTGCCGGCACTCATCGGAGTGAGGCTAAAAATTTGCATAATTGGGAGAAAATGGAAAGAGACTGGCTGACTGGCACAGGTGAGATTCTAGGGAAGAGCTGTAATTGCATCCTCTTTCCCTATGACTCGGAACAGGTAAAAGTACTCGAAAATTATTGGGCATAGATAAACGTTCGTTCTGCCGGTCTGTCAGTCTGCCATCTGCCATTTGGCAATTCTGTGACACTGCCAGCAATCAAATTCAATCAATTTAATTAAGCCGCCAGGGGAGGAAGGAGGCGGCAGCTTCCATCGGTAATAGAGGAGCCGACAACTCGGCGTATACGCAATCTGGAAATGTGGCAGAGAATTGTGCTTTATTTTTGACACGTTACGCACGTAGAGGGATGCTAAAAATATAATGGCGTATACACTTGTCTTTATATAGCAGCCATAATATCGAGTAACAAACGCCACACCCACCCCACCCACACAGCTCCACGCACATGAGGTTTTTGGGCTATTTGGCCAAAAGGAAGTGAGTCCGCCTGGACTCGGCCGACTCACCCACCCAGCTACATAATAAAGCGGCCATAAAGCAACAGAACGTGCTAACAACACGTACAAATGGGCCAAAAGGGATGTGGCTACAGTGTTCCCCGAACTATTTTTGGGCCAGCATTTTGGACCAAATGAAAGGGAAATGAGTAGTTTTTTTCAAGGGAAAAATTGTAAGATGTATAGAGAGAAGTAAAAGCTTAAAAATAGGGGTTATTGGTAATAAAAAATATTGTTAAACAATTAGATATTCGAGTTAATTTCTTTTACCTTCAAAATAAATTGCGTTATTAGGGATTTCTCATCCTTTAAGAATAGTTACCCCAAAGTATAGCTAACCTTTCCCTCAGTGTCGATGCTGTTTCGGGAAGCGTCCCTCACGTTGCAGGTTTCTTCCACACTGGCTTTGGCTGGTGGATGTAGAAATTTGTAATTCCCAAACGAGGCTGCCATGAGAATTCTGATGCTAAACACGAACCAAGACCGATTTACTGGCACTTTTTCTTTATTTTTCCTTTTTCATATCCCGAATGTGGGAGAGTGTGTCAAAAAAGCAGACAACATAAATAACACGAGCCGGCTAAGAAGAAAAGATGGCCAACCAACAAAAGGCCAAGGAAAAAAAAATAAGAACAGCATACACTTGGGTTTTCTCTTGTTTTGTATTTTCCTTACATTTTTTTAGGCAGCCGCTTGATAATAAAAATCAAATAAAACCAAAAGCGACTGAAACCGCAACGACAAAAGAAAGTGAGGCCTGGAAAATGGCAAATGGAAAGTAAAATTTCACACACGCGCCAAAAAAGCGCAAAAAAAAAATATGGTAAAAAAACACGTAAATAAATAAGAAGCGTGAACTTGAATTGATTTGGTTAAGAGAGTAAACCGAGCCAAGCTCCCCACCTTGTTAGGCGTAAAAACATCATAATTATAACGAGGTAGCAATTTGTACGGCCCGGATCAGACAACGGGGCGTATGAGCAACAACATGCTCGTAAGGAACTTTTTTATGGCACACACGGGCATAAAATTTAAACTGAATGTCAAGAGAAAAAGGTTAAATGCAGCTGTAAAAAGTCAGTGCCTGTGCCTGTGCCAGTGCCAGAAGGGGCGCGGCAGGACCTGAAAAAAGAGATTTATGAAAAAATTGGCTTTTGTTGTTGTTCAGCGTCGAGGAGCTTCCTCCTCGCAAGTAAACAAGATAACATGGCCAAAACACACACACACTGCCATACACACACATATGAACAAATAAATATGTATGAGTCCGTGAACGGAAATGAAATTGTGAACTTTATGACAGAAGTCGTGTTTTTTACCCGACACCGCCAGCCGACCTTTTCCAGCCGCCAGGCCGCATTTTTATCAACTAAAATAAATAAATCAAAAACTATATGCCCTTCGGTCCACAAGGACACTCCCCTCCGATTACAGAGCCTAAAAAATTCCCAAAAAAAATGCAAAAATACATACAAATAATAATCAAAGCAACCATAATTTTCATCCTCGTTTTCATGTGGAATTGAATTTTATCTGCTGACCGCAAAATAAACAGAATGCCAAAGCAATTTTGTGGCCAATGGGAAAAAACAACAAGCAGCAGCATAGATAAATGCACATTGGCCAGCATAGGTTAACTGGGTTAAAATGACAAGAGCCGAGCAAAAACAAAAACATGGCCTGTTTCTGGTCGTTTACAAATATTTTTGTTAAACATTCGCTGGCCTTTCTTCGCGCAGCTTCCCTTTTTTCCCCGGATGTCTTTGTTTTTGTTTGCCTATTGCACAAATTTAACAAATTTTTATTGGCCTTTTTACAAATTCTCGTTTAATGTTTATGCATTTTAATGGCAACAGTAATAGTTGTGAGCCAATTCGTAAAAATTTGGCAAGTGGAACGGCAGTCGGCAGCCGCGGACAGCCGGCGTTGCCAGCTGTCTGATCTTTTAACCCCAAGGCCCCCTTTGTGTCCATCAGCCCCTTCTTTATGTTATGTAGTAAGGCTAAAACCCCACTACTCCCCTGGCACAATACCAAAGTCAAATTGTGTGTAAAATTCGGATGCTGCCAAATAGAATCATCTCGTCGACCATCGAGACCCATTCAAAGCTGATGACTAAATGATGAGCCAAATGATGGAAGAAAAGGGCCATCATTCAGGGAATTTAGAACAAATGCGTCATGTTTCCAGATCATTAGAGTTATTTTTATTTCGTTAATCATGTTGGAAAGGCAAGAAAAACAGTGCAATATGGTTTTGATTGATTTAGGGGCTTACTTTTCAGGTTGAGAGGTTTCAAGTTTGGCTAATGATTGCTTCTTCAATCAGGGAAACTCAAAGGAACTTCTAATAAAAACTCCATATAATCCCTGGGTAAATTGTGAATTATTAGCTTGTCATCCAGGCGGATACCTCCACTCATCCCCAGTCAGCTCTAATTGCATTCAATTCCTCGCCAACATCTGCCCGTCTGGCAGCTAAAATTTCAAATGCCTGGATATCTGAGTGAACGAAATCCCCTTGTAATCCGACCCTGACGAAGAAATCACAGTCGCAATCCTTTGGCCCCAGACAGGCACAGGCACAGGCACTCCTGCCCAACTTGGGGAGTGAGAGTGTCGTTGCCGAGAAGTTCGGTCGAAAGTTGTTGAAAAATTGCAAAACGTTAATCAAAGTTAAGCGGCGCAACGGCAGACGCCGCCTGCCTTTGCCGACGTCAAAGTTAATTAAATTACAAAGTTATTTAATACTTTCGATAGGATGGAGGACTTTGCTGCCGAAGGTGAGCCAGCAGGAGTCACTGGAGCATCCATCTACGTAGCCAGCATCTGCTCCAGAGCAAAGCTTATGCTCCTCCGAACCCTGGCCCTGCCCTTTGCTCCCTCTACCCGCCATTTATTTTCGCAAGGCAACGTGTGGCAGTCCTTAATGAAATGTAATTGAAATAAATTAATTTTTCTCACACTTTTTCGTGGAGTCTCTGTAATGGAAACATTTCGTGTGCCGGCTATCTCCGAGTTGCAGTTTAATTCAGTTTGCCGGGCAACTCGGGGAATTCGCAGTCCCTCAGTCGGGCTGCAGCCAGTTAATCTCCTCAACGGAGTCCTCAGCCAGGCCATCCTTTGGCTCGGTCCCGGTCTCGTCCTGGCCATCCTTCGCCTCCGTCCTTTCGACCTCGACCTCGTCTTCCGAGTCAGACTCCAGCTCCACGTTTTTCAGAGGCTGCAGCATCTCGACATCCTCCCCGCAGCCCAGTTGGCCGGATTGGCGTGAACTCTTCAACTTTGGCTCCATCAGGAAGGGACAGTTGAGAGCTGTCGGGTGAAGGGATCAGAAAAGTCGTTATCCGGATAGATGATGGGGTGCATAATGAAATAAAATCAGGGAAGTAAAGTAATCGAAAGTGCGACAAGATGGCTTGTTTGAGTTGCAGGTTAATACGGTTAGCAGGAAACAGAAATCAACTTAAAAGAATTAAAACTGTTTACCTAACGATGGATAAGATCTTACATTCATGGGTGATCTCCTCCTTGACCTCGTAGATGTCCGTTTCAAAGATTTGGTCTCGCGGCTTCAGGGCGCGCAGGTAGGGCGGGGTCTGCGACGTGCCTATTTCCAGGAGATTGAACTTGGTATCCCCCTCGAACTTGGGAAAGATCGGGGTGCTCGGATACGCGTTCAAGAAGAATCCGTTGAGGGCTTTCTTCAGACCTTGTTGATTCCCGGACTGGCAAATACGAGCCGTGACATAGGTCTTGTTCGGGCGCTTTTCCATCAGAGTGCCCTTGTAGGTGTGGGCCGGCGGAAATGGGGGTAAGTAGTCGGGGACGTAGGAAAGTTTGGCCATTTCCTTCTTAGGAGTAGCAGTCAGCATGCGCTTCGGACCTCTGCAGATTTTCTGCTGCTGCGTGCGTGGAGCCGGGCAGCGTACCGCCTTCACCGGCGGGTAGCCTTCCTTCACAGACTTCAGGTCGCCCGCTTCGATGCCCATCAGCCGGAAGGCCCGCTCCAGATCGAAGTAAGAGGCCGAAGTGCGACCGGCATGGTTGGCCCCATTGGTTGTCTGAACGGCGATTTCGCACAACTCTTTGGATAGGGGTTTCTGGAATTTCTGGATAAAAAAAAAACAACTCTTAGATACTCACTATTTCGCAGTAATTCCACCAGTTGATGGCGTATCTGCTGGTCCTCCACCACACACTTCCTCGCAGCCAGCATGCTGTCCACAACATCGTAAAGAGCCTTGTCGTACCTGTTCATTTTTGGGTGAAAAGATTTAAACTCAACTGTGACTAGAAAGGTCAAAGGCATCACAGTCTATCGATAGGAGAGTTCTAGGTTCCTGAGTTTGAAAAATAATACCCGAGTCACAGGCAAACAACAATTGTTTGGTTTTGGCCAACCTCCTCCGCTCTTAGCGCAATCTTTACACAATCTTTCCATAATGTTGAGCACATATTACGAAAATAGATAGACAAACCGTAGTTTGTTTAAACTGAAACCCAGCTACCGTATGGAAAATCCATCCAGCTGCCACACCCCGAAAACTAATTAAAATATCTTCGCCTTATGCGATCGCAACAAGCTGAAAACTGCTAAACATTTGTCCGGCATTGTGTACATAATACCGGCTATATGGAGGAGAACCTCGGGCCAATATCTTTAGCATTTCCCCCTAATGAGTTATGCAAATATTTGCTGTTGAATAGACCGCTTCCAAGAATCGAAAGACCGGCCCGTCTCCCGAAAGTGGGAGCCATTGTTGGGCTCTATGACGAATCTGTTGGACTCCGTCATAGGTTTGCCGCAACGCGGGGCATAATCATCGGGCTCAGGGCAAACAAGCGGCAAGAGGCATGGAGACTCGCCACGAGGTCACTGTGTCAGAGTGGAAAAAGCACTTTAGATGCAGACAGATTCGCGGATTGTGACGCCCAAGAGGCTGCTGCGGATGCAATTCAACAAATGGCCCCTTCACCCATAAATGCCCCTTCTCGTCTGGGCTCTATGATCATTCAGATATGATAATGACGATGCTGATAATGGGGATTATGATGGCTGGCGGTCGTGCATTGTGGGCGTTCCGTGGCTGACATTTGCACAAAGAACTCGCCCATATCTGGGATCTGATGTTTTTGCCCCTAAGCGCTACCGTTTAAGGCTTTGTAGGATACACAGTAAGACAATTCTAAAATCTATACATATTCTTGCTGAATCCTGAGTCAGTTATAGCCTTATTTTGGACATATTCTTAATAGTTCTTAAAAGTATTTTTAATTATAACAAAATTGTCTCTAAAATAGCCTCTATTTTTTGCCAGTTTATGATGTGACACTGATGTAAGGAATCCGTTCTGTTGAGATGCAAATTTATGCGCTCGCATTTGTGGTTGCGCCCATTGTCGCATAAATTTCATTCATAATTAACAAGATCTCGGGAGGAGGCTGGGAAAGAGCATCGCGCATCTCGTATCTCGACAAGCGATTCGCAAGTTGTTTGCTCAAAACGACAAACACAAGTAATTGCTGCAATTTGCTGGCCGGCAGGAAAATGGGAAATTGGGAAGTGCAAGCGCCGCAGATTGAGCTGTCTCCGGCCAGTCCGTTGGCAGTTGTGGCTGTTTTGTGTTACCGCCGCCAAAACGGGCTAATTCGAACGATTAATTCGATAAGCTTGCAGCTGAAATCAGCTCAGTTCGCCAACAGAAAGCCCGACAACGACGACAGTTGCACAAACTTGCAGCCAATTGATTGAGCAGCCGATTACTGTGGAAGTCTCTGCCCCAAGGCATCGCAACTGGGATCCACTGGTGGTGCAAATTGCCCATCGGCTCGGGAGCCGTGGCATCCACACACAGAACAGAGCACAACAAATTGTTCCAGTTTCCGCGACGGAGATAAATCTATTGAGATATCGACTCTGGGAGTCGGGAGTCTGGAGTCTAGAGTCTCCATTCCCGACGGCCATCTGGACCGTTTCTGGTTCTGGACCGTTAAGCCCACGCTCCATGCTCCACGCTCCAGAATTCCCCAAATCACTTGGCCTGTCTGGCACGATCTCCTCCTGATCTCCTCCTGGGCTGAGTTCTCTTCGGGCAATCTAATCAGTTGACGGAGGGCGGCTTAGTGTTTATGACAGCCGGCCATTACAGAAACTGGCCGACAGGTTGAACCCAGTTTTCCAGCCAATAACTTATAAGAACTCTTACAGATAGTTGAACTCTTAACCCACAAGTTAAAAGCTCACCAAAATTCTTATACTTTGGGTAAATGGCCAAAATCATTGATTTCGTTTGGATAATAATCAAGCTTAGTTAAGACCTAGTTAAAGCCTAATTTCGATATCCCGTTGGCAGGCCAATCAAAAGCCAGCGAATGCACGACTTTTTGCGATCAAACGGTCAAGTGATCGCCGATCAATTCAAATGGCTAATGACACAATCGATGTTAACTTGTGTAATTGAAGTTGGAGGAGAGTGCGCCGCCAGATGGCCAGCTGTTTTGGGCCACGTTTGATCAATGGCCGCGCATGGCCAACAGCGCTCGGCCAGCGGCCCATGGAAGGCAATTTCCAAAGATCTGTCAAAATGTGTTAACTTGTCCAATAACAATTGTTGTAAGCTATTGTATGGTGGGGTGGGGAAACGAGTTTACTTGATAGTAACAGGTGCCGTGACAATTGATGAAAACAAATTTACAAAAAGTTGGTATCCGCATTGAGAAATCAGTTGCCGCAAAGTCGGTTTATGAGCCAACAATGACGTAGTCTTGGCCAAATGTTGAGTCAGACCTTATCTAATCAGTGCAAAAATAAGGGTTTATTTAAAGTGCGAGAGGCGTGGAATACAAAGTATAGTTTTCAGCATAAAACTCTTAGGATTTGCTATTTTTTCTCTTTGGTTCTGGGCTGGCTTTTAGATATTTTTCAAGCACTTGCACTTTACAAGTTTTGTGCACTTCGACCTCTGCCTGAAAGCTGGAAACTTTGGCCCCAAACTATTGTTTTTGTTTCGCATTTTGGCCAAGCTGCGACAAAGCTTCTTTGTGTTACATTTATGCAAATACCTGGCATGGAACAGATTGAGTTTGCAGATACGAAAAACAAATAGAGACAGCCCTTTTATGGAGTTGATAATTTTTGCAGAATAAGAAATCACTTTTTGTTTTCATGTCTGGAGACGCCTATCTAATCACAGAGCAGGTGGCACTGTAGTGGTCCGTTTGGAGCGGAACACTATCTTGATTAAAGTCAATTGACTTAATTAGGAGACTGCGCCTACTCTTAGGAACAACTTTACTTTCAAATTGAAATTTATTGCCGAAACAAAGGGAGAATTTAATAAATTACCAATTGAAGCTCTCATATGCAAAATGGCAATTAACAGAAAAACTTGAAATTAAAAGAGCCAGGAGGACGTCGCGTGGCGAATTTATTAATTCAATTCCGAAAGCAACGAAACGGGAAACGGCGGGAGTCTGCTCCGATTTCGTTTCGATTTAAATTCAAATTCAAATCAACTTTTCAAAGCTGGTACTAAATTTATGCAACATTTCCGCACATCTATATGAGGTTCTTTCGCTTCGTCGGTGGTGTGTGTTCTGTTCTGTTTTGTTCCAGAAATAAAAATGCAAAATTTGTTCTAAAAACCTTCTAAGCATAATTACGAACTTGCAACCAACCAGGCAGGCAGTCAGAGAACCAGGCAACCAGGCAGTATTATCATCAAATATTTAGGTAAAAAGTGTATGGAGAAATTCCGGCAGAGTGGGGGAGTATTTTCTCAACTCTGCAGTATCCCATATCGTGAAAATAAACATTTTCAGCTGACAGACGTCGAAGCCAAAAAGCAGATAAACAAACAAAGGCAGACAATTCCAAATGCAGTTGCTTGAAATTATGAAAGAATGCCAGATCAAAGGGGATGGGGAGGTAATCCTGACAGCTTCAAGTGGCTTCCATTTCATCCGACCCGGACTCCACTGCAATTATTATTATTTTTGGACTACATTTAGCTGATGCCGAGTGGCGTCGTTTGAACGGAGGAGTCTGCATTTTTATTCGCTCCTCGAACTGTCAAAATGGTTGTGGCCCGGGAATCGCTTTTTGGCACTTGGACTGATTGGTTGCATTTTGTGGGCATCGCCACAGAGACCCCGCTTATTTGTACAATACATTTTCCAGAATATAATCAGTTTGTTTTAATGGAATTCCTGTTTCTCTTTCCATTGCAGATTTAAACCACTCTCTGGTTCGAGGAGCACTCAAAGGCGTCCACAGAATAGGTAAATAATAATAAATTCCCCTTCATAATGGAATAATAGTACATTATTTGAATGTATAATGCATCTACGATACGGATGCAGTTCGTTTGGCTAATGCAATTTGAGCCACCAACCACTACCACCACAAACTCCACGCCACCACCCACACCCACTGCGGTTTCTGTCACATTTTTTGCGCAATTCCAAGCGGCGATTTGGGTTTTCGGTTTTCATCTTACGGATTCGTTTTGTTGGCTTTCGTCGTGTTCGGTTTTCATTTACACTTATTTATATTTATTTCCCCGCCGCGGCTTCTTTTGGAGGCAGCCCCCACCCAGGGGCTATGGGTATTTATGTTGATTCTTTCGGCCACTATCGGCGTGTGCATTTTTTATGTCTTTGTCGCTGGTGTGGCACAAAAAAGTGGGATTGCAGCGGCAGTACTATAAGTCAGCGATAAGTTGCCGGACGCTTTATGCGATTGGACTGCCTGGCATATAAATTAATAAGAGTGCAAACAGAAACGTCGATGCCGGCACACGTGGCGAATGCGTAATATTCCGATGGCCGATTGGACGATCAGCCGCGGCCTTAAAGCCACAATTTGCTTAATGCCCCAAACCAATATTGATATTGGGCCAATATTTATACAATTTGTACAATTTCAAAGTTTGTTTCAAAGCCACAGATACAGCAGATGGGAATTCACAAAATGTGAGTCAAAATGCAGATGATTCAGTTTCAGCGACAACACACCTGAAACTGCACATCTATCCGAGTTAGTCATGAGTTTGATTTTTAGATTTTTTCGAAAATTGCTGGCTTTTTAAGAGTCTTGCCAATTTGCATGCCATTTGTTCTGTCTGTTTTGACCATATTTGAGAGCCGAGTTTGATTTCGAGATATCAAGTTTGATTTGTGGGCCTCGGAATGGCTCGCCTTGACATTTCGTGCTGGAAAAATTTAAATTTAGATTAAAAATCGCCAAATGCGGCCGGCAGAGTGTCGAGCGACGCATCTGCTCTGGGCCATTAGCGGATACTAATGCCACGCCCACTCGCCGGACGAATCTATAAATATTCCAGACTTTGCACAGCCGTTAAGTCAACAAACCGGCCAACTGGGAATGGCAATGAGATGAAAATGGCTTGAAAAGTGTCGACTGTAGAGTGGGAGTGATGATGCAGCAGATGATGTTGGCCAGAATGGGAGTTGGTTGGGAGTTGGCTGGATGTGATGCTGCCATGCTGCAGACCAGTTGGCAATAAATTAAAGTCAAACGGAAATCATTTTGCATGCATGTCCTCCTGCCTCCTCCTGGTCCTGCAAGAGCTGCATCCGAGAGCAAAAAAAACACACACAGACCGGATAATGTTTGTGTCTGCGGAATGCGATGCGGAAATTCAACATTTTAGTAAACAGGCGGGGGAATATTTCCACTCGGCCAGTTATTGTCAACGCTGCGTATACTTGATAGGCTAACATTGGCCGGCTATGAGCTAACATTCCATAATGCGATTACCCTTCGGGCCGGGCCGGGTCAGGACAATGCAGAACAGGACTTGCAAGTAAACCAAAAATTTTCTGCAGCTCACGCACAAAAGCCATAGACGAAGCAACAAATTTCCAAAGCCTGTAAATGATTTTTGGGAAACTCATGTGTTTCTGGGAAAGACCGGGATGGCTGGATAGAGCCAGTGGGTGGCTAACAAACAAGATAAAACTTTTGATTTATCGTTGACACGAACGACAAAGGCATGGAGCGGGAAAAGGGCCCGGGATACAAAAAACAGGGTCCTGCCAGCATTTTTGGCCAGTGGGTGGCTGACTGAAAACTAACTTGGCTCACAAAAGGACGAAAATAAACCTGGAAAAATATTAAAGGCTTTGAAAGTGATGTCTACTAAAGGTTACTAGGCGTATGAGTAATTTTATTACACAATTCGCTATCCTAAAATTAGACCCACCTCTCCAATAAGTAGGCTAATATAAAGCCTGAAATTCAAAAGAATTTCAATAGAGTTCTATATTTTTTCTGCGTGTTCATGAATTCAAGGCAATTACCCAGCTACTCTACATGCCTGGAGGTGGCTGGGGGGCAGGAGACGGAGGCTGGGGCATGTGGTCTGCCAGTGTCAAGTGTGTGTCACGACACGCGCCGACAAATTTGTGGGCTGCTCCTCCTCCGGCTACTGTTCCGACGCCCATTCCCAAAAAAGCGGCAAACAAGCATAAACTCTCAAGCTTCTGCCACAGCAACTGCCGGGAAAATTTGCCTCATTTTGAGGCACAAAGGGCGGGGGTCGGAAAATACAAGAAGCACAGACAACAATGGGCAGTTGAATGGTCAACTTGGTAGCCTGCTTTCCAGATACCATCGAGGGGAACAACAAGAAAAACAATTTAGTCCCAACCAGGAAAAGAAACCAGAAGAATACATAGAACTTCGAAAGCAAAGTTCCGCAAAATTTAGTTTGCTCGGCCAGCCTTAATTTCCACAAATATTTGTTCACTCGCATATTTCTGTTTGTTCACTTTGCGAGGCCTGAACTTGAAAAAAATTAATGACAAATATTTTTACAGTTCCAGTGCGAGCAACAGAAACGAGGCGCTAAAAAAATACATATAAAAAAATAGCAACAAAAATACTCCAAGTGACATTTTTATGTCAATGAAATCGGCACACAAATCTTTATATACGCATTCCCCTACATATAGATCTCTAAAATAAACAGATCAAAAAATGAGAGAAGATCGTTGTAAGATCACTCATATTCATACACAAGAAAAAATATTTCCATTTTTTGAGATTTAATATATTAAATATTATTTATCCAGAGATCAGTTTTTTAAAGAAAGTACATATAATGAAAATCATAAAAGATCATCTTAGATTTGAAGAAAAACTTTACAAAGACTTTAAGATGACTTTTTTGGTTCAAATTTCAAAAGAATATATTAATTTCGAGGGACATAGATTATTTGGAAGTGATACCATTTCAATTATTGTTAGGCAATAAAATCAGACTTTATTTTTTTATGTGTGGGCTTGGTTAGGCTGTGAAATAATCCGCGTGGCGGCGCCGACGGCGAGTGGGGCATGAATTTGAGTGGCATGACATCACTCGGGTGCCCCCGGCAGCCCAGCCACAGTCTCAGTTCCAATTGCCTGAGTTCTCAAGTGCCGTACGTGTTATGGATGCTGACGTAGCCCCTGGCGCCTGCGCCCAATGCAAATCCGCTCCGAACCACTCGCTTTTATTATCGCATTTTATTTTATTTGGTCGATGACGTTGTCTGCCGATTCGAAATGCACAAACTATCGCAGAGTATCTACAAACGAGGGTATGCGAACTGCAGGTACGTGCGGCGAGCTCAATACGATGTGAGACTCTGATATTTATGAGGGATCTCGCTCCACCCCAGACCTGAGTTATGTCATATCTTGTGAGGTAGGACCCCGGGCAGGTAAGAAGTGATTGATAGGTGATGGCTCTCGGCGGGTTGATTTGTGATGAGTTCTGATGAATCGTTTGCGGCTTCGCCCTGTTCTTCTATAGCTCAGAATTGAATTTATGAGCCCAGAGCCAGCCATTCGAAATGCTTTCAGGACGAACCCAAAATCAAGCTGCAAGGAATCCATTTAAAATTCATCTAAACTCATTAAAAAAGTTTTCGTCGGTTGGCTGAAACTGTAAATTAATTTCAACTTGGCCCGAAGCAACCAGAAAAACAGAAACAAACTTTAAATGCACTCAAATTCAATTGAAATAAAATGCAGCCTCATGGTCTGGCACTGCGTATACTTGATATCGCGTATACGCCGCATGGGGACCACTGCCTCTGGCTCTTCCATAGCTATATGTAGCTATGCAACTAGCGTCCTGTCAAAGCAACAAGCTCACAACAGACACAATGACTTGTCAGCAACAAAATGACTTTCACTTTTTCCTTTGGCCGGAGAAGGGTGGCTTGAAAAATGCACAGGAACAAAAAATAGCCGGCAAAATAAATGCCAATATTGTGACGCTGGAAAACTGTCTTTTTTATCAAAGTGAGCTTTATTTGCAGAGTGACTTATTTGGTAGGATTTTGGGACTATGCTTTATTCCTTCAAAGTCCAATGTGTTGAGGGGGAAAGCCCAAAGGAATTCAAAGAGGACATGTTTTCCACTGACATCCCTCGAAGGGGAAAATCAGCAGGAAAGAAGGAAACTTCAGTCAAAAGGCATGACAGATGCTGCTGCGGAGATAGCTCCTCCAGCCACAGCCCGTACGTGTCGGCTCTCCACCAAAAGATTCCGCACAGGTGAACCATGAAAATGCTGGCAATTGCACAGGTACATGGCTTATATAGTTGTTGTTGGTGTTTGGTCTGAAATGTGGAGAAAACCAGAAGCTCCCCGCACCGACTCCAGTGGCAGCTGTGAAAACGAAAAACGTTTCTCGGCCACTTTTCAATGCAATCGAGGGAGACTGGAATCTGGAATTCGGAATTCGGAGCCCGGAATCCGAGGTCCGAGGTCTGGGGTCCGGGCCATGGCAGAGATGCGTATAAATTATATTGCCCGGCTGCGATTTATTCCGTGCAATGAAAATCATCTGTACTGCAATTTATAGCTCTCTTTTACAGTTTTTGCCGAACTATGTGGTGTTGGCCGATGGCTGCTGGGATTGCATTTAAACCAATGAAATGCGCATAAATTAATTAAGCCAGCCAGAGCGTAATCAAACGAAAAGAAACGAAACGAAGCGCATATGTTGTATTTATAAATGTTTAACTTCCTATAGCTACAAATGAACCGCACAAAAACATTTACCTTTAATTAAACCGCAAACTGGTATTTAGTCAGCAATTTGCCGACAGTTTTTAGTGTGAGCCTGTTTGTTTACGAACTAAAAATTTATTCAGATTCGGATTCAAATACGTCGGCTGGCAACTTAATTATGCCAAGAACGGGTTAATTCCGGCCAGAAGGTTTCTCATAATTGATTACGACATATGCTAGCCAGGAACTCCCACAACAGCGTCGAATTAGAGTTGGAAGTAAAAACACGAATTGTATATACTAGGATGGCCAGAATTCCGGCATGAATAATGCCGGCAATTTGTCCACTTTTAAGCCGCATGCCGAGCTACGAAAATCGTTAAGCCGATGTTTAGTTCATAATTTATTTGGCAGCTGTTTGCATTGAACTCGTCGCTCAAGAGGTTAACTCTTAAAAACAAAGATGTTTTCGCCATTGGCGGAGTCGTTCAACTTTTGCTTTTAGCTCGAATCGACTTTAAATTTCATTCATTTGATTGATGAATGGCCAGACGAGTGAAATATCTGGTCTCTGAGTGGGTGCTGATCGACCGAAGAGATCTCAATTGATGGCGGCTGATGGGATTCTAATTACGTCCAAATTACATATCATATATCACGATAGGTTCTTGGAAGTCCATAATTTATGCTAATTCCCGACTAGCACTGAACTAGCACCTCATAAATGTAAATTAACTTCCCAAACACCAAAAAACCCCCTCAATAAATAAGCGCACGCCCATAACTCATTCATCAGTTCAGTTCTTTGGATGGGGGGCACACACGTGTGTCTGTTTGAGGCCATTCCATTCCGAAGTCTCATTGCGATTCCCATTCTTTTTTTGTTTTAAAAAATCTGTGGGTCCAATACCCAACTGCTGATGAGCTTATCTCTAACCTCCAACGGGCAGACAAGGTTATGGAAAAGGGTCCAGATGCGCATTAATTCTAAAGCCAGGCGCAGCTTTAAAAAATAATGTATAAAAAGTTTATAACTTTTTTGGGTTTTATTTGCTCTGCTTGATTGATTCGCCCATGTCATTTCGGGTTTTATTTTCGGTTTAGTTTTTATGACTTCACTTTCCCGGAACTTGTTGATAAGATCCAATTAAAAACACATTTTCGGCTGCAAAGGCTGTGAGAACCAAGTCTGTGCTGGTTAGTTTTGGGTTTATTACTTTAGAGTTATGGAACCACATTGTACCATACACTTAAAGCCATAATATTTTACAGAAGTGAGGAGCTTGTTTTAATATAGGTCCTCAAACCTAATTGGGGATGATATCATCAAGAAGGCTTAAACGCAAAATATTTCTCATAAGATAAAATATATTAAAAGTCAATAGCACTTCATCATAAATACCAATATTACGTGTTTTATTTTATTTGGAATATTCATTTAAATGACATCAAAATGATTACCCACCATAAATCAAAGTATCATTCAATTTCTGGATGCTGTAATAACCGAAAAACGCAATAAATTTCCGACCCGCCCAAGTTCAAGATCAAGGCCTACCGTATCCCTCCTCATCACCTTCATCAGCCCGCCTGACATTTGAATGTCACATAGCCGGGGCCTCCGCCATCCCTCCATCCCACATCGCTAACTGCATCCGAAGTGGGTCATAAATCAGTCAAACATCGCCCACTTGCAGGCGGCGATTTCCCCCGGGGCCCAGTACCCGATACCCAATGCCCGGAGCCCCTGTGTGGGTGCCGTCTCTCTTTTTATTAGCCACTTAAACAAATGTCGAGTTGTAATAATGTTGACAACATCGTCTGTCGGCGGTGTGTCTTGAAGGTCTCCCATATCTGCCGGGAAAGCTCGCGTCATCGCGTCATCATCGTCATATGAAGTAAACAATCCCGTCAGCAAGCCTGAGAGTCGGAAAGCCTGCAAAGACAAAAAAATCAAATCCAAATAAGAGACCACAATTACAGCCACTGAACCTCGCCGAGATCGGTAGCCCGGTTGGTAAGCAATCCAGCAATGACTGCCAAGTCGTCACCGTTGTGGAATTCGCTGTAGGCCAAGTGATTGCTGTTGGCCAAGTTCACTCGCCAGAGGCACAAGCCAACAACTACACAAGGGAAAATATTAAGTACAAAATAAGCAATTAATATTTATAGGTTTGTTTTCAAATAACTTATATCATAATTTAAAATATCGTACCTTGTAATCTTCTAATTTAATTTTGATGATTTAAGCCACAATTTGCAATTCAATTCGTTCATAAAGAATTAAATTTTATTGATATTTTCTTTGTGGGATTAACCATTTAAGAGCCAATATTAAAGCCATATAATCTAAGCCAAGAATTAGTAGTTGTGTTAATTTCTCTCCGTGCCACACACTTCGAGCCAAGCCCCACAAAGCCGGCTTGTCTGGCGAAGCTGTCAAGCCAGTTGGCCGGCATGTGTTTACTTCTTTAACTCTTTTCCGCCGAACCCCTCCACTTCCTCCCTTTAATTTGTTTGTGTTCATGGCTATGAATTATTTTACACAAATTATATATGATTAGCCGAGTGCATACGTGTGCGTCCCTGTCTTTCTGGCCAAATGAAAGGGGAGGCGATGAAATTAGCCGCACGCTCTAATGGCTCAATTAAAGTGACACAATTGAGCCCGTAATTTCTGGAGAGAGTGCCAGCTCCGGAGTCCGTGCCCCGGAACAGGTATTTCCGAAAGCGCTAAAACCTCCACTAAGTGATGGATCATTTAATTAATTTTTGAGGAATGTCAAAGGTGAAAGACATGTGATAGACCATCAGGAGGCCGTTTAATTAATTTTATCTTATTAGATCGTCTCTACTTTCACGATGTGCCTAGTTTTAACAATCGATTTAACTACGAAAGTTAAGGTATGGTTAATTCCAACAGCATGGAATTAGCCAATTGTAACTACGAAGGTATATTTATATATGTATCTTTCCCAATTCTCAACCGATTCTTGAGCGGAGTATCTTAAACGATTTGTAGATCGATTCTCCACAAATCTGCATCAGAATCTAGCAACAAAATATTTTTCAGATTTTTTGTCAAATTTTGTGGAGGGTCCCCTTCAAAAATCCCTAAAATGCTCGGAGCCTCTATATGGACCACAGTGATTGCCATATCTTTCCCAATTTTCATCCGATTCTTGAGCGGAGTATCTTAAACGATTTGTAGATCGATTCTCCACAAATCTGCATCAAAATCTAGCAACAAAATATTTTTCAGATTTTTTGTCAAATTTTGTGGAGGGTCCCCTTCAAAAATCCCTAAAATGCTCGGAGCCTCTATATGGACCACAGTGATTGCCATATCTTTCCCAATTTTCATCCGATTCTTGAGCGGAGTATCTTAAACGATTTGTAGATCGATTCTCCACAAATCTGCATCAAAATCTAGCAACAAAATATTTTTCAGATTTTTTGTCAAATTTTGTGGAGGGTCCCCTTCAAAAATCCCTAAAATGCTCGTAGCCTCTATATGGCCCACAGCGATGGCTATATCTTTCCCAATTCTCATCCGATTCTTGAGCGGAGTATCTTAAACGATTTGTAGATCGATTCCCCGCAAATCTTCATTAAAATCTAGCAACAAAATATTTTTCAGATTTTTTGTCAAATTTTGTGGAGGGTCCCCTTCAAAAATCCTGAAAATGCTTGGAGCCTATATATGGCCCACAGTGATGGCTATATCTTTCCCCATTCTCATCCCATTCTTGAGCGGAGTATCTTAAACGATTTTTAGATCGATTCTCCACAAATCTGCATCAAAATCTAGCAACAAAATATTTTTCAGATTTTTTGTCAAATTTTGTGGAGGGTCCCCTTCAAAAATCCCTAAAATGCTTGGAGCCTGTATATGGCCCACAGCGATTGCTATATCTTTCCCAATTCTCATCCGATTCTTGAGCGGAGTATCTTAAACGATTTGTAGATCGATTCTCCACAAATCTGCATCAAAATCTAGCAACAAAATATTTTTCAGATTTTTTGCCAAATTTTGTGGAGGGTCCCCTTCAAAAATCCTGAAAATGCTTGGAGCCTGTATATGGCCCACAGTGATGGCTATATCTTTCCCAATTCTCATCCGATTTTTGAGCGGAGTATCTTAAACGATTTGTAGATCAATTCTCCACAAATCTGCATCAAAGTCTAGTAATATAATATTTTTTAAATTATTGGAGATACTCTTCAATAATGTTATGATTGCAAGGGAGATACAATGAGGCTAAATCTTTGGCGATAGCTATCTGATTCCTAATCGGTTCACCTTGAAAAAATGGTAGATGGATACTCTACCAATTTGTATAAAATTCTAACTACAATTTATAGAATCTGTGGGATGAACTATTTATATATTAGCTTGAGCCAAGAACTCGGTGCCATTTATATGCATCCACAATTATTCAGAAAGCTTTAGGTCTTTGTTTGGCCAAGAATAACACAGAACAGAGCCCTCTAAAACAGTTAGCGGATTAACCCGCGGCAGTTCAAGTCGTTTGTGGGGCCGAAGTGGGTCACTGCAACCGGCACACTGGCACACTCGCACACACACTGGCACTCTCTCTTTTTTTTCACACACTCTGGCCACCGAGTGTGTCAACAAATTGAAAATAGAATGCAATAACAAGCGTCAGTGGCAGTGGCAGTGGCAGCAACAGTGGCAGCTTCTGACCGTGTTGTCTCCCACTTGACGAGGTGGTTAAAGTTATGAAAGTGTTAATTGAAATGCCACACAAAGCCGGCCAAATGAGCCACTCGCTGGCCAAGAGCCGACCGGCCACTCGTCAGTGACCAGTTCTGTGGCCAAAAGTTGCTTATGAATGCCGGCCAATAAATATTATGAATCTGTTCAAATAATATGTATATTCCGTTGGCTCAATTTGTCTTGGCAGGCGTGGGGGCACGCAGGCCCATCCATCAGCGGGAACACTTGTTAGAGGCTGTTTCTGGGGAGTGGACTGTGATTTGCATAAAACAAACATTTGCTCACACAGAGCATAGAATTATGATAAGCAGACGGGTTGAGAGATTAACGAATGCTCATTGTTTGTCTTCGTCTTCGTTTCGTTCCAGCCCGTTTACTCCGCTCGTGCGATGCAAAAAGTGGCCAACGGAGGAGCACGCAACACGGAATCCATCTAAGCCACAGAGGAGGCAGCAAGAAAAGGAACGAGAAACAGCAATCAGGCATCAAGGATGAGTGGCAGCCATAAGATGTGGTGCTGTCAAGTATTTATTTTAGTTTTAGGTGAGTGACTGCGCCAGCACTTCGCGGCTGATTTATGCAACATCCCCATTGTTATCCTTGCCACAGTTGCACACACAATCTCCGCGGAGCTGCATCTCAGCGGAGCCAGAGCCGGAGTCAGCTTCGATGGGCCACAGCCCGCCCAGAGCCCGGATGCAGTACCGCCGACTGCCCGCCCCAAGCGCCGCATGTACGCCCTGTGCCCGCCGCAGTTCCAGCGCGTGGGCACCGACTGCTACTCCCTGGTTCCGCAGCGCAGCAGCTGGCTGGAGGCGCACTTCTTCTGCAAGGACAAGAACGCCAATCTCACAGAGCCGACCAAGCATGCCGATCGCAAGCTGAGGCAGTTCCTCCAAAAGCAGGATGGGCTATCCAGAGGTAGGTACATTACCTTACTTATTTTTAGTATTTTACAAACTGTGTCCCTTAGACCGCGATCCCATTTGGTTGGGTGCCACCTACGATCACCACAACAGCAAATGGCAATGGAGCATGAGCGACCGCAACCTGTCCTTCGAAGCCTTCAACCAAAAGGACCCTATGTAAGTTCGACTTTCTGTGTTCTTTCCTGTGTTTCTTTATTTCCGTAATCTGACTTAACGCCTCAATCAACGCAACAATTCTAGCTATTCGCAACTTATCTTCAACAGCAACCCCCGGGAGAACAACTGCGCCGTCTACGATCCGAATCTCAGGTACCGCTGGTCGGCGCGACCCTGCTCGGATAAGCTGCGCTTCATCTGCCAGCACAAGATGCCCAAGGTGAGCGGCCCCAACCGGTACAAGATCTACAACCGCTGGAACGCCACCTATCCGAACGAGCAGGCCAACGAGGTCGTCCTGGAGATCCTCGAGCCGCACCAAAACGATCGCAGGTAAGTGGAGTCTAGGGGGTGGCATCTCCGGGTGCAATGGTGGGCTCCTTAGGGCTCGCATCCTCGCCCTCAGCCACATCTTTGAGCTCCTTGCTCTTCTCAGCCTCCTCTTCGTCCAGAAATTCATCCCACTTGGAGAGCCGTTCTTGGGCCTCAGTTGCCGATTCATCGATTCTATGGGATATTGAAGTATTAGTGACTACCTTAATCGGATTTAGGATTAGTGTCTTACTTGTATTTGGTTTTGCCGTCCCAAGCCTCTGCGGTTAGTTTCCTTTGACCAAAGAAACGTCCCTGCATCATTTGTATGACCAGGTCCGCCTCCTCCGGACTGGACATGTTTACTTGAGCAACGCCTTCAGGATGACGCTACGGGAGATATGGGAGATTGGATTATGATATTATTATAGGCTCAAGTCTAGAACTCACGTCATAGATGACCACCTTGCGGACCATTCCGCACTTGCCACACTCCTCCCGCAAATTGTTCTGGTACTCCAGGATGAGTTCCACTTGTTGTTCAAAGAGTTCCGGAGTAAAGAGGTTTTTAAGGATGACGGTTTTCTCGTTCTTGGAACGCTCCCCGCGCATTTTGTCTGGTCGCCAGTCGAATAATCTTTGAGAAGAGGTTATTAATATTATTTGAGGATTCTAGATAGATTCCTCCCCGAAACTACTCACTTTTCCTTCATTTTCTGCAACTTTTCCTTGTCCTTCTTCTTACGCTTGGGCTTCAGGGCGGGATTGTACTCCCCACGCATTTGGAACTGTGCCCTTTGGACCCGTATTTTGTGGCCCCGGTAGTTGTACTCATCCAAAATTTTCAAAGCCAGATTGACGCTCTCCACCTTGAAGATAGAATACATCAAAATATTAATATTTATTCTCCACTAGATACCACCGCCGTGTCAAGGCCGAGGGCAGCAACGAGGAGATGATCATCCCCGGCCGTCGCCGCAACAACAACAACCGCAGAAACAATCGCAACCGCCCCGTCCTGCATCCCAATGACGTCAACTACGAGCAACCCGGACAGAAGCCCCGCAGGAAGCGTCCACGTGTCACCACTGTGGCGCCTTCAGTGGCACCATCTCCTGGCTCTGGCATCAGCAACGACGTGCTCAGCCCCTCGGCCACGCCCCAGCAGATGACCCAGTACGACCGGAAGTTGCAGCGCCAAAGGGAGCGCGAGAGACGCCGCCAGTTGCGGAAGCAGGAGCGCAGGAGGCTGCGACTGGAGGAGAAGCTGCGTCAGGAGCGGGAGCGAGAGAGGGCGGCCCAAGATGCCCCACACTCCCCCGTCGAGGTAGGTGAACTGCATCAGCGCTCTGCGGAGGAGACCGAGAAGCGTCACCGGGAGGAAAAGGAGAAGAAGCAGAAGAAGGAGCTGGAGAAGCAGGAGAAGCTGAAGAAGGCCGAGCAAGAGAAGCATAGGCTGGCAGAGGAGGAGCGGGTGCGCAATGAGGAGCTGGAGGCCCAGAAGCTGAGAGAAGAACAGAAGAAAATACTAGAGTTCCAGGAGCAGCAATCGCGAGAGCTTAAGGCCAAGCACGAACAGGAGCTGCAGGAGCGGGAGAACCAGCAGCAGCAGCGGCAGCGGGAGATCGAGGAACTCAAGCAGCGGCAGGAGGAAGCCGAGCGCCAGAAGGCCGCCGACGAGGAGGCGGAGAAGCAGCGCCAGGAGCACATCCAGAAGCTAAGGCAGCGCGAGGAGGAGGATCGCCGCCAGCGTGAGGAAGAACGCCGCAAGCTGCGCGAGCAGCAGGAGGAACAGGACCGTCTGAATGCCGAGAAGCGCCGCGAGGAGGAGCAACGCCTGCAGAAGGAGTATCAGGAGCGCTTGGAGCAGGCCAAGACCGATCGAGAACGCCAGTTGGCGGAGGCGAGGGAGGCCAAGCGCCGCGAGGATCTAGCACTGCAGGAGCAGATTAAGAAGCAGGAGCAGGAGCGCCAGGAGCAGGTCCGCCGCAAGCTAGAGGAGGAGGAGAAGCGCCGCGAACTGGAGGAGCTGGAGGAGACCAAGCGCTTCGAGGAGCAGGAGCTGAAGCGGCTGCACGAGGAGAACGCACGGCGTGAGGAGCAGCAGCGCCAGCGGGAGCGGGAGATCGAGGAGCGCGAAGCTGTCGAGAAGAAGCTGGCGGCCGAGGAAGAGCGCCTGCGCCAGGAGGTCCTCGAGGAGGAGCGGGCGTTGAAGCAGCGCCAGGAGGAGGCCATCCGCCAGACGGAGGAGGCGCGCAAGGCCAAGGAGGACGAGGAGCGGGCCGCCGAGGAGGCCAAGGCTGCCGAGCAGAAGCGCCGCCTGGAGAAGGCCAAGCAGCTGGCCGACGCGGAGAAGGCCGCCCAGGAGGAGGCGAAGAAGCGCCTCTACGCCTCCCGAATCTCGGCCCTGAGTCCCGAGGACCAGAAGAAGTTCTTCGAGATGCGGAAGCGGCGCAAGCAGCTCAAGGAGCAGAGGGCGCGCGAGCGCAGGGAGAAGGAGCTCAAGAGGATACAGCACGCCATCCGGCTGAGCGAGGCCGAGTAGGCGGATGCACCGCTCCACCCCCTCCAACCACTAACCAATACCAACCGAGACATATCGATCAATTGGTTCCGCACACGCACCGTTGCCCAGTCGATCCCTTCGATTGCTTTCTTTTAGACCGACAGGAATACACGCAAAAGTATTATTTTAGGAGGAGAGATGTAGGAAAGGATGTCCTTGCAGCGGACCCCAAGCAAGGACCCTTCGGTTATGAGGGAATCAAGTTTCAGTTGCATTTGTCGGCGGAGAATCTTCGAGAGCCATTCTCCAAGCACTTGGCTAGCTCCATTACTGTACAGAAAATACTATATGAATAGGCTAAGGATATAAACACAACACACGTTACACACCCAGCACATCACCACCCCCAACCAGTCACGCATGTTTCCTTAATAAGCCAACTAGCGGTTGGCCATCAGAGCCACTAAACTCCACACACGCGAATCACCGGAATTTTAAACTCAAGCACCAGCCACCCCACATAATACACAGAGAGAGAAGATCCGGAAGATAGGACGGGAAACTCCTCCAGGACAGAATCCAGCTCCAAGCCTCCCCCACTCCCCAATTGGCCTCAGCGAAGCAATAATTTCTAAGAATCGTTTTGGATGTGTCGGCCCCGACTCAGGCCACTTACTAACTCCCTTAGGTTACAAGCCACTTACACTATGTATGTAATGACTAAAGTATGTTTAAATGTAAATTTTTATGTATTTTTTAATACCTCAACGCATAAATTGAAGCTTCTTTCTGTGCCAGTTGTTTTTCGTTGAAAATGAAAACCGAGCGAGCAGGAAGGAGGCGCACGAATCGAAACAGAAGCAATTTTATAGCCAAGTAATGCATTTTAATAGTAAACTAACCAATTTTAAACATTATTGTACTCTACTCCACTCACAGACCAGGTGAGATGCGAATAACGATATAGTCAGCGCAAGGAATCGGACGAGGATGGTAGGGCGAGAAGCACACACCGTATGATAAACTACCATATAATATTTATGCAAGATTGAATCTAGTTAAGCCCTTAATCGATAAACTGAACTAAAGAATAAAGTTTCAATAAACACAAAACAAAGACCAGGATCTTGCAGTTTCTATTCTGCTTAGGCAGTGGAACTCACCTTGATGTAGTCGCAGAGGCCGTCGCCCTTGATCTGCCCGTCCTTCTCGGCGTAGAGCTTCAGCTTGAACTTCTGGGTCTGCGGGTCCCGCATCACCATGCCGCACTTCCCCATCAGCTCGGCGAACTCCTCCATGGTAATGTCCAGCGGCAGGTTCGAGACGTATACCTTGGTGTTCTGCGAGGGATCCATTTCGAACCACTCTGTAAAATGGAGCATACTTTAGTCTTGGGAATCTTTAGGGATAGAAAGGGAACTTACTGGGTGGCTCCTGTGGCTTTCGCTTCCCTGTTGGCGCCACAGTGGCGGACTCCGCGCTTCCCTTGGCCATGGCGGCCTCCGCCTCGGCCGTCATCCTCTTGAGCTCCTCCGCCTTCCTCTTCGCCTCCGCCGCCTCCTTCTCAGCCTTCTCCTTTTCGCCCGCCGATGTGTTGTCGATGAACCCGTAGTTCATCTGGTAGCGGGCCATGAAGTCATCGTCGATCTTGGGAAACCAGGCGCCCTTGGCGGTGTCCCAGAAGAACACCGACCCGTCCTTGTCCGTGTAGGTGCGCTCGCCCTGCTCGTCCAGGCCGTAGACCGCATCCTGTCCGGGCTTCTGCTGCTTCGGCAGCCACTTTTGCTGCTTCTCGTCCCACTTGTAGTGCTCCGTTTCCGTCTCCTGGGTCTTTGGCAGCCACTGCTCGGTCTTGGGGCACCACTTGTAGTGCTCGTTCTCGTAGAGATCCCCGGCCTTGGCCGCCTCATCGGCGGATAGGGGTATCCAGTTGTTCTCGGTGTTGCACCACTTGTACTTCTGTTTGGTGCTGGGATCAGTGTATATGGCACCTCCGTCCGCCGCATAGGTCATGTGCTCCTCGTAGGCGGCAAAGTCCTGGGAAGGGGCTTCCTTTGGGGGTGGGGCTTCTGCAGCGTCCTTGGGGGTTTCATCTTTAACATCCGTGTGTGCCGGCGGGGAGGAAACCAGGTCTTGACCTTCTGGCTTCCCTCCCTGCTCGGGCTCGGATGTCACCTCCTTCTCCGGCGCACTTTCGCTCATTTCGGCTTCGGGTTCTGTAATTAAAGCCGAGAAGTAGACTACATTTAGTTTCTTCCTTTGAGGGGTGGGCGTGACAATCGGCTAATTCCCAGCTAATTTCAGCCGGACGGCAAATAATCACGGGGTCCCGGGTCCGGTGAAGCAACAAAACTAAATTGCAGGAACGTGCCCACATCGCTTGACATTGAAGAAGGCGACCATAAAGAATACAAAGGTGAGGAACGAGCGTCCAGGTGGAAGGCGAGCGTTCTCGCATTCCGAGAAGCCCGCAGGAAAATAACAAGTTCTCCTTTTTGCACCTCCCGTCTGCCTCCGGCCGGGCAAACAATTTACACAATGATTGCCATTTCGCCCATAGGGGAGTGTGTGTGTGTGTGTGCCTCTGGGTGGCAAGGTGGCCGGCTCTGGGGCAGGTAATAAAATGAAATGAAAAGAAAAGCGCACGCCACTTTCGGGGCGGTCCAAGAAAAGACCAACACAAATCCCCAGAAAACACACACAAAAGGAACCCTGAAGGTCAACTAATTCCGTTTATTTGGGGAGCGGTGGAGGCCAAGAAAGTCCTCTACCTCTCGGGCCTCCCTGGGCCTTGCCTTCGAATCGATTGCTTTGAACTGGCCCGGCAGGTTCAATCAACCTTTGGCTCGGTTACCAATTCCCGACTTGACTCGAGAGCCAAATAGATTTGTCAACCTATTGACACATCGCTTGAGAGTTCCGGCAGCTGACCCGGGCCGGGGCTGCCTTTTGTTTGCCTTGTGCGTCATCCGGGTTGCCCGGGAACATCTTGGCCCAATCGAAAGGGGTTCAATGGACTCCGGACGCAGGACTCCGGCCTCCGAACTGTGGCTAATTGTCGCTAGCGAGTGCCACTAAAAATAGGCGCACAAAAACCGCTCAAAGCAGGGTTCAACGCTCACTGGTGGGCAGCATTTGCATACAAAGATTCGCCCTCCGCCAAGTCATCGCCGGCCGCAGGATGAGGGTATTCCCCACGGCAAACTGGCACACATGCAACAGCAACCAGCCACCCACCCACACGGGGGCAAGGAGCTAAAAGGAGCACGGGCAATTGCACTTTGCGGGCCAAACAACTTTGTTAGGCGATTCATAAATTACACAGACATTCGAGTGGAGTCGGTGCATATTACAAGTAGGGCTCCGACTCCGGGCACTCGTGGATGGGGCAAAGTTCTGGCATATAATATGCAGGGTTCGGACTCGAAATCGGGGCTAAGCGCTGCAATACATAATGGAATACGAAGCCAAAACAAGAACAGAATACACTCGGAATAGGAATTTAAATATTTAGGATCTTCCAAGGCAGGAATTGTAAGGACTTCTGCCACGTACGACTGCAACAATGGTTGGCAGGACACCTTTGGCCTTTCCCACTCGGCTGAGAACGCACTTATTGCACAAGAAGGCCCGGGAATCAAATGGAACCTCTTCTGATGGAAATCAATTAATTGACGCAAATTGTCTGCGAAAGTCCGCAAATGTGGGACGTCTGATTGCCGGACTAGGTGGCCCTGTTTTATGGCCACGTTTTGGAGGCCATAGAGGCCGTTACCCAATTTCGGCCAAATGCCTAAAACCCAAAACGAATTAATTAACTTTTGCAGAAATGTGGCAAATTCGCGGGACACTCTGTGTCCTATGCAAATGTCAACAGGTCGGGGAAGGGGACTCGACCGACGGGCTACGGGCTACGGGGCGTATGCGCAATGAAAGGAAAAGCAACGCCCCACTTGCCATATATAATAATGTTATTTTTAACGTAGCTCGTATTCCGTATTCCGAGAGATTGGCAAACATTACTCACAAATGCCAAAAATACCAGAGAGTGAGAAAGCCAGACCCAGTCCTTAGCCAGAAAACCCGAATTCCCTCACTCACATACTCGCACGGAATAACTTAACTCCGAGTAGTAAGCGTACGGAGTAGGGTGACTCACAAACCGTAGCATACTTATAAGGGCCAGCGCAAATGGCCCAATATTGATGGCCCATTGTGGGGCAGGTGGGTGGGGGCTTTCCTATTGTTCGTGAGTGTGTGTGTGGTAGCTGGCATGGCTAGAAAGGCTAGTAGCTAGTGGCTAGTAGCAGGGTAGCCTGCTAGCCCTAGTCCTGGCTGACTGGTCAGTACGCGCTGAATCGTTCAACTGACCAGTCCGTAGTCCTACTGACCTCCGCCCGGGAACCGCCAGCCAGCTGGCAAGTGGAGCACGCAACTTCAAATGGCTTTGTTGTGTAGTAGCCACCACTAGCCACTAACCCCCAGTGTATGTGCGCTCAGGGGTATCATATAAACAATTGGAATGCAGCCGGCGAAAAAATATGCAAGACTCACTAATACAAAAATCAATAAAATAAAATAAGAAGTCCCAACCAGACATAGAGTTCTAGTTCCAGAAAGGAAAACATACTATTAAGACCACCATGGATATCCCCAGCAGCGGAGCCATCTTCACCCTCGGAAAGTCACACCTGGCGGAGAATACGCAGAGCTACTTCTACATCAAGAACGATCCTGTGAAGCGCCTGATTTCCGGTCCCAACCAGAGCGCCGTCATATGCGGTAACTACTGACTGACCCCGATCCTTGCTCCCATCCAGCCACCTATCCTGACCGGTTCAACACTCCTGGTCAAGCTGCATCGCATGTGCCCTGCAATTTTCTTTAAATAATCATGAGCCCCTCCGCCCACTCGGCGGGGCACTTTCACTTTCCTGTTGGCCCAGTCGCCGTGCTATTCGGTGTTTTGTGGTTTCGTGGGAGCACTGAATTACTGAATTACAGCCGGCTTTCGTAGCCGGACAAATTGGTAGTCCGGGGATTAGCCGTATTGCAGGGACATGGTGAATATTTCATCCAGTGGCTCCGCAGCGAAATTGAATAGCTGTCCGAGTCGCTTTTCACTTAAGTTCTAACCCGCATTACATAAGCCTTCAATCCGCTTACTAGGACTGACCAAGACCAAGACCAGGCACTCCAAATCACGGCACCTTCGACTTGGACAGTTAATGGGGTCAGACGCGGTGTAAAAATACCTGAAATATGGAGCGCACTCACGAAGCGAGTCCCCGAAAACCGAGCCCGATTCGTAATTGAGGCGTTAACTTCTGCGGGGGAGCAGTTAAGCAGTTGAATTGGCCCACACACACACACTCCCACACACTTAGTCCAACTCTCAATCAATAAAAGTCAAGAAAAGGGAACAACACACCCACTTTCCACCCACTCCCAACCCACTCCTGGCCCACTCTCCAGGCCAAAACAACAAACAGCATAATAAAACCAAACAAAAGCCGAAATGTCAAACCGCTCTTATCCATTACAGAATCTGGCCGACTATTTGTTTGGGGCGAGAACCACTACGGGCAGCTCGGGATTGGCGGCCATGGCGGAGCCGGCGGAGGCAAGAAGGGCGGCAGCAATAACAACGGCGCAAGCAACGGGGATGTGGTCACCAAGCCCACCTGTGTGAAGGCCTTGAAAACCCTGGGATTGAGGATCTGCGACGCCGCCTTCGGCAACAACTGGGCCGTGATGCTGACACGTGAGTGAATCGCCAAGAAGGCAGACAAGTAGGGACAATATGTCACTCAAGGAATGGGGCCAATAGAGAGTCAGAGTTATGGAAAAAGTTTCCTCAATTGAAGCAATTTAGTAATTGTATTGCCATCCTACAGTATTTATTTTATTATTTATTCTTTTATTAAATAATTTTATGAAAATTTAGTTCTTAAGGAGTAAGATAAGATAAGAGTCTATCTTAAGCGGGGGTCATCTGAATCCTTTCCTCTCCTCAGACTCCAATGAAATATTTTTCACGGGCCGCAACATCTTTCCGGAGGACACCCATGTGGCCCAGCACTTCATCACTGTCCAGGTGGACCAGCAGCCGTGCAACATCATCCGGAAACCGTTTCGTCTGGAGGAGTTCGACGACTACCTCTCAAAGAGCGAGGAAACGGACAATTTCATGGCCGTTCAGGCGGGCAACGAGCACTTTGCCGTACTAACCAGTAAGTTGATATGATCTGTACTTATTCTAGTGACTAACTAAACTAAACTATGAACTAAAGGCACTGGCAGACTTATCGGCTGCGGCTCGAACGCCCAAATGCAGCTGGGCGAGCTGGAGGTGGACTACGATGGCCACCCCGTGGAGATCACCTTGGATGCCCCCGTGCAGCAATTCGCCTGCGGACCCGAGTCCACCCTGGTGCTGACCGCTAGCGGGAACCTGTTTCTGACGGGCCACCTCAATGAGTTCGTTTTTCCGCGCTTCACCGAGCTGCAGAAGAACCTGCCGCCCACGGAGCAGATCATCTTCATGCACATCTCGAAGACCAGCGAAGTCTACATCGTCACCAATGCGGGAAGCATCTACCGCAGCTTTGAATCCGTGCGGAACAAGAGCCTGGTCTTCCAGCGCTTTTACGACTACGACAGCGAGGAGAACGGTCCCATCTGGAAGCTGCTGAAGGGGTTCTCCTTCTACGCCGCGCTGAGCAAGGCCAACAAGTTCTTCACGACCTTCTCGGAGAGCGGCCACCACCTCAAGACCTTCCGCGAGATCTCAAAGTTCAAGAATCTGCGCCTGCTGGACATCGCCGTGGGCGACCAACACATCCTGGTGCAGGGCATCCCGCGCTCCTCGATGTCCTCCGCCTCGGTGGGTGGTTCGGCCGAGCCCCATCGCTCTATCAGCAAGAGCTTTGTGCTGCAGCCGCCGGACACCAATGGAAACGTCGAGGATGGCAGGAGCCACAGCGCCAGAAGCCTAACCAAACAAAAAAGTGTGGAGGAAAAGGAGGAAGCACCTCTTGCGGCCACTGTGGCAGGTTTGGCAGTAGCAGCCAGTGCAGGAACAGCAGCTGCCATGGAGGCAGTGAAGCATTTAACCAAACAGGAGGAAAAGGCCCAAGAGCCGGATGACGAGAAGTCGTCGGAGGAGGAGAAAGCTGAACCGAAAGACGTGAATGGAAATGGTAGCGATGCTTTGGAGGTGAATGGTTTGGACCACATGGAAGGTAAGCCAGGGAGCTCTCCCAAAGAAGAGGCAGCTCCACCAAAAGAGTCTCCTAAGATGGAAAATTCCAAGGCCGAGGCTCCCAAAGAGCCAGCTAAAGAAAAGCAACAAGAAGAGGAAACCATGAAGATCGAACCATCAGCACCGATGGAATCTCCTACCAAGCCAATGGAAGTCAAGGAACCTGTCGTGGAAGTCAAGGAATCTGCGGTGGAAGCCATGGAAACAACAATTTCAGTCAAGGATTCAGCAATGGAAGCTATAAGTAAAGAATCCCCAGCGAAACCCTTGGAACTGATGCGGAAGATGCCCACTCCACCATCACATACCCCAACGCCTCCAAAGTCAGCCTCAGCTTCGATGGGCTCTCACGATTCCTTACACACTATTCAGGCAGCCCATCCTCCGGAGGAAAAGTATCTGCGTCCTCGCACTCCCTACCCCGAGAGCAGCGACTCCAGCACCCCGCAAACGATCAAGAAGACACCCATTCGGAACTTCTCCTACGAGGCAGCCATGAACCACGACCACCTGGAGCGCACCTCGCCGGAGTTGGTGGACAGCCTGGAGACCGTTGAGGAGGTACCAGCCGCCATCATTTCAGTTAACACGCCCACACCGCCCACCGAGGAGGACGAGCAGCTTGCCGTGGAAATAACCACAAAGAACGATTCGAAGGACAGCAGCAAGGTCATAAACGAGATTCGCTTCATCAACAACGGAGTGGATGTCACGGCGAATGTGGAGGAGCAGATGGCGGATACCCCGTTGGAAAGCTCGGTGGAAGACCTGGAGTCGGACGGGGAGCAGATTATGCAGCAGGTGGAGGAGCATGTGGACAAGGTGGTCACCCAAACCGAAGAGGCGGCAGCAAAGGTGACCGAAGAAGTTAAAGATTCCATGGACTCCACCAGGAACTCCATCCAGACAGCGGTGCGAAAGGCAGCCAACGGAGCTCGGGATGCCGTGGAAGCTGCTGGCGAGCGTATGGCCACCGGAGCTCGAGGAGCCGTGGATGCCGTGGGTGATGCCATGGGAGCAGCCGGAAAAAGCGCCCAAAGAATGGCCAACGATGCCATTCACGCGGTGGGACAGGCTGGTAGCAATGCTGCGAAGGCGGCCTCGGACACAAAGGACTCCATGGGCAGGGCCATGGACTCGGTGACCAATAAGATTTCCAGCGAGGTTCAGGGCGCCAAGGAGAACATTTCTTCCTTGTTCCAAATCAAAGCTGCAAGGGAAGCGGATCCTCAAACCACTCCGGTCTCCACACCGGACAGGTCCTCCAAGGAGGGCGCTCCAAAGACAAACACCACTATGGGATCCGGGGAGGAGGACGAGAGGACAACCGCGTCGGTGAACTCGAACCACAACTCGGCGGGCAATGGAATCAACAATATCTTCGAGCCGAGCAACCACTTCGATCCCTACGAAGAGGATCCCCTGGACGCGGTGGTGGAGCGTAGCAAGAAGGCCATGCAGGACGACCTGCGGGCCATGCAACTCCGGGGCCAGTCCCACGTGCAAGCGGTGGCCCATGAAAAGGAGCAGGAGGCGAAGGGATTCATGCAGAACGTCCTTGACAGGCTCAATTGTCGGAACGAGAGGGCGGTGAAGATAGAAGGTATTTGTATTTATTTCTGGTGAAAATATGTCACCCACTCACCTGGTTTTTCCATAAACAGATGAAATGCGCCCGCCGGCTCCGCACCACAACAAAAACAAAGTCAACAGCGAGCTGAGTCTGACGAATGGAAACGGGAATGCCCAGGGCGAGCAGGCAACGTCGCGGGTGTGCACTATTTTATAAAACTCGCACTACCGCCGCACTTTTCTAAGCAATTGCATTTGGTCTTGAAGTACAATTAAATAAAAATAAAGCGAACAAATTGCATTTTCGCAAGCCGACAAAACAACACTTGGGACAGTGTTGCCAGACTGTTATAATACCACTTGTTTGTCGCAGGCTATCAGTGTTTTTTTTTCTGCAAACATACTTTGACAAAACCGCCTCCAAAGTCTTTATTTTTCAAGAAAGCAACATAAAAACTCCTAATACCTGATATAATCATCAAATCTTACAAGATTTTAAAGCTGTACGGCAACGTAGAAACAGGTGTTTTCCATCATTGGTTGGAAAACTTCAAGTGCTGGCAATAACCAGCCGTGGCAATGCTGAGAAACGCGCAAAAGCAAAATGTGCTAACGCGTAGAGGTCTATTTTGTACGCGAAACAGTAAAAAAGAGAAAAGAAATATTTGTACTATTTTTCTAACGTTTATACCCTTTTTATAAATGAATACCAGCCACTGATAATGCGCTGAGGGCCCGTTTTTAAAACAGCAACAGCGAAGAGTGGATGGGATCGATTGCCAAACCCCAACCGATTCGAATGCGGAAAATGATGTAAAACGGGGGAAATCGGATCGGAAATCTAAACCTGAAAGGCCCCTCAGCACAGCCACAAAATGGAAAGGTAGGTCAATGTGTGGGCGCTCGAAAAAAGTACCTGTGTGAATATTGGAAGGCTCGTCTTCATATCAAGTCCATCTGGCGATTGTGGAGGACGTTAAATGGGTGGAAAACACTGGACAATTTGGTAGGGAGCTCCAAAATTAAAAGTCTCCTAACCTCAAAAGAGCTTTTACACAGTCAGTGTGTGTGTGTGTGTGCCTGGTGTTGCGTGTATCGGTGTGTGGTTGCTGGTTGCGAGTGTGCGACTGAAAGTGGTTGTGGCTTGTGTGTCGCAAAGGGGGGCCAAGGGGGCCTAAGAAGGCAACGTGTTAGTGGAAAAACTGCTTTTGAAAAAAGGGAAAATTTTTCCCCAAAAGCCCGCCCAAAATAAGGAAAACTGCAACCTGCTGATCCCCACCACCCCACAAGACCCCTGATTGGATGTTGATGTTTGATGGTATTTTGTTGCTAGGAAAACACATGTAATTTGCGAGAAAGTAACACGCTGTCAGTTCAACAGAAAGATACCTACGAGCGCGGGTGTGTGTGTGCCTGTAACTACACAGAAAGAAAAAACTTGCTGCGATCTTAGAGGTCATAAAACAAAGGTTTTCTGTTAGAATTTAGACTGCTTCCAATACAAAGTTTAAATAATTAAAAAATAATTTAATAGTACGTTGTAATAATCCATAGAGTATATTATATAGACTTGAGAAACTTCGCTCAGTGTATGTGACGATAACCTGTCCGGCGGACGTAAAAACCAGCGCCCTGGAAATTACATGCATTTGGGCGCGCGCCTATTTATTTGGTTTAAAAATGCATAATCGTCTGTTTTATAATTTATGCTCTAAAAAGAAAAAAGACACCACTTACTACCGCCGGCCAGCAGAATTCTGCCAGTCGGGAAGGGAAGGGAAGGGATGGGAAGAAGGGGCCTGGAAGTGTGTCAGCTATTGAATAATTTAGATTTATAATTTCGCAGTTAGAGGTATCTCGTAGGTCGTCGTGTGTTTGGGAATTCCTCACAAATTTTTGCATACCAAAAGCGCCGAACGCCAGCTAACAGCCAACTGACTATCTTTTCACTCTTCCCCAAATTCCAGGCACTAGCAAGCCCAAGATGAGCATGTCGTGGCATTTTTGAGCATCATCGATCTTTGTTTGTTTGCCAGCTTTCGGTTCGAGTTCTCCAAGTTCACAGTCACTAGAGTCGCCCAGCTCCCGGTCCAGATCCAGACCCCGGCCCAGGCCCGACACCTTAACCCAAGCCCGCTCCCAGCCCCAATCCCAGCGAGCAGCCCATGATGCATATCAAGAGTCTGCCCCACGCCCATGCCGCTGCCACGGCGATGAGCAGCAACTGTGACATCGTCATCGTGGCCTCCCAGCCGCAGACGACTATAGCGAATAACAACAACAACGATACGGTCACCCAGGCCACGCATCCCAGCCATTTAGCTGCGGCCCAGCAGCAGCAACAGCAGCAGCATCACCAGCAGCAGCAGCAGCAGCAACAACCAAGTGGACCTCCGTCCGCACCGCCGCCGCCCACGGAGCTGCCTCTGCCCTTCCAAATGCACCTAACCGGGATCTCGGCGGAGGCGCACAGCGCCGCCCAAGCAGCAGCCATGGCAGCCGCCCAAGCCGCAGCGGCACAGGCAGCGGCGGCCGAGCAGCAGCAGGCTCCACCGCCGCCCCCGCACCTGGCGCACCTTCACAGTCCGACGATCCCCAGCGATCACTATTTGTCAAGCAATGGGCATGGCGAACATCCAGGGGAGGCGGCTCCGGGGAGCAATGGAAGTGCAGGGGGTGGCGGCGGTGCTCGGGAGCACGAGAAGCCCTTCCACTGCACCGTGTGCGATCGCCGATTTCGGCAGCTGAGCACTCTGACCAATCACGTGAAGATCCACACCGGCGAGAAGCCCTACAAGTGCAACGTTTGTGATAAGACCTTCCGTCAATCGTCGACTCTGACGAACCATCTGAAGATCCACACGGGCGAGAAGCCCTACAACTGCAACTACTGTCCCAAGCATTTCCGTCAGCTGAGCACCCTGGCCAATCACGTCAAGATCCACACGGGTAAGCTCTCCATCCACTCCATGATTCATCAAATCAAAGCATATATTGTTCTTCAGGTGAGAAGCCCTTCGAGTGCGTGATCTGCAAGAAGCAGTTCCGCCAGTCCAGCACGCTCAACAATCACATAAAGATTCACGTCATGGACAAGGTCTACGTTCCTGTCAAGATCAAAACGGAAGAGGAGGAGGGGTGACTAGGACGCATGGCGTTGGCGGCACACCACCATCAGCAGCATCAGCACCAGCCGCAGCAGCAGCCGAGTCTCCACCCACAGCCGCCGCAGCAGCACCAGCCGCAACACCACCAGCAGCCTCCGCCTCCGTCCCAACAGCTCTCTCAGATCGAGGAGCACCAGCAGCGAGGAGTGACCATCACCACGCTGCACCACCAGCATGGAAGCAGCACCGGCTCGCCGCACCATCACTTCAATCTGGGGGATCTGTCCAGCGCCATGCAGCTCGGAGCTGTGACGGCGGACGGCAACTTTGTCACCATGGGCGGTGTGGTGGTGGGACGGATCCAGCACTCGCGGGAGGAGCTGCAGCAGCTGGGCGTGATCAAGGTCGAATCGCCATCGAATGGTGCGACAGCCACAGCGCAGCGCGAGGGATGAGTCGATGAGCTGCTCCTCGAAATGCTCAAGGAGGAGAACGTAGCAGAGGAGGAGGAGGATGAGTTAGAGTTAGAGGAGGATCCAGAGCATTCAGAAGAGCAGCGATGAGTCGTGTTTGGTGTGTACGCTTACGTTGTTGTTAGTTGTTTAATTGTAGCGAACATTGTTGTTGTTGTTAAGGTTTAAATGTGTGACTAAGAACTTACCAAGATGAATGTATAGCAAACGCTTCAAAAGTAGCTAACCGAGAGCCTGGAGAGAGCCACCACCACCACCACTACCAGCAGCCCGAGAGCTCACAGAAAACCGAACCGAGAACCTAGAACCTAGAACCCCAACCACAAGTTGCACCCAAGAACCACACTCTCAGCCCCCAGCAATAGATTAACTTCAACACTACTCACCTAAATAAACCATAGACGTTAACTAGGAGCCACTAGCATGGGAACTAAACTGCTAATGAGAAAAACCGAAAATAAGAACCGATAGTAAGCAAAAAGTCATTGCGTGTAAGTTGAGGAATGTGCAAGAAAGCAGAACTGCAACCGTTTACAATTTTAAATTTGTTGACCCCCTTTTTCAGATTGTTTAAACTTAAACTAGCATTTAAATTTAAGAGAAATTGTTGTACACACTTGACTTAGTCAATTTTGCCGATTGTTTTAGCCCCGCATCCCGTGAAACGATTTACTGAGGGCGTGTTTCTGGTATGGGTTTTACACAAATTCAATTTGTTTTTAAACGAAAATATATAAATTCCTAGCCTAATTATTTAATTTTATATAGAAATTATTGAAGAGAAAACTCTACCCTAAATGAACAGAGAATGGCAAGCAAATAAAATTCTAATAGTCTTAAGAGGTCGAAACTATATAATTTTTTAACCCGTAACCTAGAGAGCCATAGTTTGTAAAGCAGCGTTTTTTTAATTTTAATTGATTAGTCTTAGTAGTTTTAATTTCGGCATTGGCATACTTTGGAAACACAAAAGCTGTCAACGGCTAGCCTTCGTCTAAATATTAGTTAATGAAGTAACACAAACTAATGCTAATTACGATAATACGATAGGTAAAAGTTCTGTACAAAGCCCAACTCCAATTTGTATGTATAAAGCTAGAGCGGCGGAGGTAGCGGAGGAGTTAAACTAAATTTGTAAAGCAAACCCTTTTCGAAAGAAAATGATATTTTCTAAAAATATAATCCACGCCTTTTTATGTTGACCTATTAGCCTATGTTCCACCCCAGCCCGACTGAATGACCAGGTCGCCTTTATATCATTTCTGAAACTGCTGCAGGGTCGACTGCGAGAGGCTCCTGTGCCGAGTTCCTATAGATTTCGAAGCGCAACAAAAACAAAAATCTTGATACGTATACGAATTAATTACCAACCGACCGGAACCGAAGCATCAGTTACATAAAAGAAACCTAGCCCCTATGGAAACCTAATAAGTAAATGTTGATAAATGTGTAGTGTTAACGAAATGCAGGACAGACGAAACTTACTTACAAAGTAAAGCCTGGAAAGAGTAGTATCCCCAGCCACAGAGACATAGAATTCAAGCTTTAAGTCCGACCTAGGATAATGTTTTGCCGGGCTGCGACTATCCGCTTATTGGGCTTGGGAGCATGAGGACTTTACTTTCCTTTGGCGGGAGACGCTAATGTGCTTGAGAACAATACCGTAGATCTTCAGAAGACTTGAGCTCTGCGCACAGCTTCCTTCCTGTCCCACGCGCATGCATTACTCTAAGATTAAGAGACGTAGTGAGATTAGCATTTAAGGCCTAACTTAGTTATAGTCGAGTTTGTAAAATGTAAAACTGAAATGAATTTAGACATACAATGAACAAAGACAAGAAACAAGAAAGCTAGGCGGCAGGAGGCGAGGAGGCGGCAGGCGAGCAAGCAAATGGCTTAAAAACAAATCGCGATAATATTGTATAATTATACACCTACGAGTATATATATAAATATATATTTATATTTATTAGTGTATGTACAAGCGTAGTAGCTGTATTTATATGTAAATGTGTACGTAAACTGTGTATTAGTTACAGCATAAATATATATTTGCAACGGAGAAATACAGAAACGAAAAGAATGACAAATGGCAAATCCCAATCTCGTTCTTACTGGAGTCCCAACAAACAAAAAATATCTCGAACTTAACCCAAAGATCGCTTACAGCTAGCTAAATAAACTTTTGAACTTGTGGTTGGTTGAACTTATGAACCTAAGGCCTACACCCTCAAGACGAAGAGTCGGATTCGGCCGCGGAAGCGGGATGCGAAATGGGGTCCTCTTCGCCCAGGACCCTGTCGAGGTAGGTCAGCCAATCAGCCACATCCAGCTCCTTCTGGATACCATTTATCAGGACTCGTCGCAGATGTCGCAGGTTGCGCACATCGTCGCCATAGCGGAGACACATCTTGGACACGTTGATCCTGGCCACTGGTAGGTGCACTTCGGGCCTGCCCAATATCATCTTGGTGTTCATGCGCTTCTTCCACGTGTGCACCTCCTTCTCCATCTCATCCAGCATAAAGACCTTGCCCTGGCCGCCGGTTATCATACCCACCGGAGTGGCCAAAGTACTCGAGGTCCTGGTTTGGAGTGGCATTATGGACTGCTTGTTCTTCAGGCACTTCCAGAAGCCAGCCAGGTTCATCCACTTGTCATAATCCACCAGGGCATTCAACAGAATCCTCAGGTAATCCTCGCGGGACAGCAGTTCGTCCTGCTCCTCTTCTTCAATCTCGCTCTTTGGCTTATACTTTAGCCAATTACGGTCGGTGAACTCTTTACACACCTTTTCCGGACAGAACGGAAGCTTCTTTGGGAAGTAAAACAGTTGGAGAAAGTGGTCCGTGAACTCAAAGCGAAGGTATGGGTGATCCAGCTGGGGGATAATCTTGAGGTATGTGCTTATGTGCTTGGGGTTTTGAGATTTGAATATTTTGAAAAAGTCGCTTATCAATAATCGAGTCTGCGGGCCCAAGTTGGGATAGATCACAGCGTTGTCAACATACTTAAGCTCGGCCGTGTTGCTCACTTCCACTATGAGGGAGATGAGGCGCTAAAAATGTCTAAAGATATTATGGTTTCTCAGGGATGAGCCAGAACAACTCACCTGTAGAATTCTGAGGCGTTCGGGGTACATGGATTTGGCGGCTGCTATGCCGTACAACTTCATCACCTGCTTCACGATGTCAGTGAGACGCGTGCTGGCCGTCATTTGAAACACAATCGCAACGAAGGGCCTGGTGTCTTCCTGAAACATCTCAGACTCCGACTGTCGCAGCCGGTTGTGCTCCAACCAGGTCAGGAACTCATACTCCAGCACCCACGTCAGCATGTTCAGGACGTCGCAAAGGCGGGCCAGCTGAACCGATGACGACATTTTCTTAAAATCATCCAAACAGAGCTTGCCACTCAACCAGTCGTACTGCTGGACATGCCTGAGGAACACCGTTTCCTGCGACATATTGGCATCTTCCTCCTCGGAGAAGTTGAACACGAATCGTTCGTAGAACTTGGTATTTTCGCGGATTTCTTCTTCATTACACTGTCTCAGGTTCTCCTCAAGGAGATCCAGATAGAACTGCATTTTTTGCGGAGTCTCCGAGTTGGACCGCTTTTCACGCAAAGAAGGCTTCTTGATTCCCAAGAAATTGAGGTAATACGGACGTAGGGCTGTCCAGCAGGGTGGAAACGCGTCGACCAGAAGGTAGAAGGTGCGGATAAGCTTATTGTAGGTTTCGGCCAACTCTTTGACGCTGATGTCTTTAGCAATAAGGATCTGAAATATATTCCGATTGGATTATACTTGAAACAAAGATAGAGCCAGAATTACCATTGTCATATCTATGAGTCTATCGAATACTCCTTCGCCGGGGTAGACGCACTGCAACACCATAGTCTCGAGGATGTCTAGAAATGTATCATAGTGCTGGCCATGTAGCGTAGTCCGCAAGGCCTGCACGGCTATAAAGTTAGGGGCATCTGGAAGCATTGAACAGCGGTGCTTATCGACGCACTGCGGCGAGTTGTGAAGACACTTCGGGACACATGCTCCTGGCAGGCGCTGCTCGCTTTTCATGTACAGATTCGAGATCAGGATGCGCAGATTCAATTTCCAGTTGAGCTTCGGTTGCGGTTGATCGTAAGGAGTGGGGCGTTCCTTTGTCCTTCGGGCTTTCCTAGAAGGGGTCTCCTTTCCGGCACTGCTGAGTTGGTTTGCACCGGATTTGGCGGAAAGCATTTCCACATCGGAGTCTGAACGGGATGCAGCCTCATCCTCCGGTACAGATATCTCTGATTCTGAGCTATCTGACTTACCGAGCACTGGGTTGGGACTATTTGTTGTTTTATCGAGCCCAGTTTCAGTGATGTCTGGATTTTTGAGAAGCATGTCTGCTATGTCTGGCTTCTCAAATTCATTAATTTCCACCTCCATTGATACGTCCATGACGTCAGGTTCCAGAATCTGACTATCGTCAGCCTTGACAGCGGAACTTTCGTCCATAGTTTCTAAATGAAGTTGCCTGCACAATTCGAAATTTTATACAAATACGCAATTTTGCCGGCTTGGGTTTGCAAAATGGAATCAGCTGGTTCTTAGGTATACGGTCACATTATAAGTCCTTTACGGAAATTCCTGAATTCCAGGAATCAAAGAAATCTTTCACTGCACACTTGCACCTTAATTCAAAAACTTTAATAAAATTATAACTTAATATAAATATTGGATCATTAGTCTGTTATTTGTGGGAATCCCAATAAAGGCGCCAAACTATGCCATACGATAGTATCGATCGTAAGAAATGTGAGTGTTGGTAAGCGCGTAAATTTAAATCTTAACCGTTTTTCAAACTTTCGTTTTTGATAATTTTTTTATTTTAAACAAAAGAAGTCATATTTAAATCCCCGGAAAAGGTTAAGGCTTACATTTGTTCCAAACCATCTAAAAATGTGGAACAGATTAAATTAAACTGCCTCATACAAACATTTTTATTGGACAGAGGTGCGTTACCCAATAAAAATATGTCTTTTTACATCAATTAAAACTCCTGCCCAAAAAAATAAAACCATGCATAAATTAAATTTCATGCATGAATGAATGCAGACCATGTTACTTGCACAACCAGACCGCGCACTTGGCAAAAAGTCCAAATTTAGAGTTTAAATATAGCAATTAAGCTGATTTATGCAGCCCGTCCGCATGTTACAATAATTGCCGCTAACAACTCGGCTCTCCAAAATCCAAAATCCTCGAGCTCCACTGAAGGCTGGGAACCCCACAGAATTGTGGCGCCGACGTCTTTGCAACTTTGCCACTTGTATGCAAATGTGTGGAGAAAAATTGAAAAAAAGATCGAGACTACATTTTTTAGGCGGGCATGTGAAAAAAACATATCCAGAAATCTAGTGCATGATTAGCCATGTTTTAGTTTTTTATTTCGGCGGTTCAGTGATTGGTATTTAGCTTGTTGGCCACTTGGCTCTTTGACTCCCGTGTGTTGGCCGCGTTAATGAATTGCCTTAAATGTCAATTACCACTGACTTTTATCGCAGTATCTTAATAAAAGCCAATTATAATTGCTTCTCTCGCCTCCCCAAGCAATCAAATCAGCAGGCTGATGATTGCGATTTTAATTACCGACTTTTGTTTAACTGCTGCAACGGATAATTACAATCTTTGAGACATTCAATTGGTTAACAGATGTATCTGCTTGCTGAAAAACAACGCATTTATAATTGAGTTATTGGAAATTGGATTTTTGATTTTTTTCATGGGTCTGAAAGGTGGGCGTTACGATTACGCATATGGAAATTAAATGTTGTTGGGGGCGAGGGTGCAGCCAAATTAAATTCTTGACTAATCGCTGACATTTCTGGGCCGGATCAGCAATTGAAGGTTCGACATCAATAGGGGAAATGGGGCTATAAAATCACTAGTTAAATCTTTAAAGAATTTATATTTGATTTGGATCTGTGCAGACCACTTAAAACGGCGGAACCGACAGCATTCGTATCTAATGCCCCCCATCAGACCCATTCGACATGCGTAAGTCATGTCAAAAATTTATTGCGTGACCATTGCCGGGGATACTTTATCATAAAGCGGCACCGCTGCTACCAAAGTGCCAAAACTTCCAACTACCAACTGCCAGCAGCCGGCAAGCACTTGGCCAAGAGTCTGTTCCAAAGTGCGAAATCGCCAGTTGAGCAATGAATACCCGCAAAGTCGGGACAGAACATAAATCTCACACCAGAGTCCGCCATCAAGTGCACCTACACGGATACAGATTTGGTTGCAGACTCCGATTCGGTCAACAGTCCTGGACCTGGCCAAGTGTCGAGGTGCCAATTAAGGCTGCAAACTGCGAGTGTTTTGGATACATCATACTGCAACGCTGCATAGATAATTTTTTCTTTATTTTATGTTTGTTTTTTTTTTGTGCTGAGATCAACCGAAAATGGACCAGTGTCATTTGATTCTTGTGGCAGGCTGGCGGCGTTTCATGCGCCTTTGACATGCAACTGGGGTCCATGCTGAGTCGGCACAGTTTACACGAAATCAGCAAATGCAACAGCCAGAGCGGACAAAAAATTACGAAATTTGTCGTCTGACAAAAAGCTTTGAAAACGATATAAATTAAATTTACGATTTTGGTGCTCATTAAATGTTCACAACTTTGGGCCAACATTTTTTGCCTTCGGCTGTTGCAATTGCAGCGAAATTAGAACATCGCTTTGGGAAATCGCTAAAATGCAGTTAATTGTTTTTGCCCTCGGTTTCTTTTCGGTTTCTGTTTGTCACAAATTGAATAATGGCTTAATCGGCGAAGAATGTTTGCCATTGTTTGGCCGGTTTTCGAACTAATTACGTGCCGGCTGGAATGGAATACTTGGTCCAGGCTATTGTATAATCGTGCCGTTTGATTATATCCTGGCACAGCTGCTGGAGACCAACGGAGAGACCAAAGAAACAAAAGTGAAAGGCAAACATGCAACGCCCACTTCTCACTCGGGACACTCGGGACCAAAATATAACTAGATTATTATATAATTGTTACCATTTGACTAATTTGCCTGTGGCCAAGATACTACAAACTTTGCGGCGAAACGAGGAAAGCGAAAGAGTCTAGATTTTGAAGAAAATAGGACAGTAACCGAACTGGTAGCCATTTGCCATGTCACCGCCGCCTGCACCACTGCACCACTGCACTACTGCACCACTGACCAACATACGATCGATGATCGGCAATCGGGAACCGGCTCCCAGCTGAGCCACCACCGAATATGGGTCACTGCATTCGGCTCCGTGGCATGAGGCATGACGTGAGCTGGTCCATGCACCAGATGCTATTTTAATTGCCAATCATCAATGGATGCCCATAAAAAGGAAACGGAGGGGTGACTACGGCAGCCAACAAGATAAAACGTCTTTAATCTGAGTCCCATAATTTAGGGATACATTCTGCCCTGAACATGGCGGCAGTGGCTCATCCGTCCGAACCATTTGATGTAGCCCCTTTTGGTATAGCACTGCAATGGTCTTTGGTGGGTCTGCAGTTCTCTCCTGGTGGCTGCCTCTGTGCTTGCAATATATTTTTTTATTAAATAGGTCATTAAATGTAAAAGACACCTACCCTGTTCATCGTACTTTGTGAATCTTGTGGGTGGCCACACACTAGGCAAGTTCAAAACGCCCAGACGCGAAAGGCAAATCATCTTGTAAAGGCTATGAAAACATATGAAATTTACTTTTAGATTTTAAAGAAAATGTATAATTTAATATTCCGATTCAGCTGGTCAGCTGGTTGTGTGGAAAACAGGCGTCAACTGAGCCAAATGCCACAGCCAACTGATTGAGTAAACTTTTCCCCGGTTCGCTTTCATTACGGAGCGGGTTGCTGTGTGACGAGTGTTGCAATCTGGCCAGTCGATTCCAGTGGGGGGGAGCGGTGTGAGGAGCAGCAGCTGACCACCGACCCACCAGGCTCCAGACCAGACTCGCTCCAGATCAAGATCTTCGGCGTTACTTGGTGCAAATGAAATGGAAAACGCAGTCAGAGCGGGTTTTGCTGGAAAATGGGGCAGAAGCCGGCTCATAGACGCCTTACATAACTGGCCATAGAAAAAGTACACATGTGCACTGAAAAGAACTGGACTATAATATCTAGAAAGGCAATGATCGTTGAGAAAATGTACCTACAGGGTATTGTAATATTATTGTTTATTCTTTATTTTTTTCAAGTGTACTAGTACAGTGGCATGTGCAATTTATCTGGCCGCAGAAATCTTTCCTGGATAGGAGTAGGATACCCCAGCCGCAGAGGCAAACTCATAGGCAGACGCAGTCAAATACGCAGATGCAGTTGCAGTTGCAATGGCAATAGCAACATGAATCGGTGGCATGTGGCTTAGTTTCGCTTTAATAGAGCCGCCAGAGGCATTTGCATTGCGCCACCGGAGCGGAGTCATAATGCGGCGAGACATTTTCGCGGCTGCGTTTGCCTTTGCGTTTGGGTTGCGTGTTATTTAGCCGCTAAAGGGCAAACGAGCCGCGTCTTAATTACGTTAATGGCTGCCAAATCCATGTGCGATTCTTGTTGCCTCAACTCGGCTCAGGAGCTCGCCAACTCGCCAGCTCCCCGGCTTGGCTGTAAAAAGCCAGAAACAGCATCTACAGCGGCAGCATTTGTGTAATGTTGGTAATTAAGCGTCGCTTTCTGCACACACACACTACTAGTTTTCCCACGATGGCCACTCTCGGTCCTCTGACGGGCCCTCCCCCTCTCAGACCGACTACTGTGCAGCGTTAAAGCCGCAACAAACTGCCGGCAAGTACCAGAGGCCAATGATATATGCATTTTTTCAGCCAGAGCCAACAATGGCAGGCCACTGCGCGCCTTGCTTATAAATTAGATTCAGCCAAAAATAATAGCCATATTTCGGTTTATCGTGTTTTTATTTTCGATTTTGGAATTTTCCTCCTGCGGCAGACCCTCAGAAAAAGGTCAAAGCTTCAACGACTGCAGCTGCGCTTTTTTGTGGCCCGTGGAGGTGGTTTATCTTGGCCATCGGCGATGGAACGATGTTTTGATCTTCTGGCCAAAATGCACAGGGGAAAAATCTTAAAAGGGATGTGTCTTCAAATCTCCATCGATAATACACGTTTGCTACTAACAAACTGACTAATTTAAATTAATTTCTGTCTGTGTGATTAACTGGCTGGCAGTTCGAGCGAACTTAAAGCGATTTCAGGCCGAACAAATTGCGGCGCGATGTGCGATGGTCAATCAGGGATCGTGGCATTTAAGTGATTCCCCCCCTGTGATGCAGCCAGCCCCTTATTAGGCCGGGAAAATCAATGACGTCAGGCGATGGGCATTGTGTAAGCGGGAATGCTGCAATTTCTGGCCGAGATCAACGTCATCGGCTGACCACATCCCTGGCCAGAGTTCCACTTGGCTGCTGGCCATTGAAGCGCATAATTTCGCGGAAATGCTGCGGTGCTGGACACTTCCCTTGGATAGGCCAATCGAGGGCTATATAAATACCGGAGAAGTGCGACATTTCACGCTTAGTATGCGAGAATCGGAGGTGCCCAAAACCCAGACAGAGCCATGAAGAAGCGACGCATAACCCGCCCGGTTGGGGATCCACAGCTTGGAGATAGAGGAGTAGATGTTTTGGCAACCCGTTTTGGCTTCCGCATTGCGTTGCAAACAGAAGCACAGAAGCAGCAGGCTTGCCACGCGCGGCTCCTCAAAGATTTGGTGGCACCCCTGCTGGCGCTAATTGCTGGATTCGGAATGATCGGCACAAGCGCCGCCGTTGGATATTCCTACACGCGGTTCGAGGGTCCGGTGGTGGGGCCAGAGCACCTGGTCACCGTCCACGACGGACGCACCGTCGACTATGTGGCCCGGCCCGAGTACAGCTTCGCCTATGGCGTCGAAGATGGCAAGTCGCGCGTGCTGCAGAATCGCAAGGAGACGCGCAATGGCGACGAGGTGCGCGGCGTCTACAGGTGAGTGGAGTGGAGGGGTGACGAGACCGGAGAGTGTCACACAACGTTGTGGGATTAGGTGTTTTCCGAGATGGGGACAACTTGTCAGTGCATCCATTAGTGTCGCACTGCGCCGAAATTGATATGGCAGAGCGGGCCATTTAAAGCCACTTAATGAAATCATTGGATTGCAGAAAGTTTATCAAATTTTAAAATAAAATATTAAAATTAACAAGTTCATAACACTCGTATTAAATCCTAAAATATTCAATACAAATTGAAGCCTCCATTGGAATGATATGATCTGATATGTATGGATCATAAATAGAGCTTAACATCATAGTACTTACCACTTCATCAAATGGCTATTATCACCATGTAATTAATGCTGTTCAATTGATTTTATTTTCCATTCAGCGTAGTCGATCCGGATGGCACCTTGCGTGTGGTTAAATACACGGCCGACGATGCCAACGGCTTCCAGGCGGAGGTGATCACGAATGGAGTGAAAACACTACATGGCCACGGAGCAGAGGGGGACGCCGGAGCTGGAGGAGGAGGTGGAGGAGTTGTGGACAACCAGGTGCGACATGACAGCTCCGAGGGAGAGGAGGAGGATGAGGAGGAGGCTTCACCACATCGTGGAGGAAATCAGTACCAAGTTCACGAGGAGTACGATGAGGGGGAAGGCGACGGAAAGGGGGGCGAAAAGGACGAGGAGGGGGAGGAGGGAGAGGGAGGAGGAGACCATCAGGAGTACGAGGGAAGCAGCGAGGAGGGATACGAGGAGGCCGAAGCTCACAGTCAGCAGGAGGAGAGCGGCGAGGACTACTAGGAAACCACTTCCAGCGAGTTTAGTTTTTATTTTGTGATAAACTAAAAATAAATATTTAGAAATAATTTCTTAATTATCCTCTGAAATCTTTGCACAATTCCAACACCCCAGAGCGAACCACGAAAGAAATCTAAATAGAGCGCTAATTGAAATATCCAGCGAGCTTATGCCTGCGGTTCACTGGGGGTTACGGGTTACGGATTACGGGGGGCATGTTGCTGTTTCTGGCTTTGCGTAACCACAACATCAACATCAACGTCAAGTGGGTATCGGCCAGGCCGGGCCAGTGGAGCATGTGCGTCCGAGCTGCAACTCCAACTCCACGCCAGACCCCAGCTGGCTGCGACTTTGATTCAATTTCGATTTCTTTTCATTTTCGCATGGACTCATGGACTCAATCAAGCGGAGACGATGGACAGGCGGCTGGCAAGTTTGTTGCAAGCTCGGAAAATCCATCCAGTCTCCTTCATCTGAGTGTGTGCGTGATCCACTTTGGATGGTGGTGGCAGCCAGCAGTGCCAGTGGTTCCATTTCGTCACTCGCTTAATTTCAAACGCGCAAATGCGCAAAATCGCATTAAATGTGCGAAATGCAGACATCAGGTGGAGGACCAGAGCACGCGGATCCAGAAAGTGGATCAAACGACGTCTGGTTGTGGCAGCGATGCGGTAATAATGCTGAAATGCCTGGCCAGCAGCTTGGCCAACTCCAACTTGGCCACTGGTAATCTCACAATTGAGCCGGCTACTAAATTGGGTTGGCAGCCTTAATTCGGACCGGGCTAATTGACAGCCAAGTTATGGCCCACTAATAGTCCACCACTGTTACCACTAACACTGCCACCAAGAATCAAGATGCCAAAAAGCCCACGAAAAACTAAATATGGATAGCATGCGTCTGCGGTGGACGTGCAAGAATTCTCCTAACTGGGAAATGTTTTAATTACTTTTTCTCTGCATTGCATGGTAGTAATTCGACCAGCCTAAGGGTTTCGCATATCATTTCGGAAGTGCAGAGATCTGGCAATCCCACCGGATGTAACCTAGCTGGAAGATCAACCGGATATAGCGCGTTACGCATACGCAGCGTTGTGCAACGCCTTGGATTACATTGCGTGGAATGTGCTGCACTGACTTTCTAATTGCGGTCCCGGCCCCAGGCCATTGTCCAGCTTAAGATAAGGCCGAGCCGAAAAAACCTTCAGGTCTCAATCAAGAAACAAAAAATATCGCTTAGCCCACTGCATAAATCAAGTCACAAACCTATAACTGTCAAGTCATTTAAGCCAATGGGGGAGTTTAAGAGAAGTCGGTTGGTTCAAAGTGGGTCGACCTAGAGGTGACCTACTAATGATATCAAAATAGTAAAAAATTTATATAAACTATTATATATTACAGTTTATTAATTTTATATTGATTTTCAAAATAAAAATCTTTCGAGACAATCTGATCATCCACCGTATATACCCCCTTAAAAACCAACCTACATAACCATGCAAAGTGCGTTAAAATGTTCAGTGGATGGATGCATTACCTCCAAGCCCCATGCCACCTCCCACATCCAGACCATTGTCCAAACATAGCCAAACAAACTGCCAGATCGGCGAACATAAATCAAGATAAAATGTTTGTTCTAGTTATCGACTGTCGCAGCCATAAACCTAATAAATCTTGGGCTTAGCCGGCAAAGATATTGATTTCAATAAATAAGTAAGATCAGGGGCCAGGAGGGTTAGTGGACCATGCGTGGACAAGTGCAATTAACGCATGCAAAACAATTCGCTCGATCGATCAGCAAATGTTTCTTTTCTGAGGGAGGGAGACGGAGGTCTGCGGATTGCGCAATCGTCCGTCGAACACAGAAAACTGAGACAAAGACAAAGCTTGTTGTAGTCATTGCGATTTTCCAACTGTCTTGTCGAGTGACCAACTAACCAACTAAACCAAAGCCCCCTTTCCCCGGCGCCCAAATCCCCCAGCTCCGCGACTCCAACGGCAACTCCAACCCCAGCCTAAACTCCAGCTCCTGGCTCTGTCAAAGTGCGATCGTGACGTGGCCAACTTGTTTTTTGGCTTTTTGTTTGCGGCTGCTACTTGTTTGCAATTGTTTCGAGCGATTTTCGGCCAGCCGTGTAAATGTGTCGCCTTTAAAGCCATTTTATGTAAGTCGGTTCTGTGACTTTGTCTTCGCTCTCCATGCTAATGGCCAGGCCCCTACCAAAGTGATCTGCAATGGTGCGATCTGAGTTCGAGTACCTTGTTTTTTTGCCCATTTTTTTTTTTTTGGCAAAATAAACATCAAGTTTTCCCATCGTTTGCTCACACCGCAGGCAGTCTAGCTCTACCTCCCCCGCCCATGCCCCTGCAGTTTGTCTTTATTTAATGGCCACTTGTGTGTGTTTTATAAGATACAATCATAATTTTCTGATATGTCATGCCAGAGCGGCTGGCTTTTTGTTTGTTGTGGGTGTAGCCAAAAAGTGTCAACAAAAACTGCCTCCTAAGAGTTGAGAGTTGGGCAACTGGGTCTGAACTTTGAGCCAATTCACAAAACTATTATTGGCAAATATTAAAAAAGAATAAAAATTGTGCATTCCTTGGTTAACTTTCAACCGAAATTTATTTTGTTTATCTTGCAATCTTGGCTGGAGGCATTTGTCGCATGCCCCAAGAAATATTGATTGAAAATATTGAACCGCGTTTGAGTTTGATTTGCTTAGCCAAGTCAAAGTATTTGCCAACATCGACATACCGATCGCAGTTCTCCAGACCGTGCAAATGAAAAACTCAACTCGGGCACAAAAATGTCAGGCAACAAATTGCGTGGCATGGAACTACGCAAGTTGAATTTTTCCCCCAAGCCCCGTGTGGCTGTTTGTGGTGTTGGCGTGGTAATTATAACGCCGCCCGTTTGATTGCCACAGATATGGTAATAATATTTTTATAGCCAAAACTAGCAGACTCTGGCTAAAGCCAAGAAATGCCCAAAACAGTGTAGGGCCAATCGTAATTACGTCGGCAAATCAATAAATAAAGAGCTTAGATCATTAGAGCCAGTGCTAAAGTGTCGCTTTCAATCGCAGCCCCGTCATCGCCGAGAGTCGGAAAAACATTCGGCGAAACTAAGTCACCAAATGAACAAACCAACGAACGCCTTCTCGGCTCAAGAAACAAATGCCGCACCTAGCCTGGGTCTTGGGATTTTGGATGCGGTATGGTGCTGGAAAGGGAGCAGGGGAATCATTGTTGTGGCACATGCGTGGTATGGCCAAAGACTAAAACTGGCACTGGCATCTGGCTCCCCTGCGCCAACTACCAGCACCAGCACCACCACCCACCCTCGATCCACCCGTGGCAGCTGCAATCCGATCGTTTCGGATCGTTTACTGAAACCACTCGTCGACGGTCGTGTTGCATTCGTTGACGACCGACGCGTATATAAATACTTTTGGTCATCGTTGCAGACATCAGTTCAGCTAACGATTTCGTGCTCTTAACGGTCCTCACTCACTCGAGCTCTCCTTACAGCCTCCTCCTGCACAGGAATCATCGTCCAGTCGTCCTTCGTTCGCGTCGTGTGTCCGTTTGTCGTTAGTGTTTTTAAACCGCAAAATGAAGGTGTGTGTTTGCCCCAAGGCCCCCCTAAAAACCCCTACCCACCTTGCCCTCTAGTCCTGCATCTAAGCCCCCACGTGAATATCCCGATCCTGATTGTCACTTCTCCACTCTCTAGTACTTTGTTGCCATCGCTATGCTGATCGCCGCCGCTCAGGCCGTTCCCATTGAGCTGGGACACTATGCTCCGGCGCTGGTGCATCATGCGCCCGTTCTGGCGCACGCTGTTCACGCCGAGCCGGTGGCCTATCCCAAGTACGCCTTCAACTACGGCATCAAGGATCCCCACACCGGAGACATTAAGTCGCAGGCTGAGGAGCGTGACGGTGATGTTGTGAAGGGTAAGTATATTAGATGATTTGAAGCTGACAGGATAATGGTTCGCCAATTATATGCAAGAAAATCAAAAGACTTAGGCAACAAACTTGATTTTTAATGTTTTTAGTTCTGAAATCAAATGACTTAGGAAACGAACTTGAAAATAGTTTGATTAAAGATAAGGGCTCATTAGGAGTCACTAAGTGAACACAACACATATTACTCCTCATAGAACAAAAGACTTAGGCAACGAACTTGCTTATTCAATTATAACCAAAAGACTTAGGCAACGAACTTGATTTGAAAAAAACAATAAAATTTATAGAATCTTAAATAAAATTATTTAAATATTACTCTATTCCTTATTCAGGCCACTACTCTCTGGTTGAGCCCGATGGTTCCGTGCGCACCGTCGACTACACCGCCGATGACCACAACGGTTTCAATGCCGTCGTCCACAAGACCGCCCCCAAGATCATCGCCCACGCGCCAGTGGTGCATGCCGCCCCCGTGCTCGCACACGCCCCCCTCCTGCACCATTACTAAGCGGGAGCCTGGGCCCAGTCACCAAGGTGCTCTCCCTTTCGCTCTCATCCATCCACTGAAACATCATAGGAACAACAACAAACAGAAAACGAAAAAACCACAAAAAAAATATCAACAAAACAACGAACATGAACATGAAAATTCTTTTGTAAGTAAGCTTAGCTAAGAGTTTAGTAGACACGGGACCGCCTTAGGGGGCGTGTCCCAGAACCCGGCTGATCCTGGCATGGCATGGACGAAGGAAAAACGAAAATGAAAATGGAAAAGAAAACGAAAATGAAAATCACTATCAAAGCAAATTCATATCGACTTGGCATTCGGAATGACTTGATCGCGGATTGATGACGATGGTGGATAACATCAGAGTTGGACTTGGTATAGGGAGAGACAAGTTTTCAATATAAAATATGTTATGTTTTTCTATATACCTAAATGTATGATAAGCCAGTACCGAACTCACTGGCAACCTTTTGCCCTCGTAGACCCAGGAAAGTCCATCTCACATAGGCTTCTCATAGATCTTCCCGCCTCTGTATATAGAACTTTACCTCTACGCCTTGAACTTTTTCATTTCAAGCTTAACTTTTGTAATATATATTTATGTTCTATCCCTCACTCCCATTTCAACAAACTTCTTATTCTATAACTCTAGTTTAGAAGCCTATGTGGCGACTGTCGAGCTCCGGACAGCATCCCCGAACTGCCACGCCTATTTAAGAACCTCAGGGCGTGTGTTAGCTCCTTTCTGGAGCCAAGTCGAGTGCCATGGGGGATCGCTTCTGGTTTGGCAGGCGCTGAGCGAACGACTCCTGGAAGGCAGAAGATTGTCAGTGATAGGAAGCACATGGCCGGATATTTGTGCATTAGTAGCTAGTACTCTCTATCCTGCTGTTATCCCCGAGGACTCATTCCGCCTCTTTCTTCCACTTTCACCTCTCTCACTCACTCACCGATTTACTATCTCTCTCTTCGTGTATCTTCTTCTCTCTCTCACTCAACCTCTCACTCAATCAGTCTGACACTCTTGTATCTAGTTTCATTTTTTGCATTTAGTATTTTCACAGTTATTGTGTATTTATAAACAATTATGCAGCTTAATTATAAACAACAATGATAAAAATCTCATGAAGAAAATCAACAAAAAAAAAAATAATCACTGAACTCTATTAGTTTTCTCCCGCCAACGGAGCAAAAACGAAAGGAAAACAAACTCTCACATGTCTCTCACGTCTCAAAAGTTCATTTGAGTCTTACACTTATGTACCATATATTCCCCATAAACATTTGTATGCAACAACAACAACAACATCAACAGCAGCAAACGAAATGCAAAAACGTTATTATGGAAATAGTAAAAAGAAAAAACTAAAAAAAAAATAAATAAAAATCATATTTAAAAAAAATTTAGACATGATCTTTTTTCTTTGGCTTGGTGAAGACATATCTACGAAGGTCATTGATTTTAGCAGCGAGAGTCAATAATTAATACTTTGGTGCCGAGCATAAAAAGTGAGCAAATTACTTAGCATTCCGCTGAAGTATTACAAATGGGGATTCGCACCCACCTGGAGGGCCTCTTCATTTCGTTTTGGGTTCTCGACTCGAAGTTCTTCAGTCTGCCTCTGCCATCCAAAGAAAACGGCTCGAACCCATGGGCCAAATTAATTCAAATTTCAAATAGATAGATCTTTTGGCAAATACACTTAAATACACTTAATATTCAGAATGGATTTTGTGGCTAAATTGTTGTGGTTCATTGTAAGTGCGGAAGAATTGTGGAATTTATATGACTACATCTAACATTTTGGTGGCAAATATTTAATAGATCTTGTAAAAATAAAACCACGAAAGTGAAATTATATTGTCAAAGAAGTGTAAAGAAAGAAGTGTCCTTATGAGCATTTTCTTATTTTTTAAAAAAGTTGCATTTGAATTAGTTTAAAGTATTACCGTTCTTTTTAAAAAAGAGTCAAAACACTCTAATTTAATCTTATTTTGACGAGCTATTAAGCCTTTAAAAACGTATCATGATTTCCTTTTTTCTGCAAATAAAGTACACACTAAAGAAAACACTTCCCAAATGTGATAATTTTCTGTATTAAATATCAAAGTTTCAATTGCTTAAATGTACGCCTCAACATATACTATCTTCTTTTCTGGATCCAATAGGTTTTAATACTTGCCACAAAAGTATGTGCCATGTTGGCCCATCCATTTCCCATAAAAAGTGAAGCATATCCAGAGACAGCTGAAAAAAGCGAATCTGGAAAAGCCAAAGTGAGCAGTTACTTTCTGCAGGAGCCTTACGGTAGGCTATAAAATAGATTTTGTAATTGTCTACATTTCATCCATCTACATTAAAGACATTTTTCTCCCCTATAGGACCCAACACCTATTCCTTTGGATACGATATATATGACCCTCAAACCAAAAACACTCAGTTTCGAGAGGAGAAACGGTTTGTTAATGGCAGTATCCAGGGAAGCTACGGATATGCAAGACCTGATGGAAAAATTGAGGTCACTAGCTACACAGCGGATGAGGATAATGGCTATTCCGCAAAATCCCAGACTTTCCAAAAGGAAGACGATAAACTAAAGGCAGCCTGGCCGACTCAACGCCCTTATATTCTTCTTGAAAGGGACAGGATCGATGCCCCTGGGAATGTTACTTTGGATCCCAATAGCAATCTCAATGTGAGTGTCTCCCAAGTGACACAGCATGTAGCACAGCAGCTCAAGGATCAGCACGGCCTGGATCTGAACCACATCGATGTTAGCAAGGATGTCCTGAAACCAGCTGTCTTGGATGTGATCCAGGGCAAGGCTCCCGCGAAAGTCCAGCCAGTTCAGAACGTAATCCCCCCGCAGTTTCCAATAGTCCCCTTCATGCTACCAACCGATCAGGAAACCCCGAAGGTCACCACAGATTCCCCATCCACTGTGGAGCCCAAAAAATCCGATAGTTCCAAGTATAACAAAGCCAAAACAAATAATGACGAAAAGTCCCCGCAAGTCGAGGAGACGGAGGCGGAGAAAGAGGCCCGGCTGCCGCCGCCCAGGCCACTGGCTAATAGCAGTTCCAGCCACGATAGTTGGCAGCACCGAACCGTTGAGGCTAATCGTCGTGAGTTCCTGGCCAATTTGCCCAACCTAAGTGAGGGCAGGCCATAAGTAAGTGTTCAAAGCTGTAAATAGGGGTTAAGCCAACTGAACCAAAATACACGAAATAAAAAAGGTAGTTTTCCAATTTAAAGTCAATATCAATTTAGGCCAGAGCCCTAGTTATTAGGTAAGTTTCTTTCACTTTTTGAACGACAAGAGCCACAAAAGAATTCCACATATTGTGCGGCATAATTGAGGCTGCTACGAAAGTGATAAAAAATAAAAGAAAGACAAGTATCTGCGGCATTTTTGAAATTTCTTCCGGGTGGCGAACTGGAGCAGATCCCAATCTAAAGCGTTTGCCGCCTTTGAAGTGAATTTTTCTGCGCTTTGTGGGTTAATTTGTGGGGCGCCCACAACAGGTCGAGTGTGGGGCTGGTGCACCCAGCTGGATATTCCCCGATTCAGGAAGACGTCGGGCCATATCACGTTCCAGTCAAGTGTAAATGGTCTGCCATTTAATTGCTCCAAATTTCCAAATGCGTTTCCATACCAAATGGCAAGCCGAGCTCGGCCAAACACGATGGAAAAAACTAAAATAAAAACGGAAGGAAATGCGAAATGCATTTTGATTTGCACTTTAGATACTGTTTGTGTTTTCGGTTTATTTTTCGCTTTCTTCTCTGGGACCGGGCGATGCATATTTATGCTGATTTATTATTCCATTATTGCGGCAGCTTTAATTTGTGGCACGCACACTCATCGTCTATTGCGAAATTGTACTTTTTTTTTTAGTTTTACTTTGCCAAAAGCACTCCCCACTACTTTGAAAATTTGTTGGTTTTTAGCATTTTACATTTTTATACTTGTTCATTTGTATATTTATTGCCCACGAATTTGTATCTGGTACATTCACTTTTATGCTTCACTGGGATGGCTAAATGCGGGGAAAGGCTTTGGTTAATGGAAACAGGAACGGAATACAGAACTTTTTTTGCTACTTAGGGTTATTGTCCTACTATTGCTGGCTTTCTGGCCAACTTTCATATGCACTCGAGTGTTTTATTGTATGCTAATTAAAATGTTGCCACACTCATACGATTCCCTTTCAATTTATTACGTTCGGATTTTCTTTCATTTTTTTGCGGCGTGGATATTCGGTCATTAACTAATTGCTGAGGCAATCGACTTGCACCACTTCGAGAAAGTCTCTATTATTTTCTCCTTTCGGTTTTTTAGATTCGTCTAGGGTGGGACGTATACGTAACGTAATGAAATAAATTACGTAGCCGCACGGTGGGCTACTGTGGCCACTGCTGCTACTGGATGTTGCTACACGGTGGCAAGTGGCAATTGCACTTCAACTTAACATTGAGATCGCTGGCGTTGTCCCTGCAGCGCCGCCGGGCATAAAAATAGTAATAAAGCAATATTTATTTGCGCCGAGCACCAAAATATTTTCACGTTGACAACTTGATTAGCGGAGCCGCTGCATCTGGTTTTGGGTCCTGCTTTCCAGGCCCGCCGGCGGTTGCATAAATTTAGCCATTTTATAATCTCGATATGGCCGCTGCTGCCATGCCAGATCTCGAAACTGGTCAATTTCATAATATCCGGTTCGGGCGCGCTTGAAAAGTTGTTAATTTGCTGCATCTCTGCCAGCGACGGCAGCAGGAAAAACAAAAACTCCTGGCTGGATGGCAGCAATTAGCCGGCTTTGGAATAAGGTAAAAGTATTTAACCCACTTTTAAAGCTGGCCCAGCCTGAAAAGCGCTTTTCACTGTAGGAAGAGGGAGACTCCATTAAATTGGCGCTTAATTAATGAGCCACTCGGAGTCACAGTCCAAGGAAGTCGTCATGGGAATAACTCGACGCCCAATTTCCTCGACGCTATGCGACGTGTGAAAACGGCAGTGGCACTTTGGGCTGAAATTAAAATATTTAACAATTACCGCAAGTATTTTGATTAGTCAATGATACAATTAGATGGATGGCTGGAAGAAATCAATTGGAAAACGGCTGCGAGCTGTGGATGTGGCACTCAGAGTCGAGGCACTTTTCCGCGTCTTGCTACACTCGCTAGCCGCACAGAAAAAAGAGTGTCGTTCGACTGTCTCACCTGCCATATGATATGATTATGTGATTTGGCAATTTGCATTTAATTAATTTTCTTCAGCTATTTATTATGTCAACGCCAGCAGCAGAGGCAGCTTAGGCTCTCGCCAGAAATGAGGGGCCGGGAGTGCAATTGCTGCTCTGGCTGTTACCGCACCGAATTCAAGTGAATATTATTTGTTACCGTTGAAAGGCTTTTCAGATTATGCTTCGACGGCAGTTATATCATGGGCGGGCGCTCTCCGCGAATGCATAATCGGAGCTGACGGCGATGACGGCGATGACGGGTGGATGCGATTAAATAATGCAGAATTCCTAATTTTAAATAGCAGCTAATAGAGGCCAGTTTGAAAAGAAATAGTAATACATTAAAGAGAATAGTTTGGCTATTTTTAGGACTTAATCATTTTAATCAAACCCCCACTAGTATTTAAGCCAAATATCGACTTATCATAACTTTCCATCAAAGTTTTAAAAGAAGATGATGGCTTAATAGTGACAACTGGTTTTTTGAGAGGACTTTAAATCACCAAGCATTCCTCATACGCAGTGTGTGACGGATGCAAACGATTGAAATTAGATAAATTGCAGAAACCTGCCACTGGCTAAGTTCAATGTGCGCTGGCAATTAGCGGCATATTTTAGCCATTTTCCTTTCGGCCACACAAACCGCACAGGCCTCCACTCCCCGGTAAATTCGTGTTTTATTTGCAGTGCCTTCAAATAAATTAATATAAATTGCCGGCAATTGAATGCGTTGGGATGCTAGGCTACACAAATGTAATATATTTTATGTGCTTGTGTGCTGCTCAGGTTTGCCTTCTTATTTTTTCAATCACTGCAGCGCAGAAGATAAAGTAACAACTACTGTTTTTCGGTTGCATAAGCCAGGGCTGCATAAAAGGATAACCATTAAAAGAGCTACTGCAATAGCACTTCAATTCCCACAACAATTTTGGAAAGATGCACGCGTCGCTGGCTTGTTAGGCTGTAAGCCGGCGCAGTTCAGACTCTAATAAATATGAAACAATGAGACAAAAGTCAAAGTTGGCCATATTGTTTTTGTTGTTCGGTAGTTGTTTGCCAAACGTTCGGTTTAGGTAGCCAACTTTTTTCCATTAGCTTTGTTTTATTTTTCGGCCTGGTCTGGTCTGGTCTGGCCTGGCCGAGACGATGTCGCAAATGTACGCCAGCAGTATGAAGCTACAGGAGCACTTCGGCATTTGGCCAAGTTAATGCATGTACTAAATGTCTAACGGTAAATATGAGTTACTAGGTAATTGCTTGGTCTGCTTACCTGCAGCAGCTGTTACATGCTCGCCGCGCCGCGCATGCGCATTACCAACAACAACACTCGAATCGCGTCGCGTTTTGACTTTTCACTTTTGTGAGTGAGTGGGAATTGATTGAGTGGCCAAAGCTCTGGGTAAAAGTAAGCCAGGCCAAGCAAAAAACAAAATGTAACAAATCTAAACTATGGCTAACCAAAAAATTAACACCTGCCCCTCCATCCAGCGAGTGCGACAGGGAGAGCAGCTTCAAAGAGCAAACAAAATAAAATTTTGTGTGCAATTACGCTGAATGCAAGCAAAAATGAGAAAAAAATAAAAATGAAAACTTTGAGGCGATAACTAGCAACGAAATCAGCCGAAAAATGTTGCATATCACAAAACAAAAATGGGGAAGTGTCAAAGAATGCCAACACCGAACTTGAATGCACTTCCAAACTGAAGAATATACCTAATTAGTCTTAGATAAATTACATACTTTTAATTACCAATAAAAAGTCCTTTATATTTTTTTTATTTATTTTTTATTTTTCATAAACTTTCTTTAAAAATCAAACACAAAATACGTATCAACCACGAGTTCAATTGGCGTCAAATTTCCAAATGTTGCAGCAAAATATAGTCTAGTATATAGTCCAGGCATTAACGTGGAATGCCACAAAGACGACTCTGGCTGTGCGTCGAGTGTGGCATGTTGACTTGCGTTATTTTTTCCACCTGCTGCAACGCCAACGCTCCACAGGCAGACAAAGACAGAGTTATATTTGGCAGAAAGAGATGGGGAAGCAGGAGACGTAGACCCCAAATCGTGGGCCATAATTAAGCATTTATTTTATTTGCCATATTTCTTGTGGTGCTTCGGGATTTGTGGCGGATTGGATTGGTAATCATCGTGAAAAAATGTTTGTTTTTATCCACCACTTTTTCATTTCAGTTTGTCATGTCTCTCTCGCAATGTTGTCAAGCGTTGTCGACCATAATATAGCAATTAAAATTGTGTCTGTATTTAGGAGAGTACATCAACCCGATGTCATTCGTTTCAGGTTGTCTGATTCGATCCATTGCATCTTTCGAAGCCTGTGAAGCGGCGGAGGCTATGCAAAGTGGATGCTGCAAACGGCACGAAATTCAAATAATTTCTCGAGTTATTGGCAAACAACGATTCGATGAACTAGATTACTGAGATGGGAATCATTTCAAGGAGGTGGAATGATGGGCAGGAATTTGAGTGTGATGTGTATGGGAAAATGTTCGATAAAATAGAGCAACTACTTTGTAAGGAAAGCTCTATTTAGTTGAAAAAAAATGTCTCTTTTTGTCTTAGTTTTAATTATAAAACTTAATCAAGTTAAAACCCATTATATACCATTACTTTACCATTGTTTTAAGACACTAAACCAAACACCTTTTGTGTCACTTTAATGGCGTTAACAAAACGAACGACTTAACCTTCGATGTGAGAACCCTCGAGTCGCCAAACTCCACGCTTGGCTGCCTAATTAGCGCCAACCAATCGAGGGAGAATTGACGTAAGACCCCAAAAATTGGTACATTATCCCCACAAATGCAATTGTGGCACTTAACTTTGACTTAAAGTACAGGCCAGCCCATGCGAGCGATACTTCTGTTTTATGTCGAACAATTTGAGATTACAAAATTGGCTTTTATTGGGGCAGTTGGCGGCCTGCAGCCTCTTTTCAATTCACAATTCACAATTTACCATTTGGGTTTTACGAAAATCAGCGCATTAAAAGTAAACGATTAACCGGAGGCACGCCGCAATAGAAGGTTGCCCCAAAAAGCTGAATGCTGCCCAGCAGCAGCCACGAAAATCATCTACCCGAAATTTGGGTCAAACTGCGTTTAATGAGCAGACTCAGAGCTGCAATGCAAATAGGCTAGAAAAAATGTTGAAAACCAAAAATATTATTAACAAACTGCTTCGGAACGGAGCTGTCAGTGGGGCATGTTGCAATATGGCTCGGCTGAGCCAAAAGAGCGATGACGACTTATCAACGCCATCGCATGCGTCACTAATGACACACAAAGAGTCCTGTCCAGGGCAGCAAACATCCAAGCCCCAAACAATGGCAAACAATGGCAAAAACAACAAGACGAGGCAAGGTACAAAAACAAAAACCGCATTTGAACTGTTTTACATTCGGCTCGATAGACTATGGGCACCGCTCACTTCGCAGCTTGAACCAATCCACGAGTCCACCGATCTAGCAATCCACCGAACCACCGTCGATTCACTTTCTTCCTAACCATATATAAGCGGCGCATTTTGGTTGCAACCACATTATTCAGTGGTGGAAAGTCGTTGCGTGCAGTCATCCCACAAGCCGAACTTTGTTTTGTGAAAACCAAACTAGCCGCGAACTAAACTAAATCCGTGCTACCATGGCCTTCAAGGTGAGCCGCAGTCAAGGATTAAGGATAATGAGTGAACAAATTCAATACGAACTGTCCAAACAAGATATCCTTAAGGATGTTGGCAAGCAAAACAGTGATCTCAAGTGATTTATTTAAAATGAAGTGAAAAGTTTACAAAACATAAAGGACATTAGTTTCAGGACACAATTGGATGTTTAATATAAGCTTTTTAGCTTTAATCTTAGTATATTTCTTAAGGAGTTTCAGGAAACTTTATCCTTTTAATTAACACAAACCACTTACCAAAATATTTGCATATTAAAGACACACTCCCGCTCTTTTGAGGCAACCACTAAACCACAATGAAACCACTAAATTAAAAGCCAAACAAAAGCGTCAGTCAACCACAGCAAACACTTCATTTTGAATTCATTAAAATCAGCAGGAAAGAAAAACCACAAAAATATTTGCCTTTGATGCAGCCATTACATGGTTAGCGACAGTTACAAGTCAGCGGAGGGTCCCTCTTACTTTTCCACCCACTCTTTGGGGCCACCACAAATTGCAGCTCTTGCTGGTTGGAAGTTAGGGCCACTTCGCCACTCGCTAACGGAAACAATTAGCCGATGTCTGAGCTCCATTGTTAATTATGCGCCTGCCTATCTTATCTTTTAGTATCTGATCTTCGCCTCGGCCCTGTGCCTCAGTCTGGCCTATCCGCTAGAGCACCAGTACTACGAGGAGAGCCACGGCTACGAGCACCTGGCCCACCACGAGCCGGAGCCTGTCCATGAGTACGGACACCACCAGATCGAGCGCATCTCCCTGGGCGAGGAGCATGGACACCACGAGACCCCACACTACGAGGTACACCCCCACGAGGATGAGCACGTGGACTACTATGTGAGTTGTCAGGATTCAGTTAGAGATAAGTAAGAGAATCTAATAATATTCCACTCCAGGCTCCTCCCAAGTACGCCTTCAAGTACGGAGTGAATGACTTCCACACCGGCGATGTCAAGTCCCAGCACGAGACCCGTGACGGCGACACCGTCAAGGGACAGTACTCTCTGGTGGAGCCCGACGGTTCCATCCGCACCGTGGACTACACCGCCGACAAGCACAATGGCTTCAACGCCGTGGTCCACAAGACCGCCCCTGTGCACCACCACGAGGAGCTGCACGAGCACCACTACTAAGAGGACTCACCGTGCACTAGAGTTAGCCAAATTGCTCATCAGTCGAAGGAAGGGAGGAGAAAGACGGCGAGGAGGAGGAAGGAGAAGGATTAGAAACGATCGACCATGGAATCAGCTTCATATCTCGTAATTAGGACATCAGCACACACTGTGGACCGCGGGCCGTGTAGACTCTTGCAGCCCGGGGCCATGCCTACTTCATTAACATTTTGTATATTGTATTTTATTCTGTGATAGCGAATAACTTCTACGTGTTTCTTCCGCTTTCAACTGATCCTTAGTCACTGCCTGCTCAGACGAATTTACTCGATTCACTCGACTGTAATCTGTAATCTTTAAACTTAAATCTTAAAACTTTAATCTGTAATCTGTAATGTATACTTATGACTTCTCGTAAAACTTGTTGCAGAGATCGAACGAATTGTAAATTGTGTAATAAAGTGTGAATTATGTACTTTTTATAAAATCAAAACTCACCCGACCACTGACCATAATTTCTGCTGACCAGGTGGGGGCCAATCATTGAACTTGTACACCTCAAACAAATGACCAAATGTCTGGGCCTGCCCGGCCAACTGGTTTATGCGTTGCAGTCGTAAACGGCAATAAAGTGCCATTACAAGACATCGTTAGACACATTTTCCGCAAACCACTGCAAACGAGTTGTGCGTTTTGTTTTTGATTGAAATTGCATAAGTCGTATTTGAAAAGTTGTCCGAAAGTGCTTCCTAAAACTCCAAACTCTACAATAGGCGTTGAGATGAAGTCACGAAGGATAGTTTTAATTAGTTTATAAGTTTTTAATTAAAAACTAATCGGATCCCAGTTAATTTGTAAAGTAAGAGTATTATGTTAAAGATTATCTAAGCAATAAACTTTTTTTATTAGCTTTGTTAAAACAAGAATAATTTTTTATTCATTTTTTGAACCATCTAAGCAAACTTTGGAGCTTAAATACCATCATTTTGTGATGGTCTTCTCCTCCTATCTTTTCATGTTTAAAAATTATCATTTATTTAAAACTACTTAATAGACCGTTATGAATAATAACATAAATTTTCGCAAGTTTAGGTGGCAGCTCTGGACACTCTTTTGTTTACTGATATGGCAGCTTTAGTTTTTGTTATAAGTCTACGATCTGGCACTTCTTCCTTGCACATTTTTGATAAGAAAGGGCAGAGTACAGATAAATAAAAAACTATGTCAATTAAGAGTTAACCAAGGTACGGAATATAAACAAAATGATAGAGAAGAATAAGTATGTTCCTCGGGTTAATCAGGTGAGTTCAAAATAATAATCATTTATGATACAAACAATCCAAACTTGTGTTTACATTTTAGATTGATGCAATTTATCTGAACAAGGACATCGCACGCCTGATACGTGATAATCTCCTGGAAAATCTTCAAGCCATTTCAGTAAGCATGAGGACAATGTTAGAGCATGGGACATGTTAACCTTCCCTCTCCATCTTAGCCCGTTTTATTTATCAAAATCCAGCCCGAGCTTGATTTGTTGATTCAGTCCGCCATTTGGTTTGGTTCCGTTGGAAAGAGATGTTCAACCTTTGGCCAGCAGCTTCTGGTCCTGGCCTACGATGCCGAGAAACTGACCGTCTCCCGGCTGGTACTCCACTTCGCCTTGACAGTTCTTCCAGGCTACATCAAGAGCTGGGAGGAAAGGCGATTAACGAGGCGCGTGGAATGGTTTAGTCAGATGATCTCCTGGGCAGAGAACAGTGCTTTAGTGCTGAACATACTTAACTACTTTCGATTTCTGAAAACTGGAAGAAAACCCACTTTAATTGACTTCCTTTTGGGACTGGACTATATAAGTCTGAGAAACAACCAAAGGAGGGACATCGGTTACAAGTACCTGACCCGCGAGTTGCTCTGGGGAGGATTTATGGTGAGGAAAGGACTTATTAATATGCGACAATTTAATAATTTTGTTCTCTGCAGGAAATCCTTGGTCTCGTGCTGCCAATAATCAATTTTCGAAAGCTACAGAGATTACTGAAGGCCTGGACCTTTGGTGGGTTATCCGGAAAGAAATTGGAAACTGGAAGTAGTAGTAAAGCAGAGCTCCTCTCTCCAAAGATGACGGCGGACACCATCTGTACATTTTGTGGGGAAAGACCCACTCTCCCCCACCATATGGGCTGTGGACATATTTATTGTTATTATTGCCTGAGCGCAAATATTTTAACGGATGCAAGTTTTAATTGCTCAGTATGTGGGGCAACGTGTCCCGAGAAAGGAATCCAAAGTCTATGAACTACGGATTTAATACCCAAGTGATGGTTTTATATGTCTTTTATAGTGATAAGCTAAAAATGGGCTGTAAGAAAGAAATAAAAGCAAATATTTTATAGTATTTTGGATTTTTATTGTTTAGTGTTGATAAGAGCAGCAAAAGTAGTGTTATTAGTTGTCAAACACATATTGCTGTATCGGGGCGCGCGTTGAGTAGTGCTGTTCATTTTATCGCGATTTTAGTTTCAATTAAAGTATTATTGAATCAAAAAAACTTTAAAAGTGGAATAGGAAGCATTGTGGAGTATCTTTAAACTACTGGCTAGTTGAAAACAATCCGAGGACGAGCAGAAAGTAAGTTAGAAGTTTAGCCTTGGCCAGGTGAAAAAAGCGCGCGAAAATAAGTCATCAGCTGTTGCTCTGCTTGACGGTGCTGCCATACCAGGCTTAAAAAATAATTTACTTTGTTAAAATAGCTGCAACCGCTGTTTATACATTAATGGTCTTAGGAATGTTTAATTTTATATAGCTTATAATAATAGTAGTTAAGGTAGTGCCAATTGCCCCACCCAAAAGGGTTCTACAATTTCGCAAATCAGCTGAACGCGGCGGTCTGGCAAGCCCGCGACTTTGTTATTATCTCATTTTCTCTGCTGCGCATTTTGCCTTTGTCCGAAATTTAGAAGAAAACAACACAGTTAAACGCTTGCAAAAAGCACGAAAAATTGCTTAATAACCATTCAAATAAACATTTCGTCAGGCATTGCGTAACTGAGTGCCAAACCCAAAAAACTAGAAGGAACACCAAAAGGCCAAACAATTACAAAAACAGAAAGTGTTCAAATATATAGCACAAATTACTTGGCAACAAACTGCGTATATATTCGTTGATATAAATTCGCCACCAGCAGCTGATTTCGCAAATCAAGGTCAGTAAGGTGGGCGCTTGACAGGCAAACAAACAATAACCCGTCCCATACACTGCAGGAAAAGATGCTCGATTTGGAGATCCTGCCGGAGAACTCGCTGGGATGCGACGCCTGGGAGTTTGTCCTGGGGATGCACTTCTCGCAGGCCATTTCCATAATTCAATCCCAGGTGGGGATCATCAAAGGAGTACAGGTCCTGTACTCGGACACGAATCCCCTGGGAGTGGATATAATCATCAATCTGCCACAGGATGGAGTGCGTCTGATCTTCGATCCTGTGCTGCAGCGTCTGAAGACTATTGAGGTCTTTAACATGAAGCTGGTGAAGCTCCGCTACGGAGGTGTTTATTTCAATTCTCCTGAAGTCCTGCCCAGCATCGAGCAGATAGAACATTCCTTTGGAGCCACGCATCCTGGTGTCTACGATGCAGCAAAACAGCTCTTTGCTCTCCACTTCCGAGGCCTGAGCTTCTATTTCCCGGTGGACAGTAAACTGCACTCGGGCTACGCCCACGGACTGGGTTCCCTGGTGTTCCTCAATGGCGCCTCACCAGTAGTCTCTAAGATGTCTCTTTATGCGGGCAGTAATGTCACCGAAAACAGAGCACCACCCCTCCCGCTGGCCTGCTACCATCGCCAGATGTACTTGGAGTCGGCTACTGTCCTTCGCACATCCTATGGCCACACCAAGGGATTGAAGCTGAAACTCTTTACCGAGGGATCTGGAAGAGCTCTGGAGCCTCGTCGGCAGTGCTTTACCAGGGAGCTTCTCTTTGGGGACAGCTGCGAAGATGTGGCCACCAGTCTGGGTGCTCCCAACCGGATTTTCTTCAAAAGCGAAGACAAGATGAAGATTCACAGCTCCAGTGTGAATCGGCAGGCCCAGAGCAAGCGTAGTGATATATTCTTTAACTATTTTACGCTGGGGATCGATGTTCTGTTCGATGCCCGCACACAGACCTGCAAGAAGTTCATCCTGCACACAAACTATCCGGGCCACTTCAACTTCAACATGTACCATCGCTGCGAGTTCCATTTCCAGCTGCAGGCGGACCATCCTACAACGATCGAAAGTAGTAACGATTTGGTGACGCCCGCAAAACAGGACCATGTCAACATAACCGCGTACACAAAGTGGGACGAGATCAGCGGCTCACTGGCAACTTCGGAGCGACCTGTAGTGCTCCACAGAGCCAGTTCGACCAACACAGCGAATCCTTTTGGCTCAACCTTCTGCTACGGCTACCAGGATCTGATCTTCGAGGTGATGCCGAACAATCACATCGCCTCCGTGACGCTGTATAACACGGCTCCTCCGCGGCAGCCGGCCCACACTTGGCAGCAGCACAAGATGCAGGACATCCGCCTTACCGTGGCATAGTTGTCGCCCTTCGTGTTCTAATCTTTAAGCTACATCAATGATCTAACCTAGGCATAAATTAGACAGATATATAGTAACATATATATTATATATACATGGTACACGTAGATTTCTATCATAATCTAAGCCAATCATCGGACGAACCCCCTGACCAGGTTCATTCTGCGGTATTCCATTGTGTTAGATCGATTCGATTCTTTAATTTGATTTGTTTCGACATATACTGACAATTAATTAGTAATTCGTAATTTCAATCCCTGCATGTCGTTAATATATATTTCAGTACTCTAAGCTCCAAAAGTGTATCTCTCTTTGAAAAAGAAAAAATCAACAAAAAAATAAATAACTTTAAGGTTTCAAAAAAGACAAATATGATGCTCCCTTTGGAATTTGTTGGGGGCTTAGGAGGTTCTACTTTATTCTTTTAAATATTTATCAAAGTAAATATAACATATTTTAATAGATAACATCACTTTCTGTGATATTTTAGATCCATTACAATGCCAGAACAACAAGTCGCAGATCAGGAGAATCAGGTGCCGCAGCAACCTTCTGCCGCTGTTCCTGCCTTTAATCCGGAAATTCTTCAAGACATGCTGCCCTTGTACTACAGACGGCTCTTTCCCCATCAGCCCTTCTACCGCTGGCTGTCCTACGGACTGAGTAAGTGCCTCCATGTCGTCCCTATTCTCTTTAGAAACTAACCTTTACTTTCATTAGCCGAGGATGGAGTCTTCTGTAATCGTGAAATCTCTTTCACCCTCATGGACGACATTTACATTCGGTACCTGTGCTTCGATAGCCAAGCAGAGTTGGAGAAGGAAATCTGCTCGAGGAATCCCATCAAGATTGATATTGGCCCGGTGATGCACACCAGACCGAAAATGCACCGAACTATACCTGGAGGACTGGTGCCCGTTCAGAGAGAATTGGTATTCGACATCGACATGACCGACTACGACGATGTACGCACCTGTTGCTCCGGAGCTGAGGTGTGCCTGAAGTGCTGGAAGTTCATGGTGCTTGCTGCCCGCATCCTGGATGTTGCTCTGCGAGAGGACTTTGGCTTCGAGCACATCCTGTGGGTCTTTTCCGGCCGACGAGGTATCCATTGCTGGGTTTGTGACCACCAGGCGCGGCATCTGGACGGGCGGGGTCGCTATTCGGTGGCGGAGTACCTGAACATCGTTTCCTACGTGAGCTTTGGTGGAAGCAACTCACCCAGAGTTCCCCTGGGCGACCGCCAGCACCACAGCATCAAGAGGGCCCTAAAGATTGTGGAACCCATGTTCGAGGAGGTTATTTTGGAGGATCAGAATCTGTTCGGGACGCCTAAAGGGGTCACCAAGCTTCTGAACATGATTCACGACGAAGGTGCAAGGGGAGAATTCGAATCCTATCTCCAAAAAAATCTAGAGGATGGAGCCCATTCCAGGCTTGTGTGGGAGAGCTTCCTGAAGTACTCCAACTCAATGAGAACCACCACCGCCAATGCCTGGAGCCGGAAGCTGAAAAACATTGTACAAGAGGTCCAGCTCGGGCTGCTCTATCCCCGCTTGGACATCAACGTAACCAGGGGATTCAACCACTTGCTGAAGTCGCCCTTCTGCATCCACCCGTCCACGGGAAAGGTGTGTGTGCCGTTCAGCGTGAGTGCAGTGGGAAAGTTCGATCCCACAACAGTTCCCACGATCACCCAGTTGCTCCACGAGATCAATGCCTTCGATGACAAAAACAAGAGCTACATGGAGGCGCCGGAGGACAAGAGCCGGATCAAGGACCACAAGAAAACCAGCATGTTCAAGGGCGTGGTGGTGTTCGAGGAGTTCCTGCGGAAGCTGGAGCGTGGCCTGAAGGCCACTGGGCTTCAGTTCTAGATTTGTAGAGTTACGTAATTATAATAAACAGATATGGAATAGAGACAACTTTTTATTTTTTCGCACAAAACGTTGATTGCAGCTTTCGTATTTATTTGTTATTTTTTTTGTATCGTAATCATTAGGCTAGCAACAATAAATAGACTAGGCGACGGAGCACGATTCATATTCCGCGTCTCACATGCACCGAAGTCGCACCAGCGGCACCACGTTGCCGTCCTTGTCGTCCACGTCTACCTCAACTTCCAGTTGGAAGAGCCCATCCTCGGCTTGTGTAGTCTCGGGCAGCTTTGCCAGAATCTCGCTCTCCCCGGTGCGCAGCTTGAACGACGCCGCCGCGTTGTCTCCTGCGTCTCCGTTGGCCTCCCCGGACTGCGGCAGGGATATCCTGATCTTGGCGGGCAGCACGCTTCCCCTTCCCAAGACCAACTTGGCGTTGGCCTCATCGTTTCCATGCCAAATGTAGAGGTCGTCCTCGGCGAGCACACAATCTTCGTCTTTGTGGAGCTGCTGCTCTAGAGGATCCAGCAGGCAAACGGCTTGGCGTGCGCAGCCGATGGCCACCACCTCGTCGGCAGAATGGCTGTTGTGCAGCTTGGCATCCGGGAATCGAGAGGCTAGGGCCGACTGAAGCTTCGGGATCTGCATAGTGGCTCCTAAGAGCACGATGTCATCAATGGTACTCAGTCCAGGGTGCTCCTTCTGCGCCTGCTCCACGCATTCGCTCAACTGCTGGAGGAGGCTGTTGATGACCGGCTGGATCAGGCTCTCGAAACGGGCGCGCGACATCTGGGCGTTGAAGTCCACACCGTCCATGAGCGAGTCAATGTACAGCTGCGTAGAGGGCAGCGTGGTCAGTATGTGCTTGCAGTTGGCGGCAGCGGTGCGGATCTTGGCCAGGGAGCGCCGCGACTCGTGCGGGTCTAGCTTGTACTTGCGGCGGAACTCCTCGCAGATGAATTGGACCAGAGCCTCGGTGAACTGGCGGCCCCCGATGGGATAGGGACCAAACGTGGCCAGTTGAACAAATAGTCCATCCTGAACAGCGTAGAAGGCGAAATCGCTGTAGAGACCACCACACTTGATGGTCAGAACGTGACGTCGCTGCTCCGCCTGCTCCTCTCCAATCCTGTAGCCTAGAACGGCGGCTGTGGGTTCAGATATGATTTGGGCCACATGGAAACCAGCAGACTGGGCAGCGTCAGCCAGTAGTTTGCAGGAGTCTTGAGGATAGTAGCTGGGTATGGAGAGCACGGCTATGGGCGCCTGTTCCCCATCCGTGTGGTATTGGTGGGCCAATTCCAGCTCCGCACGCAGCAGCTCTACCGTCACCTGATAGGCACTGAGGTCCTTGGTCACAACCTTATCGTCCTGGTCCTCCTTTTCCGAAGGCACCGTGTGCTCCATGCGAAAGACCAGTTCTTCCTGGTCAAAGTCGCAGGGGATTTCCTTGAGGGCGCCCGAGAGCTTGTCCTCCGTGAGGTGTTCCTTGGGCTGCAGCAGCTGGAAACTGTGGGCTACCGCTTGCCGGGGTCTCGTGGCCATCTTTTGTTTGGCGGTAAGGCCGCATTCGATCTCCGAGACGCCGTCCCAGAGGAGGCAGGCCTGCGAAACGCGGTCACCCTGCTTGTTGGCGATCACATCCGCCTTGCCGTCCTCTCGCACGTGAGCGATGCACAGCGTGCTGTTTCCAATCTTGATGCCAAACCGCGGCCACATCTTTCTGGGTGTGTTTTGGGTAGCAGGAATACCGAAATTTAGGGAAAATCACACAAATTGATATGAAAGGTAAAAGCGCACGTTTTTTTCCTGCACGCGCGGTAGTGTTATAATCGGTGTTGTGTAACGTAAATTAATAGAGATGTGGGACTTTGCGTGAGTTTATTAACTTTATGCCCCATCTTTTCTTTTTTCTTCGCTTGCGACGATTTGTTTTATAAATTATTAGCATAATAAAAGTTTATTTAAGAAGAAAAAAGGTTCATTGAAATGCAGTGCCCATTTTACACAATGAAACAATATTCTGAAATGGATTGATTTTGCAAGTGCATCGGGGTTGTGTCTTCGCTGGAAAGAGTGTTGGAAAACCCCAATAAATCGAATATCGATGAAGAGATGGCGGTTCATTTAGTTTTTGAATGTTCGAATGATTTTTAAAGTTTTGACCATTCAAAGGAGTTGCATAAAATGATATAGCGAAAGGTTTTCTTATTGTGAAACCACATTTTTAAAAGCTTTAGCATTTGTAACATTTTTTAATGAACTGAGCAGACAACTCACAGCCAAGTCAGTTCGACTTTATTGATTTATTTACATAAATAATTTTAAAGACTATAAAGAACAACCAACCCTTTTAGATTAGCTCACTTGTAGGGAGTTCTAACATGCTCAGTAATCTCCTCTCCACCTGCTGTATGACCCAAAGATATTTCTCCCCCTCCACTGGGGGCCAGGTGGTCGTCATAAGACTCCTCCTCTCCGCTAAGCTCTTGACCCTCGTGCCCATGAGCTGAGGGATTGGTGCTCTCGTGGAGTCCAATCGTGGCGTGTTGGGCCGCCTTTGAGGCGTTAACCTGGGCTGCTGCCGCCGAGTTGGCCGCCTTCAAAGCAGACTCCTTAGTCGCCGCGTAGTCTACTCTGGCCTGGTGCAGTTGCTCCTCCACTTGCTCCAGTCGGTTCTTAGCCTGACCCACCATAGTAGACTGGGAGGCCAGCTGATTGTTCACCTCTGTGGAAGTTTGCTCCGCCTGTTCCGCTACGGATTTGGCATTATTCACGGCTGCTGTGAGAACCGATATATGATGATGGGCGGCTTGGGCTGTTTGTTGGGCCAACTTGGCGGAGATCTTGGCCGCCTTCAGTTGCTCCAGCTCCCTCGAGAGGGAGCGCTGGGCCTCGGCTGCCTGTTGCTCCAGTTCCTGGAGAACCACCTGCTTTCCCACCAGGGCCGCCTGCGCAGTGGCTGCTGCCTGAGAAGCCGCCTGAGCCAGAGTGTTCTGGGCTATGTAAGCCGCCTGCTTGGCAGCGGCATGTTGATTGGCCACAGCACTGTAAGCCTGATCTGCTGATCCTTGAGCTATGGAGCGGAGTCCACTGCCTATGCTGTAGCCTCCTCCTCCTTTGCCGGATCCACCTCCATTTCCAGATTGGCTGTAGTAACTTTTTGAACTGTGTTGTGGCTTCTCCGGCTCCGGAGGCTCCACAGCCGGGTGATGTGGCTCGAAGTATCCGTTCTGGTGAAGTGGCGGTGGCTGCTGGGGTCTATAATGATAGCCATTTCGCTTGTGCAGCCGTCCCAGGACCTGTGTCAAGAGCAGCACTAAAAAAGGGTAATTATAAAATATGTATTGAATTTAATAATTCGTACTCCTTCTTTAGCTTTTAGTTGTAATTCTTTTTCTTTAAAGTTGTTTTTTTTTTCAATTTATTTATTCATCGTTTTTATTTAATATGAATATGCACTTCGCTAGAAAGAACTTTCTAAGAGAACACGTCATTAGAGAACTTTTATAGGAAATACTTTCACTAGTAGGAACTAAAGTTTCAATGTCTCAACTGTCTATTTTTGAAAACATGACACTTTAACTTGTTTATTATTTATCTTTTTCACTTTTTAAAGTATATTTCCACCAATTCATGTATGGAGTTCACGTAAATCCATTATCCTTTCTTTTATGGTAGTCCTGGCTCACCTATCACCAGCTGGCCGAGAAGAGAGCGTAATCCAGTGCCGTGCATCTCGCTAGCGCTGCTGGAACTGCATTGAGCTTCGTTTTTGATGAAAATATCCCATTTATAAGTCTTTCAAAGTCGCCAGCGGAGCAGAAAGTGTTTTCGAGTTGCGGAAAGTTGGTTGCGGTTTTTAAATTTAACTGATGATGGCCATGTTATTATATTCATACTTTGGGCTATTTGGAATGGGTCTGCCCACTGCTGCTCCGCTGGCTACTCCCAGGCACCTTTACACCCATCGAGGAAGCTCGGCGACCCAAGTTTCGGCGGCGTCTTTTAATGCTCGGCTGGCACGCCGCTGCTTGTTTTTCAAAACGGACAGTGTAAAGTGGTCGGCCTCCTCCGGTTTGCTAATGCTTAAAATTTAATTTGCATTTTATGTGCTGCACTAGTTTGTAATTGAACTTAAAGTGGATCTTTAAGCGGGCTCTGCGAAGCATCGATGCAGGGAAAACCATTTCTGAGATTATGCCTTCGACTGGCTTAACTTTCAGGCGCAATTTTAATATATGTATTATGAACTAAGGAAGTCTGGGTAAGCTTAATAAATAAAAATGAAAAAAATAATTTTAATTGAAAAATTATGTAAGATATTCCAAAAAATATACTTGAATAATCCAATTTTTAACTTTCGAATTAATTAAAAATTCATTAAGGGATCCTTGAAAAAGTTCACCAACCAAATTTTTTTTAAGGTATTGATGCCGACTTATAAAGAATCGGTCTACGAATCATTTAAGGTACTCCTCTCAATGATCGGATTATTATTGCCAAAGATATAGCCATCGCTGGAGGCCATATAGGGGCTCCAAGCATTTTTTGGGATTTTCGAAGGGGACCCTCCAGAAATTTTAACAAAAAATTTAAAAATTATTATGTTCTGAGATTTTGATGCAGATTTATGGAGAATCAATCCACGAATCGTTTAAGGTACTCCGCTCAATGATCGGATTATTATTGCCAAAGATATAGCCATCGCTGGAGGCCATATAAGGGTTCCAAGCATTTTTTGGGATTTTCGAAGGGGACCCTCCAGAAATTTTGACAAAAAATCTAAAAATCATTATGTTCTGAGATTTTGATGCAGATTTATGGAGAATCAATCCACGAATCGTTTAAGGTACTCCGCTCAATGATCGGATTATTATTGCCAAAGATATAGCCATCGCTGGAGGCCATATAGGGGCTCCAAGCATTTTTTGGGATTTTCGAAGGGGACCCTCCAGAAATTTTAACAAAAAATCTAAAAATTATTATGTTCTGAGATTTTGATGCAGATTTGTGGAGAATCGGTCTACGAATCGTTTAAGGTACTCCGCTCAATGATCGGATTATTATTGCCAAAGATATAGCCATCGCTGGAGGCCATATAGGGGCTCCAAGCATTTTTTTGAATTTTTGAAGGGGACCCTCCAGAAATTTTGACAAAAAATCTAAAAATTATTATGTTCTGAGATTTTGATGCAGATTTGTGGAGAATCGGTCTACGAATCGTTTAAGGTACTCCGCTCAATGATCGGATTATTATTGCCAAAGATATAGCCATCGCTGGAGGCCATATAGGGGCTCCAAGCATTTTTTGGGATTTTCGAAGGGGACCCTCCAGAAATTTTGACAAAAAATCTAAAAATTATTATGTTCTGAGATTTTGATGCAGATTTATGGAGAATCAATCCACGAATCGTTTAAGGTACTCCGCTCAATGATCGGATTATTATTGCCAAAGATATAGCCATCGCTGAAGGCCATATAGGGGCTCCAATCTATTTTTGGGATTTTCGAAGGGGACCCTCCAGAAATTTTGACAAAAAATCTAAAAATTATTATGTTCTGAGAATTTGGTGCAGATTTTGGAGAATCGGTCTACGAATCGTTTAAGGTACTCCGCTCAATGATCGGATTATTATTGCCAAAGATATAGCCATCGCTGGAGGCCATATAGGGGCTCCAAGCATTTTTTGGGATTTTCGAAGGGGACCCTCCAGAAATTTTGCGAAAATCTAAAAATTATTATATTCTGAGAATTTGGTGCAGATTTGTGGAGAATCGGTCTACGAATCGTTTAAGGTACTCCGCTCAATGATCGGATTATTATTGCCAAAGATATAGCCATCGCTGGAGGCCATATAGGGGCTCCAAGCATTTTTTGGGATTTTCGAAGGGGACCCTCCAGAAATTTTGACAAAATCTGTAGGCCATATAGGGGACCCACCGGAATGGATAATGAAATCGATGGGTTTTTGTTGATCTTAGAAGGGAATCAAAACGAGTAAGAAATAAACAGTGAAGAGTATTTTTTATAAATTATTTTATTTAAATACAATAATTATTAATTTATTACAAATATATAAATAAATTAATTATTACAATCTCTATTTTACAGAAAAATTGGAACTCGAATGTACAAGACAATTAATATCAACCAGATGACGCGACTATGTGCGTCGCCAATTAAGTAATAACCGCAGTGGGCCGCTAATGAGTGGAGTGAAGTGATGTGAGTCGGGGCGACTGTGGGCGCGTGATATAAAATATAACAAATAGAATAACAGACAAAGTAACATTCGTAATAAATAAGAGTGACGACGCTGATAAATACGATGACGAATGCGACAATCGAACGGATTCGAGAGTTGCACAAGTGCTTTTGTGATGGCTTCGGTCAGAAGTGAAAAACAAACTCATCGGAGGAGGCATCGTCGACGATGACACTGGAGGTGTCTGCGTGGTAGGCAGTTACCTTGTGATCAGTCGGATGATGCTCCTGCCCGTGGTATTCCTCCTGCTCCGTTAATCATTTGTAGCTTTGGGTGATCTGCTGGATCCAGGGCAGGTAGGCCGAGACCTTCACGTACACGCCGGGTACGTTCACCTGGCCGCAGCCAATTCCCCAGGACACCACTCCCACCACGTTCCAGACTCCGTTGCGCTCGCAGACGAGGGGACCACCGCCGTCACCCTTGCAGGCGTCCTTGCCCTCCTCACCACCGGCGCACACAAATCCTGGGTTGAGTTTGTAACTGTATCCCAGACGGGTGTTCCTTAGCTGGGACTCGCACTGGTGGTGCGACAGAATGGGCACATCGACCTCCTTGAGGATGTTCTGGTACTTTCCGTGCTCTCCGAAAGCGTCCTTGCCCCAGCCAGTGGTCCAGCAGCGGGCTCCAGTGAAGTCGGAGTACTTGTCGGGCAGACAGGCGGGACTAATGTGGGGATTCTTGGTGAAGTCCACAGGGTGGTCCAGCTTGAGGATGGCCAGGTCATTGTCCAGAGTTCCGGCATAGTACTCGGGATGGATGTGCACGGAAACCACATCGCGTTCGATGTAGGGGAAGAACTCGACGTCATGGTTGACATCCCACTCGCCCAGGCGCACACGCAAGTCGAAGCCATTTTGACTGTAAAGGGATAGGGAGAAGGTTAGTCGCCTGGTTGAGGGACTCAAGGATCTATAAACTTACGATTTGATGCAATGGGCAGCGGAGATAATGTGCTGGGCGTCGATGAGGGTGCCACCGCAGGCGTAGATCGACTCCTTGGGGTCCTTCTTCAGGATGGCCACGTGCCAGGGATACTCGCCGAACTCACTGTCTCCGTCCACGTACACGGGGTTCTTGATGCGACCGGTGATGCCAGCGGCGTTCCTCACGCCACAACGACCGAGCTGCTGGGGAGGAGCCTGAGGGCGGAGGGGACGACGGCAGCAGACCTCGTTGATGCGGCAGGTCTTCTCCACAGGACGGTTGCCGTAGTAAGCACGCTAAAGGAAAAGCAAGGATAGGGGTTAGCTTGTTGACTAATGGCATTGCTGAAAGAAAAACCCTGATGCGAGATCACACATGGTTACCTGCTCCTCAGGAGCTGCTCCCGCCCACACACCATCCTCGAGGCTTCTGCGCCTGCGATCCCTGGGAAAGGTGATTCGATCACTGCCCGCTGACTCTCCAGGAGCCGGAGTGGGGATATTGTAAAGGGGTCCGAGGGTCAACTGCTTGCCACGACGACTGGAACCCTCGCTGCTCACGTTGGCGCTCCGCTCCACATGCTGCGAGTATTCACCAAAGCCTCCGAAATCAGGGGCGGATCCCGGATAGATCGAGTTGAAGGAGCTCTCGTAGGGGGATGGTTCGTGGTGATGGTGATGCGAAACGGGCACCGAGGGACCGCTGTGGTACTCAAAGATCGGAGTACTCGGCACCATCTCCACACTGAAGTGGGGACCCGATCCTCCGTAGTAGTGCGGATACGAGTGATCATGGTGATCGTGGTGATCATGGTGATCGTAGCCATGATGCTCGTAGCCTGTGTAGTGATCATGGTGGTGGTAATGGGTGCTGTGCACCTCGGCGGGCTTTCTCTTGAAGAAGTCTCCCACCTTTTGGATGAGATTGGCATTCGGGGTGACATGGAGGTTCACCAGTGGCTTCACCACCTTCTCGCCGTAGTCCGTTTTGGCCACCTGCACTGACACCAAAGGATTCACGTTCACCAGTCCAAGGTTCAGGCCATTGGGGCCCACAGAACCGAAGTTGGGGTTCTGGGCGGGGTAGTAATCACCCAGGACATTCGCTGGATAGCCTCCATATCCACCAGTGGGATAGGGCAGACCAAAGCTTACGCCGTAGGTAGGCAGCACCTTTCGTTGGATCAGTTCGATGGCCTGGAGGGCAGGCAGCGCCAAGGGAGATCCTCCGAGCGGCGCCTGTCTCTATTATTTTTTTTTGAGGGGGAGAAGATGGACAGAGGCTAGAACAAGTTCCAGATGCTTCCGTGCAATCTCAAAGTTCGTGCTTGGTTAGCTGGTTTAGTTCTGGGATTAGTGTCTAATCTGATCTGGTTCGATCCGAACTCTGGAGCCAGCGAGGAGGTTTAGTTGAGCTTGGAGCATTGAACGATGGGTGCAGTTGTCAGGTTGTTTGGTTGGTTGATTGATTGATTGATTGATTGATTGGTTGATTGGATGTGTGTGGGTGGGAGGAGGAGCTTGCTAAGACTCTATTAGTGGCCCCCATAATTTTGAGGGGAATGTGAACCATGCGTGATTTGGCATTAGTCGGGCACTATTTAACCTAGGCTAGAGGGATCTTCTAAAGAATACTTGGACTTACCCCTTGAGCGTCGAGCGAGAGATCGCTGGCATCCTCGTCCTTCTGAGCACCATCGGCCTGGCGACGGGAACGTTTCTTGTCATCCTTGTCAGTCTTGTCCTCGTCCTTCTTGGATTCAGCCTTCACGGTGGCGTTGCTGGCAGCAACATCGTCACTGAGAGCCTCGATGTCCTTGCCCAGGTTTCGGGGGTCGATGGGGAGGATTAGATCCTCCTTGCGGCCAATGCGATCGGCAGCCGGGCACTGGGAAATGGGCACACACTGGCAGTCCACGATCTGCTGACGGGAGGTGTCATAGCCACCCTGGTACTGTCCCTGGCTCTGACCCTGGTAACCTCCAGATATTCCATTGTACTGGTTAGAAGCGCCGGCCTGGAGTTCCTTCTTGTAGTAGTCGGGGTTCTGGCTGTGGTAGCTGGAGCTGGGGGATCCGCTGAATCCTCCGGAGCTGCTGGCACCAAAGTTTCCAAGACCAGAGTTAGGCTTGTAGATGTCGCCGGAGCTGGGCTTGTACAGGTCAGAGGGCTTCTGAGACAAGCCACTGAAACCGTTCTGGGAAAGAAGTCCGCCCTGGGAGGCACCGTTGAATCCAGCATTGAAGGCGTTCGACTGGGAGTAGCCCGATCCGGAAGTGGTCTGAATAGAGGGAGTGTAAGTGGCCGAGGACTGGGCCAGAGCGCTGAAGTCCGTGTTGATGGTCTGACCAGCTCCGACAGGAATGGGCACACTGGGGACCTTGGCTCCATCGGCACCCTCCACATGGTGGTAGTGGTGGTGGACATGCTGCTGCAAGCCGGCGTCAATGGGGGCTCCAACCACTACTTTAGTGGAGGAGGACGTGGCCGAGGAGGAGGAAGCCGAGGACTGCTGCGAGTAGAAGCCGTTGGGGGCGGAACTGGCCCCCTGAATACCACCTTCGGGATTCTCAAAGTTGTAGGGGGGAACTCCGTTGGGAGCACCGGGGTAAACAGGTCCGGAACCCAGGGAAGGTCCTCCGGTATAGATGGGTCCTGGGGGCTTGCTGTCGTAGATCAGAGCTCCAGGAGGGGGCTTCGTGTAGGTGATGCCATCGGAGGAGCCGTCAATAGCAGATGGTGGGGGGTGTTCCAAGTAACCTCCTGGTCCAGTTGGCCTGTAAGGTCCGGACATTGGCTTGTAGGGTCCCTCGTAGCCGACCTTCCTGGGGGGTCCGAAGGAGTTCAGGGAGCTGGGTGGGGGACCGAAGGCGCCAGACATGGGAGGACGGCCGCTGAAGTAGCTTGGTGGGGGCATGGGCTTGGCCGGACCGTAGGGGCCGCTGAAGCTTCCGGATGGCGGGGGTGGGCCCTGGGCGTAGATGGTCGAGTAAAACGGACGCTTCTCCTCCACATCGCAGCTCATAAGTCCGAGACCGCACAGCTTGTCGCGGATGAGGTTGCGTGCCTGCAGGTCGTTGCCCTGCTGCAGAGCCTGGTCGATGTTGCCATCGGCGTAGACGGCATCGTACTCGCCAAGATTGCGTCCTTCCCGGCGGGAGTTGATCAGTTGTTCGATGACCGCATCGATTTCGCTGGTGCTGTTGCTCTGAGTCTGGGTCTGGCTGTGGGATTCGTGGACCAGGTAGCGTCCCTGGATGTCGGCGGGGTCGGCTGGCTTAACGTCCACCGATCGGCGACTGGGCATGGCATCCTCCATGGGCGCCCACTCGTTGCCCCAGTTGGAGTCATCCGCCCAGGCGGATGCGCTGGCCAGCAGGAGAACTGCCACTAGGCTCGCTCTTATTCTCATGGTGAAGATCTGAAACGGAAACGGAATCGAATCAAAAAACTGCTGTACGAAAGCCATTCGCTTGATGGATTAACGAAACTGATGTGTGATAATTTATGCGTGGTTTGTTTTGAAGGGAACTGAGTGGCTCAGTCGTGATCGGTTATGACATAACTGGCAAGCTTGACACCATTACCCCAAGTCATTGTGCCAGTTTACAAGTTAACATTTCTCCACCAATGCCTCTGCCATCTCTGGCTTAACCAATGTGTAACGAAACCGAAAACCAAACCGGTTCGCATCTCGAAATCTTCGCCGTGACTCAGACTCTCGTATAAGACTTTTACTTTCGTTGGAGGTCGCAGACCGTCGCACTTAATTGCCTGATTTGGTACGTTACTTTTTATTCGAAATAAAAAAGTAAAAAACAGAAAGAAAGAGAGGGACTGCCCCTGTAATTTATGAGGTAATTTTCCTCGGATTTGGCAAGCCTACGAGCAGGGGCTACCATCGTTCAAGTTGATCTCTCGCCTTGACAGCGCTTTCCGCTTCGTGTATCTTTTTGTAAAATCACTTTTCTTTTTTGCCTTTTTTATGGTAGTTTGCATTGCAGTTATGTCACTGGCGGATCATGGATCATGGGGCGGAGGCGTGGGCGTAAGACTACACTTGAACAAATTTTACTTTCAATAGAAGGCTGGCGTTTAGGGAGAAAATGTTTCAGTTGGATAACTATTTCTTTTTTATGAGAGTGTAAAGAAGATGCCTTGGAAAAGTATTTAATTTTTCTTGGGTATCTGAAATTATTTTCCATGTTATGTAAATGAAGCTGCGATTAGCGAGCTGCTCAGCTTTTAGGGAGCCCCTCTTGGAGCGGAAGTTTGTGCAGCGTTGCATTGCAAATTGCCGGCAACTCTGGGCTTGGGATTTTCTTTGGTGGAAACTGCTGCCAAACGATGCTAACTGTCTGTGCGAGTGGGGGGCCGGGATAACCAAAGTTTTTCCCTTGTTTTTGCAGTGAAAGTTGGCTCTTTCGATTGGCTCAACGACTGGGCGGCTCTTGGCCAATAGTTTTTATGTTATCCATAATTTGATCGACTGCCTCGCGATTAAACGGAGCTAATTTTAATTAGCTTGTCTTTGTGGTTCACTTCAGTTCACTTTGCTTTTCTGGATCGTTCACTTCACTCACCTCTTGTTTCAAGTTTAATAATCCAATTGAGTAGCTATCTCTGTGTGTGTGTGTCTCGATAATCCTTATGCAACTGATCGTCCGTGTTATCCTTTCACTTCACTCACTTTCTGCACCTTTGGTGCTGTTCGTTTGTCTGCAACTCGAGGAATGATTTCGCTTTCGTTGGCCGCGCACATTTTATACAAAAGCTGCGCAGGCGCAGCGCCGGCTTGGAGCTCCAACTCTGCCGTCTCGCTTCCACTGGGCTTGCGAATCGGGGGCCCAAAACAAAAGCCACAAAAGCGACACTATTTGGCAACCTCTCTTTCTCGCAGCCAGTGTTGATTTTTTTGGTAATAATTTTTTCAGTTGGGTTTTTTCACCAATTCCCCGATTCTGCTCAGTACTGGAGGTCACTAAACGCGGCTCTAGGCGGAAATATTAAAAAACTTCATAATTTTTACCCCAAAAATATATCCAGTTCGTAGTACCCCTCACCTGGGACTACTAGTCAGACCCTATAAACAAAATTTACATGTGAAATTGTGTGCTAATGTTACATCTCCAAATTAGTGCAACTCTGTTTTTAACACTTTTCAGGTGGGCTTTTGGCCATATTTTTTTTTTTTTTGGTTAGCCATATAGAGCTTCCCGGAAAGGCACTGCTTGAGAAACCGGGATTATGCAATCCAGCAATTATAAATTGGGTCAAAGAGGAGCAACCGGCTAAAAATAAAAATAAGAGACGCATAAAAACATCATAAAAGGGGAAAAATTGGGCATTGCCTCAAACCGGATCTTTTGGCATACATTCATCTTTTCGCCCCCTCTCTTTCAGCTGGAGTATACCCATCTCTTTTCAGGTGCAGTTTGGGGTAATATCGTCTGGTTTTCGAACCCATGGTCAATGCAAACGTCATCAGTGGGTCATTCGTTTGTGTTTTCATTTTCGCCTGGCTCTACTCCAAAACCCTAAGCTACCTGGCTATGAATCAAAAGTGGCTTGCGGAATTACCCGAAGTTCATAAAAATTAGAGTCAACTTATTCACGATGATCACGTTCGCGTGCCGGGTCCCATATTCGCGGTGTTTGTTGTGTGTGGTCAGTGCTGTTCGAGTAGCACTCGTTGTGATTCAGTGGATCGATCCCAGTGGCTCCCATCTGTGTTACTGACCTTGGTCGGAGCGTTTATCATTATCTAGCCCCGCCTGAGTGGGGTTTTATGTTAAACATTCCAAGAAAGTTGATAATGAACTCGTGTTCGAAAATTATGCTAATCGCACCGATTTCCTCTGTCTGATATTGTTGTCTGTGTCGGTTGTTTGGCAAACACCTCTGGGCCATTTATTTGTGATTAATTCGTGGAGTTTTATCAATCGCTGGCGTAGTTTTTGACCATCGGGTTTTTCGTGACTCATTGGAGTGTGAGCAGCTCGGGCTTTTCGAGAATTGTTTGAAGGAGGTGCGTCGAACTTGATTCGCAGCTTAAGGGGTTATATACAGTTGTACCGCGCAAAAATATGGAATTTTATCGATTTTTTTTTGACCCCATAGAAAATATTTATGAAAAATGTTTTACCGACGTTGTTTAGTACATGTTTCTGGGTACTTAATTAAATTTTTTCATAAAAAAATATTACATAACAAAAATGTTATAGTCGAATTCCCGGATCGTCTTTTTTCGATGGTGTCTTGCGGTGGACATGATTTCTCGAAAACGGTTCATCCGAAATCCAAAATTCAAAAAAGTTTAGTTAGTATATTGTATTGTCTAGTCCGTGAACGAGGGATTTTTAAAAATTTTGATTAAAAAAAAAATGGCGACGTTTTTAACAAAAAATTTACTTTTTCAACGTATAAGATTTTCGTTTTTTGTGCTTTAAAAAAGGAGTTTTCAAAAAAATTGAAAATCCCTCGTTCACGGACTAGCTAATATCATAATAAATAAGTGGTCAAAATTTTGTGTTGATCGGATTAGTAGTTTTTTAGTAATCGTGTCCACCGCAAAGGTAATTTCCCAAAAAAAAGATTCTGAGATAATCGCGTTTAAAGTTTCAAGTTTGTTCAAGTTTTATATGCAGATAGTGCGCTAGAAATAGCTACAGCTTCGGTTCTAATGCTCCGATTGTTATGAATTTTTGTAAGAGTATTCCCAATAGAATATACTTAAAGAATATGCAATAAAAAAAAAATCGATTTTTTCATATGTCACAACTGTATATAACCCCTTAATTATACGACTAGTTTTCGGGTAGTTTGTTTGGGTTTTTTTTAGTTTATTAGTAAAACACTTGGATTTTTTCCTAGGAAACAATAGAAGATGTAGTCTTAATTTAAAACACGCTTGATTGAGTTTGAGAAGGACATTTAAAGAGAAAAAACAATAGTTGTCGGAATCCTAATTTAAAAAAAAAAAAAAAAAATAAAATCTTATTAAAACCCTTGTATTTAAAAATAGAGTATAATAAAGTAGTCTTTTTACTTCCCAAAAATTAATTCCAAAAAAACTTCAGTTGTTAGCTGAAATTTTGATATTGGTAAATCCCAGTTGCTGATGAACTGAACTTGAACTTGGACCTCGATGGTGACAGCTAATGCCACAGCTGGAGAGTGTGTAATCCGATGGGGTTACAGGTTCAGGGGCTCGTTATTGGAACTTGAAAGATTCAACAGATGTTTTGTCTATTTTTGGGTGGATGACACTTTTTTGCATATGTCTTAGGGATCGGGCATTACAACATAGTTTGTGTTAATTATGGCCAACTTGTTAATTGGTTGGCCAAATAGGTTTGAGTGGGAATCGTGTTTGCTCTACTTTGGAGGCTCCCTTTGACTAATAAGCCCTGTCTCTTTCCCCCAGTCTGCCTTTCTCTTTCTCTCTTTGTCAAACAAATTGTCGCAGTTCAAGTCCAAATGAGCTTGTCTTCGAAGTTCGAGCCCAAAAAGCATTTTTTTTTGCTACCAACTCAAGGTTGGGCTGTCGACTCCCTGACTTAGATTTGAATACATTGTATTTGTGTCAATTGCTCAACAAGTTGAGGTCTTCCACCCACACGCTCCATTGGGCTGAAAACAATTTGGCAATCATTTAAGCCATTTCTGATATAGATATTGGCTTGGAAGTTGAGATTAAGTTTTAGGGAAAATAAATAAAACCAATTAGATTAGGCTTTGTTTCTTTGAATTGAAAGTAGTTCGTTTTTGGCACTTAATTGGAGTTTTTGAAGAAGATTTTTAAGATTTTAGGAGAGAATCTTTAGATTAAAGATTTTTCAAATTTTAAAGAAATCAAACATGAAAAATTTTGGTACTTCAATACTTTCTTAAAAGGTAACTTTTATTTGATAATATATTCTTATTTAAATATGTATTTTAACTAATTAGTTGATATTGTTATTTAATGGTAACTTTAAGCTATCGACAATGAATAACGTTTTACTTTCTTAAAATTATAAAAAGATTATTAATATGAATTCTAGCTTGAGGCAGGTTTGTATAACTTTTCTCTAAGTGATCTTCTTGCCACTTAACTGCAATTGTGCCAAAACCAGGGATTTGCCCAAGCTGCAGCTTGGCTGGAAAACCCCAAGAAAACCGAAAATTGAGTTTTTCGGTCTCGCCCAGTTGGCCTATTCAATTCTTGACTCTTTGCCGGCTCCACTGCTGGCTTTGTGGCTTTAAGCGAAGCGTTGCTTTAGGCCTTGGGGAAACCCCAGTCGTAGATTTGCTTTTGGCTTACATAACAATGCATTTGTGAGCGCTGCAGTGAGCCGGGCTCGTGATTCATATTCCAGCCGATTCGATTGGATTTCAGTTGTTATATCGTATGTAGGTATACCTCCGTTTCGATTCGGTTATGCGTTTGGGGTTTGAATGAGTTTTTAGCTTTTGTTTTCATTTCGCTGTCCGTTTTGCGTTTTGCCAAATGGCTTGTAATAAAATCGATGGGTATGTTTAAGTTTATTGTTGTAATTATCATAGTTGGCCAAAACCGTCAAGGTCGTTCACCCACATTTTGTGATTAGCATTTGGGATGAGTGGCGAATCATTTGTAGGAGAGTGAGTCATGTCGCGAGCAGACATCTAAGCCCTTTGATTATTGCATAATAACCGAAATTATTTCACCCGCATCATGGCCTTTCACTGCTCTTGCCCTGGTCGGCTCATTTAACACGGCTTATTGTCTTCATCTCGGCCCAGACAAACTCACCTACAAGCTCCGACATTTGTAAATTAATTTGAATAGCGTTGCTTGCCCCACCGGAAAGTTATGCGCCACAAAGCTTCCGTTCTCCTCCGCCCCCAACGGGCGCTTTAAGTGAAAGCCTCTTCAACCAAAAAATCCGCTTTAAGTATCTATTACATAAAATATTTAATATGGTCGGCGGGCTGGTTTAGTTTTGTGATTGAATTCTGGGAATTCTTAACGATTCCTTCTTTTTTGTTTTGGGGCCGCCACTTATGCTAAGTGGCCTTTTGGCTTTTGATTTGTTCAGACAAGGAATTCATTCCTTACCGTCTCTATGACTGAGTTTAAGTTATTAAATTTTGTGGGGTTCTGGAGAGCACCCTGGGGCCAGAATGGGACGCCGAGATGACAGCATAACGATGCATTCAAACGGCGTTTGTGATAAACAAACAAACCGATTACCCAGCAGTCGGCCGCCCGGATCACCCACTGGGCCAATTGAGAGCCCCAATCAGGCCAGGACAGAGGACCAGCACAGAGGCGATGCAATGAACCCGACTGGATCGGGGGGTCTTCATTGTCCGTCGAAGATGGCCGCCTTTTGGGAGGCACTGCGGCTGTGTGGGGAGTGAGCCCAAAAGGCGGCTACAGAAAAGTAAACTACGCCGCCATGCCTCCATGCGGAATTGCATCATGGACGGTGGGCTGGCTGGAAGTGACAGGTATTGAATTCAGGGGGATTGGGCTTAAAGCCAAGACAATGCACTGCCCCGGTAATCGATAATGCTTCCTCTCACCTTGATACTTTAACCTTAATGCCAATAGTGTCTTGTGCAATACGTATACGTAGAACCCTAGTATCCATTATAGTTTAGTTTAGTGGAAGAAATGGGGGCATTTATCCTTCTCCTTACGACAGGTTCTGCGTCATATTGTAGCCTGCGGTTCATTAGCACAGCATAGGATCATCACTGGTTGCATAACCCCTTAAGTTACTCGACCACCTTTAACCTTTGGCCCTTCCATGAGGTTCAAGGTTTTCAATTTCATAAATTGCATTGTGTCATTTGAAACTCCCAGCTAGGCTGCTCGGCTCCATTATCTCAGCTCTGGGAACCGACCTCCGAAAATGGCTTCCAATTGTTGCCAGGCCCTGGATTCCTTTTCTTTCTAGTTGTTTGTCATACGATGAGAGACGAAGCCAGGATAATTTCACACGCCGGGTGAAAGTCCTCAATCAATCTATCTCTCGCATAGAGCTTCACACCTCTGACCTCTCCAGCCTCTCCATTCCGGGTGCATGGGCTTTCGGCTACTGACCTGGGGTCATTCCCATGGAATGTTCTGGCATTCGACCGAATCTTGGCGGCCTGGCCTGGGAAATAATGCCGAGACATTTGCGTATGGCACGTCAATCATTCGTGCACCACTGCACCCAAAAATAAATAATTCAAAGGACATAAGAGTCCTGGGGATACCCTTTTGAAATTATACTTTTCTTTTAGAGCTTCTAATGCTACAGTTTTTGAAGGCAGTTGTTGGCTAACAAGTATATCCATTCCTTTTTTTAATCTCTCTACAAACTATGTGCTAAGCCTAGTAGCCCCCAACTCAAACCTCCTTTACAGGGTAGCAGAACAACGTTTACTTCGTGCGTTTGTTTGCTCATCTGGTGACGTCAGTTGAATCATATTCTGCCACCCAGCACTCAATCAGCAGTGCAACGTTGCGCGAAATCTAATTGGCATTCGTCGCTTTTCAGTAGGATTGGTATTAATCCCAAAAAACGGCTGCCAACTGCCCCCTGTGATGGATAGATAATGTACTCACTCCCATTTGGGGGTTTTTGAATTTTGTTTTATTGTTTTTCTGTGCAAATCGAAAGGTTTCAGATCCAATGGTTTAATTTAATTCAGTGATTCGTGCGGAGGCTTATTTTCTGTAGAGGGTATTGGCTCCATTGTAAAGGGGATAGCTCCAGATAGGATACTGGAGATAGGTGGTCCTCACGGCAGGTGCCAAGAGAGGCGTAATCCTGGGGACACTTCGGTGCACAATAGTGGCGCTTTGGTGGGACACCGCAGTGGGTACATGATCCACCAGATGACCCACATTGGCCAGAGAAGCCTCTTGCTGCAGGCCTATCCATCCAGGCTGGTAAACACGCAGTTGACCTTGTCCCAGAGCCAGAAGGCAGAATAGGAAAACCAAAGGGATACTCTAGAAAGGAACCATAAGTGAAATAGTTGAAGTTCCTGACTTATAGTGTCTTACCAATTTCTGTGACATCTTCTTGGCTTGATTCTCTTCACTTTACTGTTGATAGTTGGCCTAAACATTGCCTGCTTTTATAGTCCAGTCTCCAGTCTAGAACTCAAGATTGGAGAATGGTTAGTCCATTCGAAATGGAAGGGCCCCAGCCCTTGAACATGAGAAGAGTCTTCTGGGCGTTAACCCAGACCTTGATTAGGCCTAATCCTCCAGAGATGCTGATTCGAAAGGAGGTGTCTTATTTATTGTATGCGTGGGCGGTTGGTATTTATTTTATTGATTTCCTGTCCCTTCCCAAAGACACCAAAGAATTGTAAGCCACAGTTGTGCAATTGCGAAATCTTTACTAAAAGCACTCTACAGAAGAAGAATTCTACAGAAAATGGCAGAAGAGACAGACAGAGAAGACAAAGAGTAGTGGGTTAACAGAGCAAGTCCAGAAAGAGTGTTAAAGAATGTTCCATTGATTTGGCGAGTTCATCTTGGCGATCTTTGGCTTTTATCCAGCGTTTTTCGATGGCCGTTTAGTTGCGGATGAGAACCACTCGGGGATCGGAGGAGCCGATTGTCCACAGAAGGGGCTGCTGGCGGATCACCTGGGTGGTGCGCACAGCCGGAGCCACAATAGGGGTTACCAGGCGGCGGTGGTCATGCACCACGGTCTGGCTCTGGTGGGAGACGGCGGTGGGCACGTGCTGCACCACCTCACCCACCTTGGCCACGGCGGGCTCTTGAATGGTCAGAACGGTGCGGAGTCCATTACGGGCGGCCACAATCAGGGGCAGGGGAACGGATACGGGAATGCTGGAGCTAATCAGACGAGCATCGATGGGCTCCGAGCTGCCGGCAGACGACTGGGAGAGCTGCTGCTGGTCTTCCTCCTCCTCCGACTCCTGAGAGGGCTCCTCCTGCGGACCAGATGGGACGACAGAGCCGGAACTGCCCTGGGCAAGCTCAATAGAATCCTCGCTGGCAATCGGCAGCAGCTGCGCCGACTTGGCCGAGCTGAGGGCCACCAGGTTGGAGGGCCACTCCAGGCTGGCTGCCTGCGAGGCGCCGGAGAAGACCAACACGATGGCCAGGACGGGCAGGAACTGTAGAGGATTCAAAGAATGGATTACTATGTTCCAATCTGTCCACCCAACTCACCACTTTCGACATGTCTAATGGCTTACTGATTCGTAGTGCAACGAATGAATGATGCTGGAGGAGAGTCAGCTGCCTGTTTTTATAGCCCCCAGCCCGGATCCCATTTCTCCGCCTCACTGGCCAAGGAAATGCACCGCTGAGTAAGCTAAACACCGAACCATAAACTTTTATTCAATGAGCGAATAATTTGAAATTTTATATGCTTGTAGTGGAAGCATCTCCCATTTCGATTAGAGCAGGTCCTTGGGTAGGTCTATGTCGCACTTGTGCTGGTCCTGCAGCCAGAACTTCTTCAGGTAAGTGATGGGATCCTGTGGCATCTCTCGGGCCAGACCCAGCATACCCTCCATTAGAATGGGGACCACCTCCTGCTCTAAATACTGACGCCGCTGGTCAGCAGTTTTGTAGTTAGTCGCCCTGGGGCAGTCCTTCTCCTTGGCTTCCTCCTTAGCCTTCTTTTTGGGCTTGTCAATGGGTGGGCATAGGATAGACCTAATAGCGGAGGGATCCTTCCTGGGCCTCTCCACACTATTCTTTTTCGCCTTTGGGCGCCCTTTTTCCTTAGCAGATGCTTTTTGAGACATTCAGATGGGATGACAGAAACGAATGGGTAGAATTTAACCCTTTGACAGTATTTTCTGTTGTAAGTCTATTCAAATTTGGGCCTCACCTACTAGATGCTAAGTATGCTATTAGTCGGATCCTAAAAACCTAATGTCCTATTGTTCAGCCTATACCACTATAGATGGGCCATCTATGAAGGTGACGAACGAATAAAAGAAATTAATATAGTATAATGAAACCCATTGTTCTAGCTTTAAAATTAAAAGAACTACTTTAGTTTTAATACAAGCTTTATTTTCCAAAAGAAATTTCCTAGAACATCTGGGCGGGCACACGCCTTGGAGCCACTAAATCGTGGCCGTAACCCAGTACTCTGGCAGCTCCCTGCCCGTCCGCGCCACTGACCGTTGGGCGCTTCTAAGCCGATTAGCATGTAGTACGTAACCCGATCAAGCGAGACATCTGCTGGCCCGGCAACCTAAGCCGCTTACCAGTCGCCGCCCCCGCCGATACCCCTGCAATCAAATAAAGAGCGCGGAGGGTGCGGAGGAGGCACGCGATTATGCAATTCCGTGGTTGAATCAATCGAATTCCGAGAACGTCCAGGTCGGCCGGACACTACGTTTGGGCAGGCGTCTAAAGAACTTGCTCAAGTCCCCGGAGAAGCCGCCAAAAAAGGCGTATTGCATCTGGTGTTCCAGCAGCCAGATGAAGTGCTCCGTGCGGTAGGCCAGGGACAGAAACTTGAAGGTCGTGGTCAACACGAGGGTGTAGACCAGAAGCTGATGGCGGGACAGCCCCAGGACCAGGGGACTCTGGTAGATCTGCAGCATGAACAGGCAGGAGAGTCCCAAGGCCAGCTTTGAGTTTCTGCGGGGGATAGGATGGTTTACACGATCTTTTGTGGACTATTGATACTTACGTGGTCAGCTTGATGTAGGCCTGGTGGCTGTGTTGGCATCGGTTGATCAGGATGCAGGCCACCGGCTTGAGCAGCTCCGCTCCACTGCCCATCACAGTGCCCACCACCAGCATCGGGATCGGGGCCTGGCCGTACAGCTTCCCCGCCATGTGGACGCCTCGTTCGATCAGCTGTACCTGGCTAATGGTGGCCATGGCCGTGGCCACGAGACGGAAGGACATGGTAGAGGCCACCTTGTGGCCCAGGTCGAAGGGAGAAAAAAAGATTATGTACCTGTGCTTGGGTAAGAAATAGTGAAATCTTGACTGGTCTCTGTGGGCTTTGGATCTCCCTTACCAGATCGCCGAGCTGAGCAGGACATCGGAAGCGTTACAGAGTGGCTCCAGAGGCAGGGTGCCCAGAAGCATGTTGCCTAGGATATCGCCCGCGTAGGTCAGCAGCAAGTTGGCCAGCCAGAGGGCAAAGGGTTGCCACTCCATTGGCCGTGACCCGGCTGCCTTCGTTCCTTTCAGTCCCCCATTCAACCGCTCTGCCGCCCCCACACCCATGCCCAGGTCCTCCCGAAGTTGCTGGGAGATAAGGGAATAGTGCAGGATGCGGAAGATCAGGTGATTGGGTAACTGCTTCAGGATCAGCCGGGCATTCATCACTCAGCTCAGCACACCTTTTTTCCAGTTGAACTTTTTCTAGAATACAATCCTTCAGTGGATTTTGATTTGGTTTTTGGGAGTCCTTGCTTTGGTTGACTCTTAATTTTGTCTTCTCAGTGAGTCGGATTTTTTTTAGTCAATTTTATTCTTATTAAAAGCTAATTAGGTAAAAAAAAAAACCAATAATTCTAAATAGAATTTGCGTACACGAAAATGTTGACAGGCAAAACTTAGGTGTCTACATTGGTGTGGGTGTTCGAATGTCTTTCTAGTTCAAAATTAAAAATATTATATGACAGGTATTTTCTGTAGATTAATTTAAAACTAACAAAAAAAGCATTATTGCCAACTCTTGAATATTTCATTTAAAAGTTAAAACAACTTTTCGTATAACCCTGACTATTTAAATTTATTAATAGCTATAATTTCTATAAACTGTTTTTCCAAAACACCTCTTAGCCTTTTTAGACCGGCGAGAGGTTGTGATTCGTGGCCAGACTACGAGGTCCTGGCAGCAGAGAGGCGAAGCTTATATTCCGCACTGGCTTAATCCGTGGCAGCATCTGGTGCACCACCGGAGGCGCGGCATAGGTGAGGTGGGCCGGTGTCTGCTTGGGGGCCTGGTGCTGCTCCTCCTCCTCGTACGTCTCAAAACGGAACCTCTCCAGTGGCTGCTCCTGCACCCTCTGGGGAACCACAATCCGCACCAACTGCTGGGGATTAGGCTGCTGTAGGATTAGCGGCTCTGAGGAGGTCGACAGCCGGATGAAGCTCTGGTGGGAGATGGCACTGCCGTGCAGGATGGTGGCGGCTCGACTGCCGGACAGCTGGATGCAGCTCCAGGTGATGAGGAGGCAGGCTACCTATTATATGGGGAAGCACTTGTTTCACCGATGATTGGCTTTGCGGCTTGGGGATTACGTACCGTGATGCGCATGATGGTCTCTTGAGTGGGCAACTAATTACCGTTAGACATGTGCCGCTGCCATTTATATGATAGCTGGCCAAGTGGCGACTCCTTGACCAAGAGGTCGCCTCCGTTTGGGCCAAGATTTATGGGCCATTTGCTGTGTGCAGCCAATTAATTAATCAAAAAGTACTTCGATCCGACAGCCTCTCATATGGTAGAGCCGCGTGCACTTAGAGCTTCCATTACGCGCCTCCGGCTAATCATCTAATCATATGGTCGGCCGACTGACTCAGTGTTGTCGGAAAAGGGGAAGCCGGAGTCGGGAGACCGGACATCGGCGAATGTGCGAAGCCACGACATCGGTTTTTCGATATTGACACGTCAAGCGATAAATTGAAATTAGCAGAGACTCGACATCTTAAATACCCTTTCTTTGGACTTTAACTTTTAAGGGAGTTGAGCTATAATTTAATAAATTAATATTTATATTATTAGACTTAAAGAATCTGTATGATAGGTAAGATTACCAATCTGTAAGACTACCAAAGAATCTATTCCTTTAGTCTCCTCGGAAATTTTCAAATAAATAAAAATTATTTATTTAGAAGAGTATAGCATAATAACTACTCAAGATAACAATCCACCGCACCACCGGGGCTGTGGTGGTGCGACGGAGGTGCGAAGTGGAGTGGATCAACCTTCAGCGAGTTGCGCAGACGCAGTCGCCGACGCCGTCTCCGTCGCATGTTGTACTATAACTTTTGTAGCTGCGGTTGTTGTTTCTATATCCCCTTCTGTAGCGGTTACTATTGCTTTTGGCTGTGCTATTACCACAATATTTGCGGCGTTCGGTATTTATATATTTATATTTGATTTTTTTCGGTTTATTTCTTTACGTAAAGCTGCGTCAAGCGTCCAAGTTGAGACACTCCTACAATTGCAAGATAACCGCGACTGCGCGCGTGTTTCCACCGCTTCGATCGCAGATCGGTGGTAATATATTTCTTTTATTTTTCCACTTATCCAGGGGCTGTGCGAGTGGGGGCGTATCGATGGCTCTGCCCCCCGGGCCTGTGGCCACATCCGCCCCTGGTTGGGCCAGCCACTGCTCCGCCGTGATTTCATGGCACAGCAATTCACACAGCACTTCAGTTTGACTTTGCCACTCGCTCCGCTTTGTGTTGGTTTCTCAGAAGGGGGAACTTGATCCAGCTCACTTTATTATTTTTTTTTGGATATTATCCGCCCACCTCTGAAGTCTCTTGGCGGAGTTCTTGTTGATTTGTCGCGGTAATTACCCCATTAGGCCTGCATCGTTATCGTAAAATGCCACGACATCTGGTGAGTGGGTGGATCCTTGGGGGAGTCTTTCCAATAGGTAATATGCTAAATACTGACTCGAACCTTGGGATTTCAGATACTGCTGGCCATCGTTTCCCTGGCTCTGGTTATGGCCAAGCCGGCAACGGAGGCGCCACGTCTCCTTATCGACTCGGCGCCCTCCGTGGTCTCCTACCAGGGCTCCTCCCAGAGGCAGACGCGCTTCGTCATCGCCCCCATGGGTCGGTCTCTCGGCTACGTGGAACCTACGAACCTGAATCGAACCTTTCACACCACGGCCACGCAGGAAGGCGGTGGCACGGGCTACGAGCAACTTAACCTGAGTCCGGTTTACGTTCCCAACAGTTGAGCAATGAGAGTACTTAGTATTAGCTAGTTAATTCTGTAAATAAAGGCTACATGTATAACAGTATCAATGCTTTTTACATATTTTGAACATGCTCATAAGGTCAACATGGATCTGGACTTACATCAACCCGCCGTTATTAGTGTCTGGAGTTTCTATTCCAGTTCAGAAACCTGTTGAAGAAACAAGGAATGCTGAGCGTAGATTTGGACTATGGTTCGCATCCTGTTGGCCAGAAGGTTGTCGGATAACGTAGTTCCTAGCGAACCCTATTTCTTGGGTCCATTTGGGCTTATTGGACTTTAAACGAATGCCAACTTCCAATAGCCATAACTAAATAATTACTGGCCAGATAGGCAAATGTTATACCTTGCCAGGCTTATATCTTCGAGTACTTTCTTTCTCAGTTAAAATCTAGGAATCTAAAATCGGACCCTATTTTCGAAATTTTTTAAAGGGGTAACATCAGGATTTTGGACAAAAAACTGGTAAAATTTAGATTGATTGATTTTTTCGATCTTTTGATGCATATCGACGAAGAATAGAGCGCTGATTAATAAATGTTATGTTACTATAAATGTTCTGTTACTCGATAGGTTTTTAATAAGTTAAAATAATCCCCAAAAAATGTATTAAAATTTCAGATTTTGACAAAATTAAAAACATTTACATCCGTTTTTCAAGTATCCAATTTTTAAAAATTAAAGTATTATCTATTATGTTTTCTAAAATAGTTAACATTTTCGCTAAAAAGGGTAGAGTGTTGGCTAAAATGTGGCCACAGACCTATCGATTAGTTGGAGAAAATATGAGTTCAGGAATTATAAAGTTTTGGAAAAGTTGGCCATGACTCAATAACTCAAAGATTTGGGAGGCTTGTCAAGATTTGTTTTCAATCAACAAACACATTACAGAAAATACACAGGCGAAAAACGAAAAGGAATAGTTATAAATATCATCATGTCTCGCGCACTCTTGAGTATCAATGGCAGGATTCCCGGCGTCCACATGATGCGGCGATCGCTGATGTCCTCGGAGGTCGCTGAGGACCAGGAATCCCTCGAGTTATTGGAGCAATGCAACCAAACGTGGCGCACCCAGTACGATAAACCCTCGATAGCTATTCTAGGGATCGGAATCGAGTTTGCTCCACGGAAGGGGCGCCTTCTGAGCTCCTCACTGACCTCACAGGACGACGACACGGAGAACCAAGTCATCGGTAATTCCTCTCTGACCCGAACCGTAGAGCCCACCTTGCCGCCGGCCTTTTATGACTACCTGATCGCGTCGGACGAGTCCGAGGACGAGAACCTCGCCCAGTTCTTGGCCTGAATTGTGGCTTAATTAGTCTTTAAATAGCCTCCCCAAAATTCTCAGTTTCCGTTTGACCTGATCTCATTTCCAGCACCGTACTTGACCCTTCGCTGCCGTATCTGATGTCTTTCGTTTGCAAGGGCATTTCGATGTGGATACTAATATGGATTGGAATCGGACTGGACCCACGAGGGCCTCTTGACGGGTCTTTTATAGGATATCATTTAACTCACATACATATGTACCTGGAATAAAACTGCATTTCATTTGTTTTTGCTGAAACGAATCGGAAGACCTTCGCTGGGGCGTTTTAAACACAAAATGTGAACAAACTAAAAATATCTGTCATCCGGCAAACAATAAGGGATTTCGTATCGATCTCTATGCCATTGTCGGGGCTTTTAAAACCTTTTCGGGCCTAACGATAATCAATTGTTGGCTAATTTCTGACGAGGCTCTATCGCAGATGTTTAGTTTGTAGGTTTTTGTAGGTTTGGGTTCAAGTTCAATGCTAGAGAAACGGGTTTGTGCCAATTGCTCGTTAGTTGCTAAAGTTTCTCTGAAGGACAATCTGGCCGGCGAATTTTTGGCTATTTAAAGCCGCAGTGGCGTTTCCAAATCAGCAACAGTCACTCGTCGACTTCAAAGCACCACACACCCACCCAAAGCAATCTTACAAGATGTTCCGCTTCGTAAGTTTTTCAGAAACGGATGTCCTAGGAGGATAATTGTATTTCAAACATTCGCAGATCGCCATCTGCGCCCTGGCCACCCTTGCCGCTGCCGCTCCAGGATTCATTGAGGAGCACCATGTAGCCGTGGCTCCGGTCATCACCAAAGTGGCTACTCCAGTGGCCACCTCCCACCAGAGCTTCACCCAGTTCCACAACCAGGCTGTGATCACTCCTGTGGTGAAGCATGTGGTGCCTGCTGTTCCCGTCATCAAGACTGTGGCTCCAGTGGTTCCAGTGGTGAAGCATGTGGCTCCTGTGGTTCCCGTCATCAAGACTATTGCTCCAGTTGCTCCTGTGGTCGACCACGTCGCCCCCGTGGTCCCTGTTATTAAGACCATTGCCCCAGTGGCTCCCGTCGTCCACCATGTGGCTCCCGTGGTTCCTGTCGTCAAGCATGTGGCTCCCGTCCACCATGTGGCTGCCGTGCCTATCGTGAAGGCTCTGCCCCACGCCGTCTCCCACCAGAGCCACACCCAGATCCACCAGAAGGCCTTCATCGCCCCAGTGGTTGCCTCCGTCCCGGTGGTGAAGACCATCGCCGCTGCCCCCCTCGCCCATGTCTACCATCATTAGGAAATTGTTGAAGCCACTACGGAATTGTTATGATTGCTTTAATGAATAAATCGAATTGTTGATATTAGAAATTGTGAAACATTTGCATATTCAAAGGTACGGGTTTGATAGAAAAGAAATGATCGATTTGCCCAATCCCATTAGCATCCAAATAATCAATTCGAATGACTTTTATTCGGTGTTCGTTCATTAGTATTCATCGTCGATCGAATCGGTAGCCGAATGCAGATTTGCAAAATAAAAGAAATGATAACAAAAAGGCAAATTAGCCCAGGGCTAAGATCAATAAAAGTTAGGGTTGAGATATTTGCATATTTTTGGCACCCATAGGGTCACATTTTTATAGACTATCAGAAGGTTTTATACTTTTAATCAAATTAATAAAAATTGTTTGGGAATTTATTGTATTTGTAAAATGACTGTTCAATTTATAGTTTAATTAAGAACTACTTTAAAATTAGTCCAACAGAATTTATTTGCAAAAACAATGAGTTGGAAATCAAGAAGAGTTCTGGGTCATTTAACTCTGAGGTATATAGGTATATTCTCCTGTTGACTTTTCTTTGGATATTTATCGATGAAATTTAAATTTAATTAAAAAATCGTATAATTTTCTGATCATCCGATATTGATTTTCTATAAAGTGTATATTAATCTAAATACTTCAAGATCCCTATGGTTTATACGTTAAAGAATAAAATATGCCTTTAAGAATCGGTAAACTTTAATATCAATAAAGTCACTTATCATGTAAGGAGGCTCAACTACAGACTTTGTGATATTTTAATAAACCATAAAATGCACAAGATTAGTTAACGTTTATCTTTAATGAGTGATTTTTTAGACTTTTAACCAATATTCAAATTATCAACATGCTTTCAATCGATTCACTTGTGGTAGGCGGAGTAGACCACGGGGGCGCTGACCACATGGGCGGCGGGGATCACAGTCTTGACGAGGGGAGCGGCTGGCAGGACGAGAGGAGCAGGGGCAGCCACCACAGTCTTGATCAGGGGAGCAGCGGGCACCACAAGGGGAGCTGGGGCAGCCACCACAGTCTTGACCAGAGGAGCAGCGGGGATGACGGTCTTGACCAGAGGAGCGGCGGGAATCACGGAATGAACCACGGGGGCGGAGTAGGCCAGGGGAACCTTGCGGACCAGGTTGACGTTGCTCTGGTGGGTGATGGCCGAGGAGGCGCTGGTATCCACGTAGGCGGTCTTGGTCAGAATGGCGGGCTGGACGATGGAGTGGGTCTCGGCAATTAGACCAGGAGCAGCGGCGGCCACGGCCAGGCAGGCGAAGAAGGCAACCTGCGGATAGAGAAAGGATACTCCATGAAAGGACACTCGGTCGGTAAAGTCCCTCCGTGGCTTGCACTTACGAATTTGAACATTTTTGGAGTTGGGTTTTGGGATTTGCTGTGATTGGTGAATCGATTGCAACTGTTGATGATGAGAGGGCCAAGTGCGGGCTTTTATAGCCAAAGTCTAGTTGGCTTCAAACTCCAATTGTTTGTCGCAAAGTACTTGGCTGAACTTGAGCCCCCAACCGGTTTGGGGTTTAGGCTATTATTCGGGTTTCCAGCTCAGCTTCTGGGCTTTGGCTTCTAAGCGGCAGCGCCACTCAAAGACGCAGTTAACGAACTGACCTAGGTTCCCCTGGCTTTTGTGTGGGAGCAGCGGAGGAAGTGCCTCGTCGGGGAGTTAACAAGCCGAGCCAATCAATCGACAATGGGCCAAGTAATTGGCCTTAGCTGCGGTCGCTTACGCAAATGCGATTTTAGAAAACCGAGCTCTGGAGTGCAATTTGCGTGGGTTATCCTTGCATTTTTCCCGAGGACATTCTATCCGTTTCCCCCTTAACCTTTCACTATCTCTGGATCCTTCTGGCGGGCGTAATTGAGTTGCACTCACATCCTGCGGCTAGCCATGTTTCTCTGTGTAATGGCAAATGCATCTTCCTTTTCTTGAATAAGTTATATGATCTGAGAGGGCTTTAACCACATAACTTGTGATTGGCTTACGTCGCTAATGGGCTGCCATATATCTCATAGATGTCATTCTCTTAGAGGATTCAATAGGGAATTCTCACAGAGGCAAAGAGGTAATTAAAGGTTACATCAAGTGTCTGATAAAATCGTGGCAGAATATGTGTTCATTCTGACTCGGAAAAAAGGCCAAGGTCTTGGCACAAAGTCGTGATATTAATGAGGTTCTTTAAAGTTAGAAAGAAGTTAATCTGCATGTATATTTAACTATAATAATAACTTATTATAATTATTCAACAAATTTAGTTAAGATTCGAATATAAGGACAAAGAACTTTAAAATCAAGATGTATAGAAGCTTCCCCAATCATTATTTGTATTTCCCCGAACTTGACCCAATTGGGAACTCCTGCAACACCCGGCAATTGATATTTTGTTGCCCTTCATTAAACTGGCCACAAACAAAAGCGCAATAAATTATATGCGTATGCCTGCATTCAAATTGGAGCCGAGAGTCCGACGATTGCAACATCGACGGCTTCTCAAGTGATTCATGGCCAGGCCATAAAGCATAAAGCCTTAGCCGGCTACCAACTGCAGCAGCTGTTAAGTGGGCACTTCGAGTGACAGATAAAGACCTGGTCCCAGATTCCGACCCCGAATCCGTGTCCAAGCCTCAGTCCCTATGTCAAGGTTACCAGACGGACAAGCCCCACGCGCACTTAACCCACAATTTCAAGCTGGATTGTTGTTATTTTTTCGGGGCTCGACTGTGGATCGAGCGACAGTTACACGTACTTAAGATAAGTATCTGGCAACTGGCATCTCGCAGTCGTAATGTGGAAAATGAATACCCAGAAAAATATAAACACACAAGGTACCACTCCCCTTGTAGGTCCTAATTTGAGCATCTTGTGATTTTACGAGGTGATTAAATGGAACTTCGAAATTTCAAGAAGAACCCAGAAGGATTGCCAAAACAATGTTTTCGATCCATTTGACCAGGTCAATAGCTTCAGCAACGGTTTGCTAAGTAGGCCCGTTGTTAGACCTTCGGGAAATCGAGCGTATCATTTGTCATTTTGCCAATTCGATCGACAAATTGGCTATAAAAACTAAACGTAGGCCTCGATGGGCTATGAGTTCTTACTGGAGTTTCGCGGAGGCAAATTCAAAGTAAAACTAGATCCAATTTACCCCCAGAATCAACATGAATCGAATGGTGAGTTTGCTTGCTGGATACTCTGTTACTTAATAGATTAATAAACTTTTTTCCTCCCCAGCTGCTCTACACCTTGGTCATATTGGCCCTCGCTTTGGTTCAGGCCTGTCAGATCCATCATAATCTGACGTTTCCTGCTGTTAGCCAAGTTTCTAGCTGTTCTGCTGAAAGCCTTGGCCACCTCAGATATTCAAATCAGAGTTTGACGAGGGATCTGCCCACCACATCTACCTCTCCGATGTCTCTCCGTCTGGAATATTTCAATTGTGGGAAACCTTTCGGGGCTCTGGGGCTGTAGCCGCGCTCTTTTGTTGATTTTGTTATTGTTTAAATAAATTGTTATAAGTTATTTATCAATTGAAAAGTTTTATGACTTGCGGGGAAGAGGGTGTGACTTTAATTTATAGACCCAAAGCTATTACATCTAAAACCCATTAAGAAGCTAGGTGTAACTTTGCAGATTTAAAAAACATCTTTGTAGATATATAAATATATATGTTTGGTTTATTCACTTCCAGAATTTAATGAATTATTTAATAGTTAGAAAATTACTCAAAACTTATTAAAAGTCTGGGAAAAGGGTTAGGATTAAATTAATTACAAATTAAATATATAATAATGGTATTATGTGTCGCAGTACAAAAGATTCTACTTTAGAAACTATTAAATAGGTTCATAGGAAAGAAGGATTTTATGAAAAAAGTGTACAGTCTAAAGAAGTAAAGACTGTTTCATACTTTTTAAATAATACTGTAACTAACTAGTAAAAAAAAATAAACAGAAATGTTTTATGGTTCAATAATACTTTTATGGATTTTATTAATCAATTTTTTAAGGTCAACAATTTAACAAAAAGAGTACTTTAATGGTGGAGGGTGTAGGCCAGAGGAGCTGGGTGCAGGACGGACTTGATGAGAGGGGCCGAGTGCACCACCGGCACGGAGTGGACAACGGGAGCGGCATGCACCACTGGCACGGAGTGGACAACGGGGGCAGCATGCACCAAAGGCACGGAGTGAACCACAGGAGCTGCGTGGATGGTGGTCTTCAGGACAGGAGCCACCACGGGCTGGACGACGGCCTTGCTGTGCACTTGGGTGATGCTCTGGTGGGACACGGCAGACGGGGCAGAGTGCACCACAGCTCCCACCTTGGCTAGGACGGGCTCATGGACCACATGGTGGGTCTCGATCAGACCAGCGCTGGTGGTGGCGACCAGGAGGGCAATGACGGCGATCTGTTGCAAAAAGGATAATTTAGATATGATCCACAGAACTATCCTCTGATTACTCACGAATTTGAACATTTTGAAGATTGTTTTTTGTTTGCTTGGCTTGTTGGCTCGAGAAGATCCAAAGGTTGACTGATGATGTCTGGGAATCGCCGATGGAGCTTATATAGAACCCTCGAAACGCAGCTTCCATTCCAGCTGCTGACCTTCATTGCGCCCCCGCTTGACCCGGCGTGGTCGATTATTGTTGGAGAGCCGAAAACTCTGTGAACTTGGCTCGCTGTGGTTTTGGTTGCTGCAGCTGCTGAGAGTTTGGAAACTTAAAGCTCAAAGCCCCGAAGCACGAAGTCTAAAGTTTCTGGGGTCTTATCAAGAGCCTCAAGGTGGACAACTTCAAAACGGCCGAAGTTGGCCGTCGTTTGAGCCCTTAGCCTGGCTTGGTCGCTTGCTATAAAAGCCTGATCTTCGGAAGCAGTCAGCATCAGTCATCTTTCTGAGTATCTTCCAAAAACAACCAACCAACATGTTCAAATACGTGAGTTACGATGCATCCTGTGGCTAAAAAGGGTTACTAATCTTTTTATTTCTTCCCTCAGGTTGCTGTCATTGCCCTTCTGGTCGCCTCCGCCAGTGCTGGTCTGATCGAGACCCACCATGTAGTCCATGAGCCCGTCCTGGCCAAGGTGGGAACTGTGGTGCACTCTGCCCCGTCTGCCGTGTCCCACCAGAGCATCACCCAGGTGCACAGCAAGGCCATTGTCCAGCCCGTGGTAGCTCCTGTCCTGAAGACCACTATCCACTCCGCTCCTGCCGTCGCCGTCCACGCCGCTCCCGTGGTTCACTCCGTGCCTGTGGTTCATGCCGCCCCCGTTGTCCACTCCGTGCCAGTGGTGCATGCCGCCCCCGTTGTCCACTCCGTGCCTGTGGTGCACTCGGCTCCTCTCATCAAGTCCGTCCTGCACCCAGCTCCTCTGGCCTACACCCTGCACCATTAAGGGCTTTTTGTGATACAGTATTTACCATTTTTTGTTTGAATAAATGTTTTTCGTTTCGCCATAACAAGTTTAAAAGTTGGTCTTTTCATTATGAGTAAATAATCTATAAATAATCTTAGAAAAATTATTAGCTTCTATTAAATTATTACCATATTAGAGCGTTGGTGTCAGTTCAAGTTCTAAACTATTGGATCTTAATATTTCTACAGCTAAAGTTCTAAATGCATAAGGTAATTCAAATATTTACCTTTTCTAAATATTCATTATTTTCCCAATAAATAAGGGAATTGTTTTAAATTTAGTTTTAACGACTTGTACAAGTCTCTGTCTCTGGCCAAAAAGCTCTTTCGTAAAGCATACTTTCAGGCACCTTTCCTAAAATATTCCCATTTTGAAAATAAACAATTTCTCTCTCTCTATAACAAGTATGGTAGGTATTTTATTGCTTGGAATGTATTTTAGTGTCTAAACTTTTTTTTGTAATTTTTTTCTCATTGCTGGATTTGCTTGCTTCATAAACAGGGCACAGGATACGACGTGGCTGAAGGTAACCCGCAGGAAGATACTGAAGTTGAACAGGAGCGGATGTGGCTGGCGTGTGGGTGAGATGTGGCGGTGGCAGGATTCTGGTCGAGGGGATTAACCGATCACAACGGGTCCCAGGCCGTGAATGCTCTTGACCAGGAGGGGCGAAGGATGCACCTGGGTGATGGCGGCGTGGGAAATGGCGCTGGGCACAACACTGACCACATGGGGAGAGGCGACGACGGTGGGTCCCCAGATTCCGGGTGCCACCAGACCGGGCGCCACCAGGCCGGGAGCAATCAGTCCAGGGGCCGGGGCGGGCACTGGAGCCGGGGCGGGGGCAGCAGCGGCCAGGCTGAGGAGAGCTACGAAAACGCACTGAAAAAGCACCTCCTTTTAATCCTTTCTGATCCTTTTTTGCTTTTCAGAGTCAGCCCATTACTTACCAGCTTGAACATTTTGATTTGTCGATGGTTTGCAACGATTTGATACAGAACTGCACTCCCGACTGGCCTATTTATACAAAAGACTAGGAACTGCAGCTAGTGTTCTCTAAATGGGTCGCCTTTGAAAGCGGCACGCCTCTGCACTCTGCACTTATTTGCACTCATTTGGCCTGGCAACAAACACACTCGTCCCCCAAGCGTTCTGGCCAAGTTAAGTCGCATAGAACCGAATGCAAACCCTTCCGGGGCCAGTTATCGTCTTACAGACAAGTGCACTTGAAGAAATACTGTTCAATATATCTCTTTTACATTTTTTGATAATTTTTATTAAAGAAACAAATTTTATTACTTTATTTATGTACAAATTTTAAGACAAAGTATGACAATCAGAACATCAATAGATTTTCCCAATTTTTCTCAGTTCACCTTCACAGGTTCTCCCTCACTTGACTGGCCACTTGAGAGCGATCTGATTCTATTCGATTTTGCCGCCTTATGATTTATGCAACGCGAGACATGTTCCAAGTTAATACCCCGACCCGACACCTGCCTCGACCCCTTCCTGCAGCTCGTGCTACGTGGCGTATACTTGACACTGTTGCATGCGTCGCACAATTAAGCAAACAAATAAATAGAATCATGTCGGTATCTGAGGGGGAAAATATGTAATGCGAGAACCAACAAAAGAATCAGCTTTAGCCCGAGCGACTTAATCTGGCTTAGAGGGAAATGGAGGAGGTCTGCTCTGTGCACTTTTGGCTTGCATAAATTACTTCCCAAGTGGCCGAGCTGGCGAAACGTTGATTAATGTGACTTGCCAATAACGTCAGTCGGTAGTTGGTCAGCTAACAAGCCTCGGGGCTCGGCCAATCGACACGGCAATTGTCGTCTTGCGATTTTGTCTTGTGCAATAATGCGACACTTGCACATCAGACACATTTTGCGATCGATTTGCCACAAAGCAATCAGGAAGCACTTGAAATCAAACCAATAATATCTAATTAATAGGAAAATAATAACAATAATATAATAAAAAGTTCTAGCTAGGTTCAGGGTTCATAAAACCACACACCATGTTAGAGAAGTAAAAGGTGATTCAAGTCTCCTCAAAACTTAAATAAAATATTAATAATATGAACTAATTCTGCCCAATGTTAAATGAAATAATCGTGAGTATATTGTATTTGTTTTCCTAACTTTGTTTACAATTATTAAGCTACCGAATCACGTGTATTCCAAATAATAATAGCAAAAACCCGAGTTACCTTGTCGTATCTATTTGCCTATTCTTTTATTTTGTTTGCCTCGTTTGCCGGTCAGCGAACCACACCGAAAACTTGGCTTAAACCATAACCGATTTGCGGCTAATTTGGTCGATGAAAGACAGGCCAAAACAAAAAGCAAAAAGCTCTGGGTTTTCAGGGTTAATGCCGCCCGGTACTTGTTGACTGATATTGATTTGGTTTTTGATTTGATTTTAATGCATCCAACAAGGAAGTCGAAGAGACCCCCTCTATCTACGCTCCTGGACCTGGCCCAACCCATCAAATTCTGTATTCATTGCAAATTGGCAATATCTAATTGATGTTTATGTCACATTAAGTGTTTGAGTGTCCCATTTGACTGACTTTATGGCAATGTCGGCCGATTAAGCTAATCCGAATATGAACAAGTCGTGTGGGCAGATATATGGAAACTCGAGCAATTTGCATTGGCTTATGCAAAAGGCAGTGTCAATTGCAAAGCTAAATAGTCTTGAACTTGAAATAGACCGAGTCTGAGCCCTTCTGGCCGCATTTCAGATTCTCACACACAGCTCACAAAGGGAAATGGCTTGCAACAGTACTGGCGAATGCTATTTATCACTTGTCTTGGCCAATACCAGAGACTCATCCTGGCCCCCTCTTTGGCCATTCATCATCTGCTTATGCACTGATTTGCATAACACAGAAACTGCATTTGTTGCCACATGTAGGTGCAACGTGTGTGTGTATCTGTGCAGTCACCATGGGAAATGTGCCACCAAAGCCGATGTCTGACCCCCTCCGGCCCGAATGTATCGAATGGTTTTTTCGGTTAATTGTGATTACATGCTAATTATGTCACCTCGTAATGGGGAAAACGGGCGCATCGGCTGGCAACCGCAGACCTCATTTGACGTCATTATCCGGAGTATCCATTACCCACATCCAAACGAATCCGGCCAGTAAGATACTCATAGATATTTAGATATTATATCTTTTATGTACAGATAGGGAAATACTCATTTCAAGCAGCTTTCGGCGGAACTTCATGCTTCTTTCGACTCTCAACATCAACAGTCGACACACACATACATACACAGCATACATAGGCCATCGTTATCGTCATCGGTTATCGGTGATCAGTTATCGCAAAAATCGATCGTCAGTCATACTTTCCGGGGGCGAATTAATGCAGGTGGTAGTCATGGAAGTCGTGGTGATGGTGCAGGTGGAAGGGATCGTAGGGATGGTAGGCCTTGATGATGGGCGCCGGGTGGTAGGCCTTGATGATGGGAGGGTGCACCACCGTCTTTACCACCGTGGGCAGCACCACCGGCTTGATAATGTGGTGCGGCACACTGTGCACCACCGTTGAGCTTTGGTGGGAGACGGCGGCCGGCAGATGAACGATTTTGGCCACATGCAGTGGCTCGATATGGTGGTGGTGCGGGTACAGGGGGTACTCCGGATAGTGATGGTGGTGGCCGTGCAGGAAGCCAGGACGAGCCGAGGCCAAGACGCACACGGAGAGCAGAGCCAGTATCTGAAGGATAGGAACCTTGTATAGATCATGATGTCCTTGGAGTCTTGGGATCTTTCTTACCAGCTTCATCATCTTGTGGATGGGTGGGTGGTTGTTCGATTTAGTCCTTGTACCGGGTCTCGGTGGCTCACTGCCTGCAACTGATGCCACTCGACGGCTTGGAGGTGGCTTTTATTCACTTGCCACCTCAAACAACAGCTGCCGCCAAGATGCAGATGCTCTGGTTGCCGCAAGTCTGAAGCCCGGTTGCCATATCCGCCGCCGACGCCGAAGCTGAAGCTGAGAGGCTTCAATGTTGTGGAACTTTGCATCCGTAGTCTGCTGCAGACGGCAGCAGTTGCCGTTGTAATTGCAGCTCGTTTCCATTTCAATTGTTGCTGCTTCGGCTGCTGTTGTTTTTTGCGCCAGTCTGCTTTTTTCGCACAGAGTTTTGTCAAACGCCGCATTGTTTACCCGCAGCAGCATCCATCGCTTCGACTCCGAGACGATCCATCCATCGACCCCTTCCAATCCGAAGCGCTGAACTCTGCCACGGTTGGGTTCAATGAGGTGCCAGCAAGGTGGCTAAAGTGGCCAAAGGGATGCTCTAACTTGGCTATCAGAGAGGCTCCATAGAATATTCTAAAAACCTACTACGTACTTTAAAAAAAACTCCTAAGCTACGTAGAAAGGTCACTCTTTCCTGTGACTTACTGAGTTTTGGTCCCACTTAACCTTCTTTCAGAGAGACTATTACTTAACCTTCGACTTTTAAAGAGCAGGGATAGAAGCCGGTAATATAAACTCATATATATCATATATGTCTCATACTTGTTACCAAATTGTTACTTACTTTGATATACCCTTTTTTACCGATAGAGCATATGGTTATGTGTTCATTCAGAACGTTGATCTTAAGGTTGAAGCATTTTTTCGTATCTTGTAGCAACTTTAAATAATATCCCAGCGATTGTCGCCGCGATGTTGCTGTTCTCAATGTTTGTTTGTCTGAACCAGCAATTGGCAGTGGTAATTGTTGCTGCTGATGTTGCTGCTGCAACTTGCATGCAATTTGCGCTTGCGATGTCTCTGCTCGTACCGTTAGAGCCTGAGCAGCTGCCACTATTTTTTTGTTTTAGCCAATATATTTATACAATTGTGTGTAACTGTGCTTGTGTTTGGCTAAGAGCATAATTTATGCCAGTGTTACATTTGCCCGCTGCGACCTTGACAACTCGCAGCTCGGCTTGCAAATTGCTGTTGGCTTCAAAGCATCGCAGCGTTTGCTTTTTTTTCGGCGTCTCGTTTCTTGGTCAGCGGAAATTCACACTTGCCAATTTAATTGTTGCAGCTATTTTTTAGTCGTGGAAATTAGTTGCACATACCTTTATGTCTGTGTTATCTGTGGCTCTGAGACTGTGCCAGAACACACGGAAAAAAAGATAACCGGATAGTCTGGGAAATTGCTACACTCTTGGGTGGGAAAAGCAAGTCGGCTTACCAGGTTTCTTAATCTTTTGTAACTCTAATATTTATCAGTAAAAGTATATATTAATATATGATCTTTAAACTGCCTCAATTTATGTATTTCTTACTCAAACTATAATCTTGCCTAGTGTTATTTTTTTCCATGAATTGCATGTGAGATCTAGAAGCTATCTTCATCGGCTTTACTGGTGTCTGGTTCTCCAACTTCGATTGTGATATTTAAGGCTTCCACTTGCTCCCTGTCATCTGCTGTCGGCGGAAAAGTTCACGAACGGCAGCAGACCCAGCTCGATGGCAAACTAGAACACTTGACTCTCGAGCACGAGCTCATTAGAACGTCGTTTGGTATTTTGACAGTCAGCACTCGCCCGAAATGTCAGCCTAGTCCGTGCCACGGATTCGCCAAATTAATCATGATTTGCATTTAGTTGGCCAAATATTTACACAACAATTTGCAGCGGTCCGTGGTCAGCACTCCCCGAAAAAAGAAGGATTGTGGCCCAAAATGTATTCAATTGCTCGGCTTATCGCTACCAGGAAGTACTGCATCGAAAGGCGAAACTTGTTGCAGCCAGTGTTGCAACTTGCAATGGCCCACGCTCCACCCGAAATTTTTTATTGGATTCAGTTCAGTGGGTTAGTGGGGGCAACAGTGGCCGCCGGCAGTCCGCAATCTCCGCCTCGGCATCTCGAGTTATTTTTTCAATGTTAGTGCAATTAAATTGTGAGCTAACATTGTGGGCATCCGCTGACGCAGCACTTCCAATTCTAGCCGAGAATGCGCCGCTCGATTGATGGACACATCTGACCTTACAAGTGGCCAATGGCCAATTGGAGGCACTCTCGGCCACCTGTTGTGAGGCTCAGATTGAGTATACGCCAGAGTGGCCAAGTGGCAGGGTGGCTGGGTGGCAAGGCGGTATAGTGGCAGCTCCAGCGGCGAGTTAGTCGAACGTAATTACTCGGGGGGCCAAGCAAATGAATTTTATATGCAAGCACCTTTTACGACTGGGGCCGATCTACTTACTGGCCGCAGCTGCAGCACATTTCTCACCGGTTGCCATTTGCGTAATGCTCCTTTTCGGCCAGAGAATTGGCCAGAAACTATCGGCCCGACATTTGAGTGAACTGTGCCAGCAGGACGGGACAGGTCGGCTCCATTTGGCCGGGAGTAGTATTGGTGTGGCAACTACAAGACACCAACCAGACAGATCAAGACTCGCCCCACAAAAACAGTCCGAAATATATTGAATTTCATGTAGCATAATGGTCAACTAATTTTAAGACTTTTGAGATGGAGTGTAGGCTGTCCAGGAATGCTTTTGTACTTCAGAGTGATGGAAAGACTAATAGGTTTAGTTAAATGTATGATGTAATATGATTTTAAAAGATCTCTTACCTAACAGTGTAACCCAGCATAATACATTTTAAAATAAAATTAACTATCCATGTTCTAGAGTCTAGACTCTAGACTAATGATATTTCTTTTGTCGGCTTCTTGGCACTTATTTTTCCAATTGAACTACCACCATTATTTTTTCATTTCTATAATTATTTCATTACCTTTAAAACATTAAAATATTACTATATTCTTCCGCCTATTCTATGGCGACCTTCGAGGCAATTGGTTATAGAAAAATGACGTCAATGGCCAACAGAAATAGGAAATAAGCCCAGAAGTCAAAAGCCATTATGCGGAGAACCGCCCAGAAAAGCGATGAAGCTTAAAGACTGTCAACAAGTGTTTCCCAGCCCAACTTGTAATTGATCTTTAAGCCCGGCTAAATAGACACTCATTACGCTCAATCCGAGATCAACGCGAATGGCTCTAATTAAAAGCGAAATTGAGTTTGGTGCTAAACGGCCCGATAAAAGTCGATGTATAGTAGATCGAGCGACAGAGTCTGCCCGGGGAACTGGTTCCCTGCATGATAATTGCCGGGCAATTTCTTAATGTGGTTAGTGCTCTGGCTTGGTTAGTTGTCGGTTCATTGTTGATATTATGCAATGCATCGAAAAAGGCCAGAAGCGGAGGCAGAACTGTCACTTGCCTGGAGTCCGAAATCGGGGTACATTACCCCCAGAGAGAGAAAAACACGGTTCGAGATCCCAAAACAGATATCGCCCAGATGTTGGGACACAAAAGAGCCCGGATATTGCTAAGGAATTTTTACCAGAAATAGAAATCTATTAAAAGTCACTCAAGAATTTGGCTAACAAAGCCGCTCAGTTGGTTGTTTTCAATGAAGGCGGGACTCAGAGGGGCAGGGAAGTTATGTCGCCAGATCGAAAATGTTCATTAATCATTTTCAAAATTGCTGACAAATCACCATAACGGCGGCAAATACAATTCGAGTTTAAAATAATGCACTGAAAACTTAATTTAATATTTTTTTAAAATACCTTAAGCTTTTGGTTATAATTTTAGAATTCTCTAGAATGTCTAGGATGTTTAGTAACTATGTACATATGTAAGCTTTTCTAGAAAAAGTTTAGAAAATTTTTGTATAGTGCCCTTTTGTCCAAAGTACAGTTGTGTTCGTGGCTATATCTGTGTATTTGTGATCGGGGCGCCTGCGCAATCGCAATCGATGTTTGCTTATTACACAAAGCGGAACTCCAGGCCAGACCAGTCCCGGAGTGGTTCTACTCGCATGTGGGATGTGGTCTCTGGGGCTTTATCGCTCCCCGTCTAGCTGGCCATTGTTATGCCAGACAATTGCAGGCCCAGATTAGCATAACCAGAAAAAAATAAAAATAAATAATAAAAATAAAGCCAAACGGAATAAAAGGGTGGAGAAAAGAAGGGAGTGGCTCTGGAGTTGCCAAGAGAAATACCAGATACTTACCAGAAGAATATTGTGAAAAAAGTGGCTGCCAATTAGTGTGGCTAGGATTATGTGGATATAGGGTTTCTAATAAAAGAATACCATTTTTGGGTGTGACATTAAAGTTTTTGGGATTCGAGAAGAGGTAATTATAATGGCACAGATAATAAAAACGGAATGAGCTTCACCAGGAACTATTTCAATCTTAGCTAAATTTTGCACCTATAGGATAAAGGGTACCTTTATTTAAAATCATTTTTTTAAATGTTTATTCAGAATTATTTTTGTAGAATAAATACGTGAAATGGGCCTTCTTTTTGTAAGAAATAATATAAAAGAAACCTAAAAAAATTACTTGGCTAAAAATATGAAGAAATTCATTTTCATTTCGTTTCGCGTTCGTTGGCCTACGTGATGGGCAGACAAATTGGCCGGCAAACCGACTTTGCGCACATTCCTTTCTCAATCCGGCGACGCGGCCACCACTGGCCTTCTACCGCAGACGCAATAACCGGAGAGGGATACCCCCTCCTACCCATGAGATACTTTGGCCATGACAGACACAGATATCTCAGTCCCGTATACGCAAGTGCGTTTGCATTGAACTTGGGCTACTTTGAGACATGTTGCTGTCCCTGGATTTTCCGTGGCTGTGCGTGTTGCAGCTTCAGGAAATTTTCACGGTCGACGTTGAGGAAAATGACAAGAGTGGACTACATTTTTGCGACGACTTTGGTCTGAAGTGATGCAAGTGGTGGCTGCTGGCCGACTGCCCGCCTGCCCAGCGTCGATTTGCCGCAACCGCCAGATACATTACACCGACTGGTTTCTTTTTTGCGACCTAATGGTCTCCGAAGTGTCTTAGGTGGGCAGTGGCCAGTTGGTTGGTCAGTCGGGCACGGACAATGGTACTGGCTGGGGGAGCAGGGGTGGGGCAGTTGGCCAAAAGTCCAACCGAAGACAAAGCAAATCAGCTGCTGCTGCTGCTGCTGCTGCTGCTGCTGCTGCTGGTGCCGGTGTTGCACATGCAAACTTTTGGCAGCTTTTGGCGTGCCTGCCGTTGGCGTTAGTTTGCTGCTTTTCTTAACGACTTTTGAAGTTGAAGGAGGCAAACAAAAACAAAACTCACGGCGGGGCAACAAAAAATTATTATTATTGTGTTTTCTGCATTTTGAGATTCGGTTTTCTTCTTGACGTTGCACATGGCCTGCTCGGATTTTGGCAGTATAAAAGCCACCGCAAATTGGGAGCTGGCAACACAATTCGGCGAGGCGTCAACACAGACCACAGTTCAGCATCTTTTCGCAAATAGCTAGCTCCCAGGTTCGCAAGGATTAGCAAAATGTACAAGTTGGTAAGCAAGCCACTAAAAGGATAATCCTATCCATGAACTATACAATCCACGTCTTTTCTCATAGGTGGTGTTCTTCGCTCTCTTCGCCATGGTGGCTGCCCGTCCGGGTTACCTGGAGGCCGGACCCCTCCTCCACAGCTACTCCGCCCCGGCCATCATCCACGAGCCAGCCCTGGACAAGGTGGGCGCCATCATAAAGACCATTCCCAGTGCCGTCTCCCACCAGAGCATCAGCCAGGTGCACAGCTCGGCCCACATCATCCAGCCCATTGTGGCCCCAGTCCTGAAGACCTACACCGCCCCCATCATCAAGACCTATGCCGCCCCAGCTCTGCACACAACCCTGCTCTCGCCCTCCTGGGCCGGTCACGGTTGGGCCCCGTCCTGGTAAACGGTCACCCGGAGATCCCTTCCGGCATTGCGTGGGCCGGCAACTACATCCCCTCTCCTCCAGATCCATCCGACCCACTGCTTACTTGTTCTATTCCCCCGCTGTTTTGTTTTTCTTCTATCACATTTCGACTGATGTAAATAAATACGTGTTTCATGCTCAGAATATGCCCAGTGGTGTTTACTTTGGAAGAATTACAAAAGAATAAGGATAAAGAGCCTTTGCATGCAAAGCCTTGAATTGAAAGAAAATAAGTTACTTTAGCTACATGAGTTCCGAATAAGAAGTAAATTAATATAAATATTCTAGCATCATCGTGATAATACAAAGATTCAAAAATATTTTATAAAAAGTATTCCTATTTGAGCACTGAAATATTTTAAAATCGAATCAAGACATATTCAAGGATGACATCTTAAGATGTTTCTTTAAAACATTAATAAAAGGAATGAATTTAAATAATATAGAATATAATATAAAATGAAATTATTTCTTGGAAGCTATATGCACTTCAAATCAATGAAATTTAGGAAGTTATCTTACAAAGTTAGAAGCTAGGAAGCAATTCAGAAATATTTTAAAAAGGGTTTAAATAGAATCTGCATTAAAAGAAAAATATTTTCAAATGTAGTTTTTTATAAATCATTTAAAAAGAACTGCTATACTTTATAAAATGTTAAAAATATCTGAAGCACTTCCCAAAATGTCCCAATTATAAAAATAGTTGTAAGTTTTTAAGGCATTCACATTTTACTCGCAACTAAACTCGTTTTATTTACAAAGAAATTAGCTATTTTCTAACCGTCCAACTCGCTCGTATGAGCCTGCAGTCCTCTTCCCAGTGTCCAATTACCAGCCGGCGTTGTAGACGACCGGAGTGGCGATGGTCTTCAGGACTGGGGCAGCGGCGTAGGAAGTGTGAACCACGGGGGCGGAATAAGCGGTGTGCACCAGAGGAGCAGCGGCAACGGTCTTCACAATGGGAGCGGGGGCCACGTAGCTGGTGACCACGGGAGCGGAGTAGGTCTTGACCACTGGGGCCACCACATCCTCGACGATATGGGCGGAGCTGTGGACCACCGACTGGCTCTGGTGCGACACCGCTGAGGGCACGCTCTTCACCACGGCACCGACCTTGGCCAGGTATGGCTCCTGGACGATGGTAGTGGTAGCCGGGGCGGCGTAGACCACTGGAGACTCATAGAGATGACCGGGACGAGCGAAAGCTACGGCGAAGAGAGCAGACAACACCACCTGGAGGATGCAAGAGGTTATCAAAGACCGGAATCCAATATTATTTAAAGGGTCTTACCAATTTGAACATTTTGAGGGATTTCTGTTTGTTGGTCTGTGTTGTGCTGCTGAAGCGAACAAAGTTGACTGATAATGGATGCGGGGTCTGACTGTCTTTTATATTCAGACTACGGATATTAAACAGAGTCACATCACACGGCGCAGCTGCAGAGCCAAATAAAAACGAGAGTGAGGTCTAATTAAAACATTTTACGAGACCCCAAGTGGAGTGAGTTGGTCAAAGCCTGCCCTCGCTTGGACAATAAAGCATGAGACTTGCAATTGGTAAACGAAACCCGAAACCCGAAGACCAAAGAGACCTGGAGACCGAAATCACGCACTGCATGACCCTGACTCACGCACTCAAAGTGCAAGTAATGCAATTGCCCCGGAGACCCTAATGGAAGTCGAGAGACTCTAATGCCCCATACGACTCTCAACCACAGCTCTTGGACCAGTCAAGTCAAGTCGAGCCGTCCACCGACGCTAATTGCTTATTGATCGCCGACCAGAATCTGATACAGCTTTAATTTTGGATGGGATTGTGACGCGTTTTCTGTCGCGGAAGGTCACAGCCAGGTGGTGGCTGGAGTATAAAAGATTACTGCAGCCCGGCAGTCGGCAACAGTTCTCGCTAGAAACTCAATCCGAACACTTTCGATTCCCTCAGTCAATACAGACCAAACCCATTTACACAAAATGTTCAAGTTGGTGGTATTGTCTGCTCTCCTCGCCGTAGCTGCTGCCCGTCCCGGTCACCTGCTGGAGTCCCCGGTGGTCTATGCCGCCCCGGCTGCCACGACCATCGTCCAGGAGCCGGTCCTCGCCAAGGTGGGTGCTGTGGTGAAGAGCGTGCCCACTGCCGTTAGCCACCAGAGCCAGTCGGTGGTCCACAGCTCCGCCCATATTGTGGAGGATGTGGTGGCCCCCGTCATCAAGTCCACCCCGGTGGTGAGCTACGCCGCCGCTGTTCCGGCCCCCGTCGTCCACACCGCCTACGCCGCCCCTGCCCCCGTGGTGCACACCTCCTATGCCGCTGCTGCTCCCGTCCTGGCCAGTTCTTACGCCGCTGTGGCTCCTGTTGCCCATGTGGCCGCTTCCTCCCCGCTGACCTACACTGCCACCGGTGTGTGGTAGAGCCACCTCCGATCCTGCACCCAACTCTTGACCCACCAGGAGACCAGCACGCTTAGCTGGACGGTTTTGTGATACGAATTTTTTAAATAAATGTTTTGACTTCAAAAATCAATGGCTTTTATTCCTTTTTTTGCTTTTAATCTCTCAAGGATTTTATATTAAGTTTTGTATTAAATATAATTCTGAATTTAATATTAGAATTTAATTATTAAATTGTTTTGAATATCCTTGCAATGACATGTCCTGTGTGATGTGAATTTTAAATTCATTACCAGAACTAGAGCTGACCGGGTTCGTTGCCCTGCGGCACGTACGGGTTTCCTGTTGCCCCTCCGCCAGGTGGAAAGTAAACACCTGACACATGCCGCACACACGCCTGGCATGTGGCTGAGAATTAGTTGGTGACAACATTGGCCTCCTGCAGGCTTGTCAAGGCCTGTCATTCTCGGCCAGTGAACCGAGTCCTGTTTTTGTCCTGCCAACTGCTACAAAAGCCAATTTCTCTAATGGATTACCTCAGGGCAGTAACTTTTAAATTGAATCAGAGAGAGTATTAGAATATAATATAAAGAATTTTATTTAAACATAACACTTTTGAGTAATGAATTCGTGACTGAATGATTTGTACAATGAACCATGATGGTTTAATGATTTCGTATATAAATTCGTTTACTATTCCTAGCACTTCTATCTATACAGCAAGCCATTAATTTAATCTTAAGATCTACAAGTTGCTTCACAAGATCTACTGACCCTTAAGTTCCTTTGTGGTATAGCTTGAAAGATATGGGACATGGAGGTCAGCCCTTTCTACTAGGTCGGCAACGGGTCTCAGAACTGTACCCACTACCAACTTAAATTTATCGGAGAAGTATGAGATGTCTACTTCCCGTTTATCAAGATCATGGTTTTCGGGTTCGAGGCCTTTGACTGTGTGCAGATACAGGATAACCCAAAATAGCAGAAACTGTAAAGGAATTGAGTCATTTTCTTGGGAATGAGAATTTTTCAATTATCCTTACCGCTTTCCAAACTAGCTCCATTTGTGTGCTTGGCTTCTGGGACTTCGTAGCAATGATTAAGGTCTAAGCCAAGTTAGCCGCTTTTATAGTAAGTTTATTCCGTTCCCGGTATATATAATTACTGGAATCACAGGTGCATCGTTAATTGTTTCATATGCAATTTAAGCCGCCATCTGTTTCTTGGGAAAAATGAGCTTCTGCTTTCTGGTTTTTCGTTTTATTTGAGCTTTTATTTTGAATTGCCATTTGATACGGGTAAGAGCGTTTGTATTACTTTTAGAAGTACTATCACTTATTTGTTTAAAGTTTATATAAGCAGATACATGAATAAAATATTTATGTATTTTGCCAACAATATATTACAGAGAAACCGCATTCTTAGTGATTTAGACTGCCTAAATAACGTAGGCAAAACGTGTTTAGGAAATGAATCATAAGGAGTTTCCAGAAGATATAAAACTCTTTTCATATGGAAGTTGAAGATTAGAATCCAATCAATACATGTATATGGAAACCAAAGAATTATAGAAATTCTCTTATATCTGCTTAGAATACTTTCCGAAAAAGTAAACTCCTCATAAATAAGAAACAAAAATTGCAGATATGTATACTGTATGATATGCAATTCAAATATTTATTATGCTGCATAAAATATTTATAATATTGTCTATTTTATTTTAAGGACTATTTTATCAAATATCGGGAATGCCGGTCTTTAGGACGGGAGTCAGAATAGTGGAAGACCGATTTCCTTTATCGGTAGAGTTTGTTTCTCGATCATCGTCGTAAGCGCTTAAGAAAACGTAGTTGGAAAACTTATTGGCATATTTGGGATTAGAGGTAGTTTCGGTCTGAGTTTTATCTTCTGAATCGGTAGATTCCCTTAAATATAATGAGGTTTGAGCCTTATTGGGCATGGTGGTGTTTGGCTTTTCGGCATCATTTGTCTTTTTTCGGGACACTTTCACAGGAGTAGCCGGGATGCCCATATCGGTGGTGGTTTTTAAAGAGTCCTTCATGGTTCCTTGGTAAGAGCCTAAGATGGGTAGCAGCTTCATAACGAGCGGCTTGGCAGTGGAACTGTCCTCCGAATCGTTTAATTGTTTCAAAGCCCCGCCGAAAGTTTTCATAAAAACCTTGCGTTCCTGTTTGAAGCCGGGTTCATAATCGGGTTCATCGTCATCTGGAGAATCATAGGTAGGAAGCTGTGTCGCATCGGTTGATTTGTTTGTGGGATTTCCAGAGGAGCCATATAAATAGAAGAAGTTTGAATACATAATTGCAGTGAAGTTGCCATTCCGCTTGGCAACTTCAAAGGTGTCCTGAAGAAAGCTACCGACGCTGCAGATGACACACAACGAACTAATGAATATTATCTGAGAAAGATTACCATTTAATATTTTTTAATTAAAAATAGAAATAAATTTTTCCCCACCTTGAAGACAATGTGCATTTTTGATTGTATATTCCTCGCAATTATGTGACTTGCATTTAGATGAACGCTTCTTTTATAGAAAGTGGTTATTTTGGTAAGCAAGACTGTGGCAACAAATCTGTTTCTGAGTCATTAAGAACCATTAAACCTGACAACCAGAGACAGTAAAAGTTTCCCGGAATGAAAGTATGTTTCTGTCGCCAGCTCTCGGCCTTGACTTCAGTCGGAAGTTGGCTCGAACGGTCTGGCAATTAGAATTAACCATTGTAGACCCTTCGATCTCCCATGAATTCGAGCAACGTGCGACTAATGAGCTTCGAAACGAAACCAAGAGTGTCTCTGGGCAACAAGTGCGAGGCCGAAAAATAAGTGAAGTAATGACTCGAAATTGGCCGCGAATAATAATCTGGTTTATGGCCAAGAGCCGGAGACAGCCAACAGAATCCGTTCAGGCACGTTCGACTTATTGTATCTCTTTTTGTATCCGCCTCAATGGACGCCTCCACGCCTCGGTGTGCGTGAGTATCTGTGTGCCCGAGTGTCTGTGTGGGTGTGGGTGACACCGCGAAAGTGAAGTTCAAGTATAAAAGGCGTTGACAGTCCCCCAACTGAACACATTCGAAGTCCGTCTCTTGTCGCAGTCGAAGAAGCCCAACCCAAACCCAAACCAAAATGTTCAAGCTGGTAAGGACACTGGTTGCTGACTGGAAACACAAACTGGATTATTAACTTACATCCTTTCCCGGCAGTTCGTTTTCACCGCTCTGCTGGCCGTTGCTGCCGCCAAGCCCGGTCACCTGGCCGCCGCTCCCCTGGTCTACAGCGCCCCCGCTACCACCTACGTCCAGGAGGCTGGCCTCGCCAAGGTCGGTGCCGTGGTGAAGAGCGTGCCCACCGCCGTTTCCCACCAGAGCGTCACCCAGGTGCACAGCACCCCCGTCGTGGAGGAAGTGGTGGCTCCCGTGGTGAAGACCACAGCCGTCCACACCGCAGCTCCCGTGGTGGCCGCCGCTCCCGTCGTCGCCGCTGCCCCTCTCGTCAAGAGCGTGGCCCCCGTCGCCTACTCTGCTCCTGTGGCCTACTCCGCTCCTTTGACCTACTCCGCCCCCCTGACCTACTCAGCCCCCCTGTCTTACTCCGCCCCTCTGACCTACGCCGCTCCCGCTCCCCTGCTGCACAACGCTCCCCTCACCTACGCCGCCAGTGCCTGGTAAAAAATTAGCAAAAACGACAAAAAGTGAGAACGAAAGATTTTGATCTGTGCCTTGTTGATTTGTGTGAGAAAAAATCAAACAAATAAAACTAAATGTGAATGTTAAAACTAAATGTTTGTTTCAAAAGAGAGAGGGGGTTTCCGGAGGTGTTCAAATAAAACGGTTTTCTAACAGCCATTTTATGACGTCAACTTGCAAGAGTTGAGTTTACGGATTAAAGTTATTTTTAAAGATCTTGTCTTTAAAAGTTCTGCCAATTATGTTTTTTTCAAAGTGAGCAGTAAAAGTTTTATTTTTCCACTTGTAAAACCATTTGTAAAATAGTTCTCTTTATTAATAATAAACATCATAAGTTTAACATTTAACAAAAATTACTTTGATCAAGTTTTCTTACCGTTCTTTATGGTTGATCGTAACAAACATCATGATATTTTGTCTCAGGCTTGATCATTTAAGGTACTCCGCTTGAGAATCGGGTGAGAATTGGGGAAGATATGGCTATCACTGTGGGCCCTATAGGGAAAACCCCATTTTCAAGGGATCACCTCACGAGAAATGGAAAAAAATCTAAAAAATATTTTGAATCAGGATTTTGATGCAGAATTGTGTAGAATCGATCCACAAATCATTTAAGGTACTCCGCTTGAGAATCGAGTAAGAATTGGGGAAGATATGGCTATCACTGTGGGCCCTATAGGGAAAAACCCCATTTTTAAGGGATCACCTCACGAGAAATGGAAAAAAATCTAAAAAATATTTTGAATCAGGATTTTGATGCAGAATTGTGTAGAATCGATCCACAAATCATTTAAGGTACTCCGCTTGAGAATCGAGTGAGAATTGGGGAAGATACGGCTATCACTGTGGGCCCTATAGGGAAAAACCCCATTTTCAAGGGATCACCTCACGAAAAATGGAAAAAAATCTAAAAAATATTTTGTCTCAGGATTTTGATACAGAATTGTGGAGAATCGATCCACAAATCATTTAAGGTACTCCGCTTGAGAATCGGGTGAGAATTGGGGAAGATATGGCTATCACTGTGGGCCCTATAGGGAAAACCCCATTTTCAAGGGATCACCTCACGAGAAATGGAAAAAAATCTAAAAAATATTTTGAATCAGGATTTTGATGCAGAATTGTGGAGAATCGATCCACAAATCGTTTAAGGTACTTCGCTTGAGAATCGGGTGAGAATTGGGGAAGATACGGCTATCACTGTGGGCCCTATAGGGAAAAACCCCATTTTTAAAGGACCACCTCACGAAAAATGGAAAAAAATCTAAAAAATATTTTGTCTCAGGATTTTGATACAGAATTGTGGAGAATCGATCCACAAATCATTTAAGGTACTCCGCTTGAGAATCGGGTGAGAATTGGGGAAGATATGGCTATCACTGTGGGCCCTATAGGGAAAAACCCCATTTTCAAGGGATCACCTCACGAAAAATGGAAAAAAATCTAAAAAATATTTTGAATCAGGATTTTGATGCAGAATTGTGGAGAATCGATCCACAAATCGTTTAAGGTACTTCGCTTGAGAATCGGGTGAGAATTGGGGAAGATATGGCTATCACTGTGGGCCCTATAGGGAAAAACCCCATTTTCAAGGGATCCCATCACGAAAAATGGAAAAAAATCTAAAAAATATTTTGTCTCAGGATTTTGATGCAGAATTGTGGAGAATCGATCCACAAATCATTTAAGGTACTCCGCTTGAGAATCGGATCAGAATTGGGAAAGATATGGCTATCACTGTGGGCCCTATAGGGAAAAACCCCATTTTCAAGGGATCACCTCACGAAAAATGGAAAAAAATCTAAAAAATATTTTGAATCAGGATTTTGATGCAGAATTGTGGAGAATCGATCCACAAATCGTTTAAGGTACTTCGCTTGAGAATCGGGTGAGAATTGGGGAAGATACGGCTATCACTGTGGGCCCTATAGGGAAAAACCCCATTTTTAAAGGACCACCTCACGAAAAATGGAAAAAAATCTAAAAAATATTTTGTCTCAGGATTTTGATACAGAATTGTGGAGAATCGATCCACAAATCATTTAAGGTACTCCGCTTGAGAATCGGGTGAGAATTGGGGAAGATATGGCTATCACTGTGGGCCCTATAGGGAAAAACCCCATTTTCAAGGGATCACCTCACGAAAAATGGAAAAAAATCTAAAAAATATTTTGTCTCAGGATTTTGATGCAGAATTGTTTTTTGATCGATTGTGGAGAATCGATCCACAAATCATTTAAGGTACTCCGCTTGAGAATCGGGTGAGAATTGGGGAAGATATGGCTATCACTGTGGGCCCTATAGGGAAAAACCCCATTTTCAAGGGATCACCTCACGAAAAATGGAAAAAAATCTAAAAAATATTTTGAATCAGGATTTTGATGCAGAATTGTGGAGAATCGATCCACAAATCGTTTAAGGTACTTCGCTTGAGAATGGGGTGAGAATTGGGGAAGATATGGCTATCACTGTGGGCCCTATAGGGAAAAACCCCATTTTCAAGGGATCCCATCACAAAAAATGGAAAAAAATCTAAAAAATATTTTGTCTCAGGATTTTGATGCAGAATTGTGGAGAATCGATCCACAAATCATTTAAGGTACTCCGCTTGAGAATCGGATCAGAATTGGGAAAGATATGGCTATCACTGTGGGCCCTATAGGGAAAAACCCCATTTTCAAGGAATCACCTCACGAAAAATGGAAAAAAATCTAAAAAATATTTTGAATCAGGATTTTGATGCAGAATTGTTTTTCGATCGATTGTGGAGAATCGATCCACAAATCATTTAAGGTACTCCGCTTGAGAATCGGGTGAGAATTGGGGAAGATATGGCTATCACTGTGGGCCCTATAGGGAAAAACCCCATTTTCAAGGGATCACCTCACGAAAAATGGAAAAAAATCTAAAAAATATTTTGAATCAGGATTTTGATGCAGAATTGTGGAGAATCGATCCACAAATCGTTTAAGGTACTTCGCTTGAGAATGGGGTGAGAATTGGGGAAGATATGGCTATCACTGTGGGCCCTATAGGGAAAAACCCCATTTTCAAGGGATCCCATCACAAAAAATGGAAAAAAATCTAAAAAATATTTTGTCTCAGGATTTTGATGCAGAATTGTTTTTCGATCGATTGTGGAGAATCGATCCACAAATCATTTAAGGTACTCCGCTTGAGAATCGGGTGAGAATTGGGGAAGATATGGCTATCACTGTGGGCCCTATAGGGAAAAACCCCATTTTCAAGGGATCACCTCACGAAAAATGGAAAAAAATCTAAAAAATATTTTGAATCAGGATTTTGATGCAGAATTGTGGAGAATCGATCCACAAATCGTTTAAGGTACTTCGCTTGAGAATGGGGTGAGAATTGGGGAAGATATGGCTATCACTGTGGGCCCTATAGGGAAAAACCCCATTTTCAAGGGATCCCATCACAAAAAATGGAAAAAAATCTAAAAAATATTTTGTCTCAGGATTTTGATGCAGAATTGTGGAGAATCGATCCACAAATCATTTAAGGTACTCCGCTTGAGAATCGGATCAGAATTGGGAAAGATATGGCTATCACTGTGGGCCCTATAGGGAAAAACCCCATTTTCAAGGAATCACCTCACGAAAAATGGAAAAAAATCTAAAAAATATTTTGAATCAGGATTTTGATGCAGAATTGTGGAGAATCGATCCACAAATCGTTTAAGGTACTTCGCTTGAGAATCGGATGAGAATTGGGGAAGATATGGCTATCACTGTGGGCCCTATAGGGAAAAACCCCATTTTCAAGGGATCCCATCACGAAAAATGGACAAAAAATCTAAAAAATATTTTGTCTCAGGATTTTGATGCGGAGTGGTGGAGAATCGATCCAGAAATCGTTTAAGGTACTCCGCTTGAGAATCGGGTGAGAATTGGGGAAGATATGGCTATCACTGTGGGCCCTATAGGGAAAAACCCCATTTTCAAGGGACCCCCTCACGAAAAATGGAAAAAAATCTACAAAATATTTTGTCTCATGATTTGGATGGAGAGTGGTGGGGAATCAATCTAGAAATCGTTTAAGAATCGAAGAGAATCGCTCCGAGAATCGAATCAGTATTGGGGATTTAGATATAGATAGCCTGTAGCTGTAGATATCCTGTAGCTGCCATAAAATTAATTGTCGGAAAAGACTCTACTTTTTATTTTGGGTCCGACCTTATGATTTGTATTTGTTGAAATTTTGTTTCGAAAAACAATATATTTATTTTACAAATTCCACATGAATTACTATTTCCTTAGAACTCCCCCTACTTGACGTAAATTCCGGGATAGCTGGCTCCGCCCCAGATGCCCGGCTCGTACCATCCGGCACTGCCGGCAGAGTATCCCAGAGGGGCGTAAGAAATGCTGGGCGCGTAGGCGGCCTTCAGGAGAGGCGTGTGGTCTACAATGGGACGCCAGTAGGGCCGCTTCTCGTGTACCACCGTGGAGCTCTGGTGGGAAACGGCGGCGGGCAGGGCAAGGTGCTCGTATCCAACAACGCTAGGAGCATATTCCACGGTCTCATAGCTGGGCAGGTAGCTGGGACGAGCCTGGATCAGGGCTGCAGATAATCCGAGCAAGACAATCACCTGAAGGACAAGGATGAATAACATTAATACCAAAAATATTATAGACCTTCAGTGAGCTTACAATTTTGAACATCTTCGTGGGCTGGTGAGCTGATGAACTATGTTTGGTGGTTGAAGAAGTCACTCGCGTTTTATACTTGCCACAAGGTAGAGGAATTAGCTTCTTTACGTTAGAATTGGCACAAACAATCGAGCCATCATCTAACTAATTTTTTTTGGCCCCTTAGTTTTTGCGTTTTTCCTCGACTTTGTCTGAATATTTCCCAGACCAGATGGCTCATTAGTGACCCATTTGGGCGTAACTGAGCGAGCAGTTTGGACCAAGGCGAGGCTGAGAGCCAAGCTAACAAGCCAACCAGTCAAGCAGCTAAAACACCCACTAGTATGCGTCCAGTCCCCATTTTGGGCTGGCCTGGAGTTCCTGGTTAAAGCGACACAACTTTTCGGGCATTAGCATAAAAGTGTCTCAGCTTTTCCTGGCTATTTTTGGCCAAATCGAGGCACCAGATGTGATACGATTTTAATTAACCCTACGCGGCGAGACTCCCAGCCCATTTGATGCGACCTTGGCTCTAATTTAATTAAGAAGAAAAACACGAAAAAAATAATAAAATCACAATGAGCTTGTTCAGAAGCCAGAGATATAACACGACGCTGACAGGCCCCGTAACGATTTAATCATTGGCCAGGTTGTTTTTATTGTTGTTACAGAATGCCATTGTTGCCGGCTTTGCTCCACTTTTGGCCAACAGTTGCAGCCCGAAGGTGTAAATCAACTGAATGTTTAGCAGTCGGTCTTTGTCTTTGATTGGAACTTATAGCCGGCCTGTAATATTTCTAACTCCAGAAAGTAGCAACCACAAAGCAAATAAATAAATAAATAAATACCTAAACAATACAAAAAAAAGTTTGTTTTTTTAAACAAGTCTTTTGTTTGAAATTCACGAAGCTTTTAAAATTAAGACTAAAGGAGTAACATACTTTCAGGCTTTAGTGCAAACAGGCTTTAAGAGGGAGCTTTTGAGCCATGATATAAGCTTTGGCTTTTGGCTTAACCCTTGTTGGCCCAGTCATTCTATTAATTAAAAACAAATAAGACCAAAAATCGAACTGAGTAACCTTCAATTACACTTTACCAAAAAGGGCGCCAAATATTTTAATCAGTCTATTAAAGGCTTAAATGGCTCAGAGGCTTAATGGCTTAGAGTCTTAATTCTTTAAGGAAATGAATGTCTTTAAGAAGAACTAAGATACTTCTACAACAAAGTACCACAAACAGTCTCCAGCTCGCTGAAATATTGACAAATGGACAAGCATTTTGAATAGTTTGGCTAATAGAAGTTGACTGGGCCCACTGGGACTGGCTCGGATTCAGTCTATCTGTGAGATTGTCAACTTAACATGCAACTTAATTAGCTGCAGGCTGCAGTAAGCCAAGTCTGGTCTGGTCTGTGATGTTTGTGGCAAGACTTATCTGAATGTTATCGGTGTTAGTTGGGTTTTTGGCCCGGCCAGCAACAGCATTGAAAATCGCTCATACGCCGTGTAATTAGCTCTGTAATAACCACATCCGCCTCCCGGGCCTAAACGTTTGGGAAATGCCTCGTTTGGCCAGTTCTTGCACCGTCATCGGCTCTGGTTTTTGTGGGGCGTGTGATCTGCATTGTCTTATTAATTTTAATGGCTGAATTATACAAAACTCGACGCACCGGCCGGTTGCAGCTTGCCTTGCTTGCCACACCACCCATTGCCAGTACCCCGTCGACTTCCTCAATTGCGCACAATTTCAAGTCGGCATCGAGCTGTTGTTCTCAAATCAAATCGAATTTCTTGTAGGTATTTCGTTATACATTTTTTTCTTGTACATGAATTTAATGTTTAGCTGTGGCTATCATTAAGTCTAATTGACTTTTTATAGTTATCGGTGTTCTCAGCTTATTCCAGCCTTTGTTTTGTGAGAAATCCAAATGCGGAGCCGAACTGGCTGCCTAGGGATGGCATCGGAACCAACATATTCATATTCATTTGAATATTTTAATAAAGGTATATGGAAAACCTAATCTACCTGCGGTTATATCAGAAGTCTAGTAATTTCAGACCCTTTCCATAACGCCTCACTAATCGCCATTGTATCTTGTCCCACCTCTGGCAGAGACACTGCCCCCTCACAGGTGTGTGCAATCATGCTTGGATCTCGCCCCGTAATTTGATTTCAGCACAAGTTCAGGGTGAGTAACCACACAAGTCACCGAATTGCTCTAGAACAATCTCGGATCCGAGAACAATCAGAAGTAGCAAAAGTGAAAGTCAAATTAGATGCATTAGAATCTAGTGGAATTTCAAAACAAAGGGGCAGGGTTGGGAGGCGGGAGCACCCACTCGAAAATTGTAGTACTATAAATTCAATTAAAAGTCACTAATCGAGAACAAATAATTTGGACAGCCCCTCGCATAAATCTTGCGGTTCGGTGGCCAAAAATAATTTGCATGCACTTTGGCGACACACCAGCATTATTTACGAGCGCCTAGCATGGGCGTTAGTGGTTTTTTGCCAATTGTTTTTGGCCAATTTGAACTCCTAGCTAACTACTTAATTATGAAGCTCCACTCCACATCGAGTATTTGCATTGACAACACTCTGCAGTGAAGCTGTCAAATGATCTGTGACCAAAATAGTTTAAGCATTCAAGAGATTGATCAAGAAGTATGGAGCTGTGGAAACTAAAACGTGCCAACAGCCATTTGCGCAATGTCCCCGCACAAAAAGAACTTCAAAGCGAAATGAAACCAACTTTGCAAATGATAATTGTTGGCCCAACCTCGAGCTAAACTGAAGGTAAAGCAGCTCCGGCCAAGTACAGTAGCTGCCGAGGAGGGCTGGCAAAAACTAGGGGGTATAATCCACCTCAGCTTTAATTCCATTAATGAAAACATAGCTCTCCATCGGCGAGTATTTTTCTAGAGCTTTTCTCAGCGTTGTCTGGGAAAACAAATCGCTGATTGCTACCCTAGGAATTCAGTCACGGCATGATATTTGAGACTCATTAAAAAATATGGCTAATTTAGTTTGGCTTTTAGAAGAGAATGGTAGAGGTAGAGCTTTAATATATTGTGTAGATATTTGTATAATGTATCCTATAGGGTATCTCACATTAATAACTAAAGATACAGGCTTACATATTTTGCAGCCATTGTTACAGTTTCTTGCCAGGCAGTTGTCAACACCGCGGCTGTGGCTGTTGTTTCTCTTATAATTAATCATTTATAAACAAATAATAATTGTAGCCAGACTCGCAGCTTACATGGCAGAGTTTAATGTTTGCACGACATTGTGACAAAGGCTGAAGTAAGCACGACCTTGACCGAGTGGCGGACACCATGTGGTATACTTAATACTTAATTGGCCACACTAGAGTCACAGATGGTAGTCACCTCAAAAATACGCTATGCAAATTGCCAGCCACCCAACCGACAATTATGTAAAACTATAACAAATTAAATAATAACTTTTTGCGTTGGCAAGGTAGTCAGTCCGTCACCAAAATTAAATGCAAACAAAATTCCAGACTTGGGAAATTTCCTTCGCCAGAATTCGCCCAGAAAAATCACATAAATTACGAAAGAAAAGACATATAGTCGAGGGGAGTTGGTATGACTGGGAAAATTGACGGCTTTTAATTTCGACTTTTGAATGATTTGTTGGCAATCAAAGTTTTTTGGGCGTCGCTTGGGAAATGCTATGGAATCGAATGTGGATATTGGCCAATGCGATTGGGAGGCCATTAAAATGCAATTACAGGCCAACAGAGCTGACCACCAGGCCGCAAGACCACCAGACCTAGCCCAAAACCACACCACAGAGTGGGTGGTTATATTTGTGGATGTGGTTCGATCGATCGATATAGCCACGCAATTTGGCATCCTGTTTGGTGTCAATCAAGCCGCATTCGATTTAGATTTATGCGACAATTTGGCTGAGATTTGCATAACGCCTCTGGCCGAAAATCACGAGGTGTTGGCTTGGTGAAGGGTTCCATTTTGGCTCCGACTTGGTTTAGTCGGCACTAAGCCCCGTTGATATGCAGATATTCCGATCAGCAGCCAATCAGATGCCCAGGGTCAAAGCCAAAGAATTGTCGCCAGCAGTAATTGTTTATTGATTTATGAGTCATAAACCTTAGACTCTAAGCCGGTCTTTGTTTGCCCTGGGAGAACTCTACACTTTGTGATACAACACTCTGATACCAGAAACACCAAGGCCCAATGTCCAATATTTTGCAATTCTTTTCGCGCCTTCTGTTCTGAGAGATTTCGAGATATGATCGAATTAAGCACGGCTATTAGGAAATCTGGCAGGCCATTCCAAATGCGCTGAATATGATTTAGGTCTGTTTCCAATTGATTTTCCTCCTTCCACCCGGGTTACGCATTCGCCATGTGCGCGATAACAAATCAGTTTAAAATTAATGCATGCAAAATGCAGGCAGACTTGCAGCAGCTGCTATTTTCTTGGCTTAAAGAGTAAGGCCTAAACTGACCAATCTCCCCCGTTGGCCTGGCCAATCTCGACTCTGTGTTTGTCAGTTATTAAAGTGAGCAATTTTTCATGGACCGCTTGCGTTTATTTGGTGCGTGGAGAGGCAGCTCCGATTGATCATTTGCATGTGCAACAACATTTTCCACACCTACGGATCTCTCTATCGGTAATGAGCTGTCAGTCAGTCAATCGTCTGCTCAAGCTGATTGATAATCAAGTGCGTGTTGGCATTTAGAAAGGAATTAGACTTATAAATTGGATTAGAATCAAGCTAAAAGGATATGGAGCATATGGGGGAAGATTAAAGGGGCTTAAATAAAGAAATATATGATACATTAATAACATAACTATAATATAATTAACTGTTAATAAAAACTAAAAATTTAATTTTAAACCACTTAAATAGAGAACAATAATAATACGAAATATTTAATTTATTTTTAATAAATACTCAACTAATAAGTCACCTATTAAAGCCACAATTAAACTAATAATCTAATCCTAATTATTCCTTTTTTGAGTCATTAAAACTAACAACTAGTTAGCTGTAAAGATATACCCAAAAGTGCCAGAAACCGTTAGTAAACAATTGCTATTTCCACTCACAGAAATGGATATACTTCTATGAAAAATTTCCGCCAGAAAAACT